TCTTCAACCGTACACGACGTAACGTGTCTTCTGCCACCGTCATAACGCGACTCAGAAATTCCGAATTAAAAATCGTCGTGGGGTCACATCCACCTGGACTTATTTTCGTCCTTGCCTTATTTCATTTCTGGAATTTTTAGGATTCCTTTCGTAGCAACCTATACCGAGCAACGGGAAACGCAGTACGTTGAAGAAATAAATACTGGAAGTTTGCAGTGCAATTGAAAAAGAATCCCTGTATTAAAGCAAAACAAAACCATAGAATTGTTCTCTTCTCTGGCAAGGCTTCCTTTTATCAGAAATTAGAAAACGCTGATGTTGATGTTTTATCGAGATTTAATGTAGGACAACGGAACTAACGTTTTGTGCGATTAAAAAATACATGTTACTAGTAAAATGCAAAATATGTACGTATTACTTCAAAAGAAATTGTGTGATGCTCGTCTGATGTGATTTATCATTCATACGGTGGATAAGGGTCAACAGAACTATGTTTCATCAAATCGTCGGAACACGTGGAATTCTGTTTAGTAAGCGTTCAGTATTCAGACGTATTTGCCATGTTTTATATTCAATCTATTACTATCTATCAACCGTTTCTCGACACACGTACCTATATTGATCGAGAACTGAGGGACAATTTAGTTATTCCCAATTACTACGTAATCCTATGTAATTCCCGTATCGTTCCTTATATGTAATTCCCTTAGTATTGCAATTAAGTGTCATTATAGCGGTAATAATTCACCGGTGTATATCGAGTTTCAGATGGGGGTGGGTACGTTTCGTGCGTTTAAACTAAATGACGAAACGTACGATGAAAGGGCCATATTTATAGAACATCTTTTGTATTTCTGTCGCATCATCGTCGATATCTTCTGCACGTATCGGGGGGAAAAGGTGAACATATCGTCGACTGGGTTCGGGGCTAATTTTATCCCACATTTAATCCGTTAAAGCAACTATGAGGCTGTGAGAACTAATTGATGATGTTTGGTTACCATTTTATATTATCATCCGCTTATACCCGGATTAAGTCCGTCGAGTTTCGAGCTCGCTGGAATAATCGAGTCACGGCCCGTGTCATTGAAAGCTCGGCGAGCCTCTTTATATCACGAACTGTGCACGAAGCTTTACGTAAGCTCCGGCGAAACACGCGTTTTCATTAAGGATAGAGACCGCGAGTCTATCGTGACACGCGATAACTTTTGTACCCGTCTGGTGTAATTCATGAATTATGATGCAATCGCTGCGAATCGATGAATAGGCAACTGGATCTTTATGTTAACGAGGAAACATCGACACGAACTTATGGAACTTACACAAGTTTGTGATAAGTTACAAGTGTGTAAAAAATAATAATTTACAGTCTGTAACAAAAAACATTAGTGTCTTTATTCTGTTCCTAATTTAATAGAATCTCTGTTGCATTCCTTGTTTTTTTGTCAAATTGACACAGTAGCAAAAAAATTAATGTAACGAAGAGATAAATAGTTAAATTTCCAAATTCTTTCAAATAAAAGTCACGGAGCCTTGGCTAAATTTACCTAGACACGACGGAATAACATAATTTCTTAGGAGAAAAATGGCTGACAGGATAGAGGTTAAATATATTTTTGTATACCTACTTTATTTGAATAAAAGATTCGCAGTCCATTCACAAGAATCGTCCAACAACCGACGATTATCCCTACCGTCGCTATCGAAAAAAGAGATCGAAGATTTACGAGGGAAGACTTTCTTCTCGCCCCTAGGAGCTCGCTCGGAGTAGTGTCGTCGACACGTCGAACGAGAATAAAGTGACGAAATTGGTCCAAGGCCGGCGGTAACTACCCAACAAGAGACAATAAGATTGGGGGAGGGAAGCAATTTCAATAACCCCCCCGTTACGAAGGATCGATCGGGTAGCCGACAAGAAGTGCCACGACGCACCCTCGGGAAACATGTCTTTCACGAACAGTGTGCGTCTTTTTTCGACAACCACACGCTCACACATCCATGTTACGCTGTGCGTTCGTGTACTCGAACCTTGTAGATCATCTATAACATGGTGTCAAATCGGTCGTCAGGTGATAAATGTCGACTACACGCGTGACGAACGAAACAAATTTAGTAAAGTCACCCCCTCGAAGACACCCGCGATTTTTCGACCTTTTTTGTCGAAGAATATTTACAATTAAATTACAATCTTAACTTTGCTCAATTTGTTTACGGGGTCAAGTTTGGAATTTTTTCGGTCTTGATTGGTGCTACTTGTACATTTTAATACGATAAATTTTCTACTGTTTTTAATTGTCAATATGTCTGTCGGAAGAAACTTTCGAAAAAAATATTTTGTCGGAAATGTTTTCCTACCGACATATGGACAACTAAAAACGATACAAAATTTTGTCCAAATCTTTTTTCGATATCTTTTGTAGTTTACGAGTTATAAGCGAGTAAGTAAAAAAGGACATTTCGGATAAAAAGGGTGGTTTCTCCCTTCAAGTCTGTAAGTAGCACCAGCAAAGTACGGAAAAATTCTTAAGGTTGCTCCCATGAACAATTCAGCAAAGTTAGAAAAAAATCGACGTCCTGTTAAGTGATACCTCACCCTCGTTCTTAAAAACACCGTCCACCTTGCCCGATTATTAATTTACATCACCCTAGTAGACACTCCCGGTCACATCTCCAAAAGAAGGAAACCAGCGAAATTCTAATCGAAGCTCGTGTCGATAGAAGGGGAGGATAAACGTCAGGCACGAACGGCGAAATTATGAAACGGTCACGACGGAGATATACCCCGAGGAAGCAAGCCGTAGAAGAATTCTATTTCATGGTGAAACAACCCCGGGCCGCATTCGCGCGTGTCGAAATTGCCCGGACACACGGGCCACCCTCGTTTCGAGGGACGCGATCTGAATCGAGGACTCTTCGGGCTTCTTCTCCGGAATTCGTTGTTTCCGTGGAGGGCGGTGGAGGGAGAGAAACAAAAAGAAGTAAAGGATCAGGGACGAATGATTCGACGAGGAATCAATCGCGATTCGACGCCGCGATATCGGGGCCAGAGCCCGACCAATAACAATGAAATGTGCAATTTTCGGGGTGGGTCCACCCTTCTCAAACCTGGTCCGAACAGAAATTTTATTTGAAATTCGAACGTGATCAAAGTGTTATGATGTAGGCCGAGGTCGACGGAAGTTCGCGAATAATTTTAAAAAAATAAATAGATTTTACACTGACGGTCAATTTATCGCAAAGATATGTACAGTCAGAGTTAAATCTGAATATACACTTTGAATGTATAGGATTTATTCATATTTATTTCTCTCAATTTCGAATCTAATATTCCACATGGATACTCTATTACATTGAGATCTGGTGACTGTGGAGGGGGAGTTAACTGATTTAAGGTGTTTTCCAGAAAATAATTTAACCACATTTGCTGTATATTTTGGGTCACGATCTCACTAGAAGATCCATGAATGCACCTGTAACTGAATTTGATTTTAAAGTATTTCTGTGTACAAAATTTTGTATTTCGGTTTTTGTTGTAAGCTAACAAAAAAAGTATGAAAAGATGGCCACGAAGTTATTTCGTACAACGATCGACAAATGACAAAATATTCATAAAACTTTTTTTTGTCATCCCTGCGCATATTGATCGTCGGCAGAGATCGTAAACGTGCTCTGCAGCGCCATATGCGTTCCACAATTCCGCTGATTCGATGAATTATAATGGAGCCACAGCCAGGTTCTACCATCAGAAAAAGGCTAAGACGCTGCGCCAGCGAAATGCTTATAGCGTCCCCTCTACCTTCGGTTTATTAAGGACCCATCAAACGGTAGTTTTGTATGCGTGCTGCTTCGACCGGGCTGGGAGATTAATAAATAACTTCGCGACAAGTCCTCCCCGTCAATATTCAGGAGAAATTTCCCTGGGACTTATGCAAATTGATCCGAGTCAAAGACGAATGCTAATTAGCGCGAAATGGAACACAGGCGACCGTATAAAACGTGATACTGGGGTTGAACCTTTAGTCGAACAAGCAAGGCAAACAGCTAGTGTACACTCGCGATGTATTTCGGGTCGCCTAATATTCAACGGTAGAAAACGGTACAGTTCTCGAGGGTGACATAAAAGTGTGTTTCGCAGGGCAATTTTTGTTCAAGTTGACAGAGAAGGCATAGTTTTATTTTGAAAGTTTTATGCAGAGAGATGAAACTGCTGGTTTGATTTTCGACAAATTATTATTATCAAATTGAACTAATATTAAGACAAAATGATTTAAAAATCGGATTAAGTACTGTAGAACCTCGATTATCCGAATTAATAGGGAGACAAATCGATTCTGATAAATGACCTGTCGGGTACATAGTCCAGGAGATCTACAATTACATGTATCGATAAAAATGGATGAAAGAATACCATCTTTGCCCGTTTATTCTGTGCTCGAATGATTTGTTCTACTCTAATGCACTAATTAACACGTTGTTGATTGCCACGGTGGTCACCTATGACCGGTGCCCTTAAATTACTCGAAGAATGAAAAATGGCATTAGACATTTTCAAAATGTTCAAATATTCTTGTGAATCGTTTATACACTGCGTGCCATAACTATAAAGCGACCCTAAAATTTGTAATTCTTATGTATTGTGGTCGATATAAAAACGAACCAAGTATGCCATGTCTGAAATCGTGTTCAGAAACAATATTTCTCCAGAAAAAAATAGATTAAATTCCCTAGAAAAAAGTGGTCAGGTTTTATATTAAGCACAGTACATAAGGACAGAAAATTTTAGGGTGGCGGTATACTTATGCCATGCAGTGTATGTCAAATAATATACATAAAAATACGACAAAATATTTCTCTGGTAATGTTAGAATAATTTGGGAATAAAAGTGTTAAGCATCGTTATAAAACTGTACTTATCAGTCATTGGTAGGTTCGAGTATTAAGGAACACACCACGATTGTTTCTCGGACCGCCTGAATCGAAAGAAATATGCTTCCTTTCAGATTTACTTCACCGTGTTGGCGCTAACCACCGGCAAAGTGCTCCAGGGGGAGAGTCAATATCTGAGGGGGAATCGTTCCTTGCCAGAATCCACCAGCTTCCTCGAACCGGACACCATATCCCCAAGTGAGTATCCCCGATCCCTCGTAATAACAATCCTCGCGAAACTGTGTGTATGGTCAACACATACACACACACACACACACGTGTTCAGCCTGCGAACCGACAAACCGAAATTTCTGTATAAACTGAGCGAATTCGCAATCCGTTCGAGCGAAATATACAGTTAACCATCGCGACAACAAAACCGTTTCTCACCTCTCAACGCGCTTCTGTTGCTTCAGCGACTGTACGGATTAACGTGACCCTGCTTCTCTGCTCGTGTTGCGGCGTGATTTGCAGCGTCCTGCTTCTCTATGGCCTCTTCAAGGTAAGACGTTCCCGATTCTGCCATTAAACACAATATTTCTGTTTGTCCGCTGGGAAAAGGGGAATTCTGCAACGCTTCTTGCTAACGGATCTGTAGACTTTTGTGAAAATGGTGCTCGTTCTATTTTCGAGAAAAAGGATACTGTTTGTAATTTATATATTTTTTTCGAAATACGATCACAATTTGTGTCGGTGAAACATTTATACGGGCTTGTTTGAGAGTTTATTGTTTGAAACGAACTCGAGAGAAAATGGTAATTTTTTTTTAGTTAATTATTCTCACACGTTTATTATAACTAAAGCTGATTGATCTATGGATTGTATTCTGTTAATAAGTTAGTAGGACGATTTACGCTGGAAGCATATTGGAAAATCGGAGTATTAAATTTCATGGTTCAGGTGGTACAGACACACTTGCGGGCTATGGAATCCGTAGGTGTAGACCTCGGTTTTAGGTGATCCTTTGTAAGCTGTTAACATGTGCGTGCATCGTAAAGACAACAACGTGTACCCAAACATGGGTGAATTAGATTATCCGTAGGCTCTTATCAAACACTGTTATTGGAGTATAATAATTTGTGTTCTGCTTTCTGCTATATATAACGATATCAACTGGTCTATCGGGGTCCACATGCAACGATCCTGGTATCTCTGAAAATATCAGCAACACAGCATACTTAACATGTTGACTAACTCATAGTTGAAAAGACCACGTTTCAGATTTAGCTGCAGATGAAGGTACAGGTAGTTGGAAACTGTTTATCGTAGAATTGTTTCTAAGGGAGGGTGGGGAGATTAAAATAGGCACTTCAAAGGGAAGCCAAGAACCACTAACAATAATATTTGATTACATAGAAATTACATTTCCTGAACTGCGCTCTCCCACCTCTCGCCAGATTATGAAAGATTTATCATTACGAGAGTTTTTTGAAATAAGCGATGAATTTGACACAGAAAGTCAATTTTGACGGAAAATTACACTCAAATTTTCTAAAATGATTGTTATGCATATGTAGAATATTACAGAAATATGTTTCGTTTAATTTATTTTAAACGTCTCTTTGGATGTATGTATCTTTGAATGGCAACAAGATTAATATTACTGGATGTAATACCAACAGCAACTGAAACTGTGGCCTTCTACAGTATTCCCTGTATATGAATCTGAACCTGGGGCTAACAACGTGCTTATAGAGAGTAGGACACAATTCTATTCATTTTCCTCCCCCGAAAATTCGATTTCGTGTCGTATACAAATGAACTATTCACCTGTAATGTGTGGACAGTTAATAAACTGTGCACTATACGGAAATATTGGAGTCAAGAGACAATATTTGAGACGACACTTTCCTCTGACTAGCCAAAGCCCCGCCAGGATGTGATTTTTCCGTATCAGAGAGCCCGTGGTCGCGATTCGCTCCCAGACGATGATAAAAATTGCATTGGACCAAGCTGGAGGGCGGATTTGTCCGTCATTTTGGATAAACTAACAGGGGGACCGATACGAGGGCGATAAGACGTCGATTACGAGGGACTCTATGTAGAATGCTTGCTCGGATTACACTATGTACTATGACTTTCTTTAAAACGAAACTGTTCGTGCAGACCTATTCTTTCGTTGCTCCCTATCGACACTAGACATTTCATATTTTGTTATCACTACTTCAACTTCGTTCGTTATAACCCATTCTTCAGTTTCTATGAAATTCCTTGTCGACTAACCAATAACATAACTTTTGTTCTATTTATTATAATATAGTACATAATATTTACGTAATGAATCTTTCGACACGAATCTGGATTTTTTTTGCTCATTTTGGGTTCCTCCTTGAACCTGTAAACTGAGGACAAGTGTACCTTGTCACTCGTATTCAGCTGGATTTTTCTATAACTTTCGTTTTCTTCATTTATTTATTGTAATATGTATAATAGTGTAAATTAGATCTTATTTACGTTTACCTCTAAGTATGTCGCCTCGGGTCAGTTTTGTGTTTTCACAAAATTGAATAGAATTTTATCGATGAATCGCGATTGAAGTTACACTTCAGATAACAATTACATGGAACCTAGGTGTCAGAAGATCCTGAACCACGTGAAAAACGTTTACTACGAATCAATGAATATTCAGTAGAATGTGTACACCGACGAGTCACATTGAAAAAAGAGGTGCCGTTGTTTCGCGAGAAGGGATATGTAGGTCGAGGATAATTATAAAATACAGTCGTGACAAAGGAAGTTACCGTGTCAGCCCAAGGAGAAAATAAAAGTGGTATCTGTGAAAAAAGAAAAGCGAAAAGATGAAGGGGAAAAATAGGTAGGAGGATGCTCTCCTCGGGCGTATCTAGTCAACGAGGGAGGAGCAAAATTTACGAGCGAGATAAGGCTGACGCACCCCCTTGACTGGCATCATCCGACCGCAAAATTTCTCCCGAAATTTTCTCCCGGGATCGAATTGAATCTTCGTTACCACCCCACGGGTATCACGAGGCTATGCAAAGCGGAAATTGGAACGCTTTCAGGGCGCAATGGACCGAAAGATTCCGGTTAGGCGTCTCGTTACCAATGAGGATTCTCTGATGCTTCCCTTAAGAATGATCACTGTACTTCGCTGTACGCTTCTCTCGAATGATCAGAATGAAGGATGGTGTTCAATTATGTTAGGATTTGTTCAATTATAGCCTTTCATCCCTTGATTAAAGTCGAGACGGCTGGAGGTGATGTGTGAGCGATGGGGAGATGGTCTGCTCAGTATCTACCACGCATTCCCCCTTTTCATTCCATAGTGTTCACTTCGATTCGCCCTGATATTGTGTTCGTTAAGGAAAGATAAGTTCGTTTTTCTTGCATCAATCATGTTTTGTTTAGTCGAAGAAACGTCACTCCTAGGAACCAATGTGTTTTCGCTTGGTTTTATTAATCCATGGAGAGGACAGAAGGCGTAATTTAAACCAATTCGCCAATCACCACCTAGTAGAGAACTGATAAATTCAAATATCAACTCTGAACGTCACCACTTTCATTACATCTAGCAAGAAATACATTTAAATTATAATTTTTTTAAATAACCATTTTTTCAAGAGCTATATTGAAATATCCATCATAACAACGAACACAAAACCAATACAGTAAATTACTCACTACCCTGCAATTACCTTTCGAGAGGATTTACAGTTTCCTACGGCTCAACTTCATACGCAGCTTTGTGTACAATATTTTCCTGTCAAATTACTGGGAACGCTTAAAAATCACGACTCCTGTTACCATACACGTTCTCGTGTATTCATGGAATAACAGTAAAAATATTTAAAGAATAGTGTTCAGAATTGTTTCGAAATAAATACAAAATTTAGCTTGATATCAATCCGTCCACGTGGCTAAGAGTCGCGTGACGTCTTTGACGCCGCGAGGAAGCTGCGATCGTGGGTGAATATCAGTTTTCGTCGATGATTTATCGACCCTCCTTCATCGCGGTTATAAATCACGTTTGCGAAAAACGGGACTGTTACGTAAAACGTCCGACAACGTGATCGACCAGGAAACGGAACACCTGTTTGGCGTGTTCGAGCGACAATACAGAAAAACACGAAGCTTTTTCGATGCCTTTCCCGCCCAAGGACGACGAAGGTATTCATTGCTCCTTTCCACGGTCAATTGAAATTCAATTCCTTTTGAATCCACGACACTTTTGCCCGACCGAGTGAAAGGAGAAGGTGCGCCCGTCGTCGGTTGAACGCCGTTCAGTGGAGTCGCTGGGTTCTGTAAAACGGTTACACAACAAGCCTGGCTGAGTGGATCTTGATCTCGAAAGGATCGCACAGTGGTCCAAAATCGTAATTTCGTAGCTCAGACGCTTACTTAGCTCAAATTCTACTCAAAAAATTTTGAAACTTGTAACATTATTCAACGCACTACCTATCGGCTGCATTTTAATAGGTTAAGAAACTATTAATAATATTAGAACTACCGAAGCATTCACAATGACACGTTAGTACTTCCTTCTAATGATGGTTGAAATATTACAACAATGCATCTTCAAAGATCTTTAAAACTTTTACTGCAATATGAAAGTGAAGAAATTAGTTTCCATTTCCATGATAGTTTCCGGCTAGGTTTATCAAACTGCCACACAATACATACCATAAAATAATACAGTTTAATTTTATTTAGACCATTAAATGTTATCGCAAACTTTCCAATAGATACCCTGAAAATCCCATCAAAAAGTAACGAACCCACAAAGTGTTCATTCACAGTGAATCCATCTTCATTCCGCCGACGAGATACCAGCCGAATGCATTTAGCGTTTCCATTAACATCCGCCCGTAGAGTCTCCCTGTCTAATTTCTCCCGCTAGGAGGGGGCATCACAGTTCGTCGTATCAGGCCCTCACGATTCATCAGTGTAATTACTTGGTACGCGTAGTTTGAACGTCACCTGGTCCCGTTGTTTTCACACAGTTCACTATGGGATCTCGCGAATCTTCTATCCCACGAAGATTCTATCCAGCGAAGATTTTATCTCCGCGATCCAGCCGCTAAATATACGGGTTCGGAGGTCGATGTTCTCCTTCCTCCTTATCGATCTGCTCATCCATTAATCATTCCGCGGAACGTCGAAACGGCCGTGTCTATTTCGCGATGATAGCAGCCCGCCAGGAATAACCATGGCAACGTTTCGCAAGGATCTCCATATACGGGCCTTCACCTTCTCCTCCCCCTCCCTATCCTACCATCTATTTATCATTCGATCCTGGTGATTTTTTAAATGTATTTTCAGTCGACTAGATACATCGACGTGCCACGTTTCGCCGTTATCGCGACGGTGGTTTGTTCCGTTTCATCCTGACGGAGACGATTAATCGACGGAGCCTCGCGCGCGGTTTCAATGCATGGACACGAGGGTCGGAGCGCCAAGGCTTTATGAAGGGTGAATCGGGTTTCAGGCGGAAAAATTCGAGGCACGGACGAGATTGGCTTACGCGTTTAAGCCGGCTGGAGGTACCTTAGTCGCGGCTAAATTAGCCCCGGATCGATATAATGTCGACGGATAATGTGTCACGACAAGGGCTCACTTTGTCTAACAAGGGAACTTGGGTATCCTGAGGATTCCGATTTTAATTTTTTTTTTAAATTCGCAGATTTGTAAGGGACCCCGATAGGGGCATCGGACAATTTTTTGCTTTTGCTGATATTCGGTTCTTTGGGATGAAACCACCCTGTAAAGGTTAATGTGTCCTTTCCTATTTTTGTGTATATCTTGAAGACTACAGTGGATATTAAAAAAACTGTTGGGATGAAAGTTTAATGGGTTCTTATAGTCTGGAAAACTTTGCGATGAAATTGTTACGAATTTGTTATTGTCCTGTTAATATCCTGCAGATCACTAAATATCATTTTATAGGACGCGACATGACTTCCTCAAGGTATATAACTACGTGTTTTTAAGTATTCCCGAGTTCAGTAATTTTTTCGCCTAGAGGATATCCGCTGCCCATAAATACGTCGTTGCACGTAACAAAAGTTCCTTGGGTGGAGTTCAGGACCATTTGAATCGCATCCCGATGCAACCACCCGCTGGGGGAGCGCAGTCGAAAGCGGAAAATCGTTTCTTTATGGGCTTGCATAAGCGTGCTATGGTTCAACGGGTCGCATTTTTACGACAGATTGCGAATGGAACCGCGTAAACGGATCGTGTCGTCTCAGAAACGACATCCCCTTTGTCTTCAACCCTATCTCTTTTCCGTTTATTCCTATATTCCACGTCACGAAATATTTTCCTAAATAATTTATTCAAAGGTTTCATAGACGCACTTTCACCAACAAGTGTATTTTATTTTTCATTATACAATCCGCGTCAGTCCGCGCCGCGTAACGCAACAATGCTCATTCCCAGAGAACGACGCAATTGTCTCTCAGCTGCTCGAGGAACTTTCAACCCTTTCTCGTCTCGAGAGCTCGTTTCAACTCTTAACTTTCCGAGCCGACTACGCTTTCGAAACTGGTTCGCTTCGTTTCACCGGTCGCGCGACACGAAACTGAAGAAACGCGGCCGGCTGAAAATGGAATTCGGAAAGAAAGATATTAAAACCGAAGGGGACCGTCCAACGCGATCGACCCACCAGAGTTCGTTCCTCCTATCACAGTTCCATTTATCTCTGTACATTTATAACCGATGGTCTTTCAGGATCAACGTGTGTTCCTGATACCATGGATCATCGTCGTCATTACGACCTGCTTCGTCGACGTGGCGCATTCCTTGTACCTGGTCGTCGCTGTCGTAAGTACACAAATATTCTACGAAAATTCCACGACAATCATACAATCATACAGTCATGAGAATTTAGTTAAAATCTATTTAGACTTCTAATTTCCTTGATTAATTCAGAATCACCGTGAGAACTTCAAAGGAAAAATCTGACAAAAGGTATTAACACTTCCGCAACTTTAAGATAAAAGGGTTCTTACAAATTTCTTATTTTTAAATTAGATCTTCCCTTCGAACTTTTCAAATAACATTAGAATTGCGTATTTCTAAATTAGACCTTCCTTTCTAACTTTTTCAATAACATCATACTTGTATATTTCTAAATTAGATTGTCCTTTTCAACATTTTGAATAACACCAGGCTTATATATTTTTAAATTAAATTTTTCCTTCTAACTTATATATTTCTAAATTAAATTTTCCTTTCTAATTTTTTTGGTCATTTTCAGAATATAATTTTTTATAGTGTCCAGTGAAAGAATTTTCATATCTTTATGAACACCTGTTCCAGTCAAAGCATCTTCATTTACTATAGTTACGATAGAGATATAAAGGAACAATTTAAAATAATTTATAATAATAACGGAGTCGTATTTCTGAGGTCTGTTGCATTTTGTAAAAGTCCAACAATAGTTCAACACAGGCCAGCGATGCTCTTGCGCGCCACCGAACAAAAGTAATACAAGCGTTCTCAGGCAGAAGAAGAGGAGCTTAAGCTTCTCCTTGACAGAACGATCAAGAACTTTTTGATCACCCCGCGCCACCCAGAACCGTGCGACATAATGCGGTCGAATACTTCTTTCCCCGAAGTTTCTTGTCCAAATAGCACGGTCAAACAGTAGACGGGCTCGATTCATCGACCAAAAAACTCTCTTTCTACTGCACATCTTAGGATACGTCTTCATTAGCCATGCAATGTGATGGAAAAAGGACAACCGAGAAAACAACCCCGTTTCCCGTAACTGACAAGGGACATAACTCAAGTGTAACACGTCAATTTTTTATACCGTTTCATACAGAGGTACTATTTTTTTAAATATTTGACACAAATTTTTCTGTAGCTACTAACATTTTGAAATATAATTGTTTAAACAAATTAGTATTTCAAAAAACTATTTAAGTACTTACTTTTATTATTACAAAACACACAATTTTTGGTAACAAACATCTTTTATAAATCATATAGTTTACGAGATATTAAGGAAAATGTTTTTTACACTTTGAGGGTTGTTTTCACCCCCTAAATGTTAATGTCAGCAGCCACACAAAAATACGTGTCAAATATTTTTCCAAATACTATCTTAGTACGACATTAAAATCGAGATGTTACACTCGAGTGATGTCCGTTGTGAGTCACAGTAATTTCTGATCGAATAATCCTCACGCTGAACGGGTAAAATATTGTCGAATTCGTCGGTTCTATCGAAACGTGTAAAGCTAACCTTGCCTCTGGCCCTCGAGGGCATCGACTGGCGCAGGATCCTGCTCGAAATTACATTTTCAGTTTTCGTTTCCCGTCGCTTCTGGACACTTTCGTTGCTCGTTTCCGCTTCGTCTCCCAAGTCTACCCAAGTCTACCCAAGTCTACCCAAGGCGAAAAGGCGCACCGAGACGGCCCCTTTTTTTTCGCCTTCGCCCAAGGATGTTCCCAAGGGTCCGGCCAGGCTAGCAATTATCACGGACATATCCTTTTACCACGCGAAAAAGGAGAATCATACGGTCGGTTCTCACGAAACAACCCGGAGAGAACCGGATGTCGTGTTCACGTGGCCGGAGATATGAACCTCGAGCTTCGTGGGATGGCTCCGGCGGATTTATATTCGTTCGAAAGAAGCGTTTTTAAGAGTCTCGATCGGTTAAAAGTGGTTCTCTGAAAATAGACAACTTTAATATCAGTGTTAAACATGCTCCGAAGACTACCCGTTTTACGTGTTTTTTTTTTTTGCGATTTGGAACCGATTTTGTGAAGTAATATTTGGATCAGTATTTAATAATAACCCTTAAATTCTAGTAAGAAATTTAACACTAGAATGACCAGCGTGTTCAATATACAGACTCCTCTCAATTATCGTCTGGCTTGTTCTACACGATTATTGTCCAGGCGTTATCGAGAAGAATCTGTATACTAAATTAAATTTTATAATACATAGGAAACCGTTTTTTCTCCATGTTTTGAGGAACTTTGTTGCACACTGCAAAAAGAAACGTCGGTTAATTATCCGTCTACGATTTAGAACCCACCACCGAACCACCATGACTCGTTTCTCTCCTTGGACTGTTACAGACTCTCGAAGAGATTAGGTTATGTTCGCTCGAACGCTCGATTCGAGAGCGTTCCGTGTCGAGTGGTATTTTCTCGCTTGTGATTTTGATGTCCTTCGAGAACAACGACATTGCGCCGCGTTTCTCGTGCCACGGGAATGTTTTGTGATCCCCGGAGAGGCGGATTCCTCTTTGTCGGGGCGCGTTCGCTGGGCTTTCAGAGATTTCAAGAGACAGTTCGTTCTCTGTGTTCTGTTGTCCCGCTCTGGTTCGAGAAGTTAACGTTCGTGGAACTAACTGGCTGTTTTTGGTGAGGTTGTCGGTCGTAAGTGATTTAATGGCTTTTGGTGGACGGATTGGGAATGCTTCTGAGGTTTTGTGAGAAGTGAAATTAACTTTTTTTTTAGTTTTTTTTAACACTTAACTCACGCAATGAATCATTTTTGGTGCCTTGTACACAAATTTGTTTGTCATAAAATCAAATCATTTTAGGTGTATTTAAAACGTTTAAAAATAATTTTGTTAACACACAATGCGTTTGCTTCCGATAAATAACGAAATAGTAATCACAGTAACATCATTTTTCTAATGGATGTCATTTAAAGAAGTTTCGTGCTAGCAGGAAATGTTCCAGATATTGTCACTAAAGTGATAAAGTAACTACTGTTTTAGCCTTTCAAGCTTCGATTACATCTATACATTTAATGTCTGTGTACGGCAGACTTATTCCACTTCTCAAAAGTCTTAGGCATTCCAACACTTTGAGAGAGAGGTCAAAATATAGACGAAGACACAGAGTTCGAGTAAATTACCGTCTGCTAAGTGTAATTGCATCGAAACGTGTTTAGAACTCTCAGCTTTAACGAACTCGCCAAGTGGTGTGTAACCCCGTGCTCGATAAACTTTTGTCGTGATACAATTACAGAAGCGTAACCCCGTTTCGCGTATTAATTGCACGAGGCGTAGTACTTTGAAAATGTCTGTCTGTCTCACTCTCTTGTTCCCCATCCAGCTGCGAGGCACGTCTGGTTTTTAGACCCATTGGAGAAGCCCCCCAAAGGGGAGGAAGCAGTCCGTGGGCCTTCCAAGTCGGTCCATTTATTTCAGAAGCTTTCGTCTCAAGGACTTTCTCTGTCTCTCTCTCCGTTGAATTATCGACGTGTTGTGGATAGGCGAATGCAGAATAAGCTTGGATCTCCTCGGAGACCTGAGTGGGAGATCTTGCGTACACGTGGCTCCGCGGAGAGAGCTGCATCAACGGGAAAACGATTTCCACGAGTGGTACCCAGTTCTCCCCCGTGAATTAGTCCTCGCGAAGTCCTGTCAACGGAATTTCTGTGCATTCTTCTCGCCTTTTTATTTTACAACACGCGATGAAGGGGGTATTCCCATTTGAAAGGGTCAAACAATCAACTTTTTAAATTGTATTTTCTTAAATTATAACATCTTGAAAATGTATTCCCAAACGGATATGCTTCAATTCATGGAAACTACGAAGTTATAACAATTTTAAGAAAAAGTACAAGTTCCTTGGTCTTGGTTCGAGTGGAAATAGCCTCAGCTGGTGTCGTATATTACAGGGACCGAAAGACAGGATTCCCCCGTCTCTATTATAATCTTTGGGAACGTCGCGAACGTTGGTATTAGCGCTGTCATTAACGGCGGGTGTCGTAATCGTATTACCTTCTATCTGCGTTATTAGTCTCTCCCAGGATCCTTAATTGGGATTCCCGCAGCCGCCTGTGAACGACGAAAGATCGATCCTTGGGCTGAGTTGTGTTATGTCACTTCGCTTATCGCGCACATATTCAACCTCGAGTCGTTGTACTGGACACACACAGCCACACAATATTTATATAAATATATGTATTTGATAATCATGTTCGCCCGGAAGTACGATTCGCGCGCGAAACAACGTTTCATATGAACCACGCACCGTTTCCCAGCTTCTGGAACCGGGACGAAGGCGGACCCCGGACGAGCCCCGAAGGCGTTGGAAAATTTCGACCTCGTTGTAAAACGTTTTTTACGATCTTCTTATGAAAACCTCCACTATTACAGTACCCCTGTTGGTCCGCAACGTGTTACGGTTTTACGACCGTGGGGTATAAGATGGATCTTAAAAAAGTATAAACTCGTCGCGCGGGAATGTTAGGAACGGATGGGAAATGAACAGGGTGTATACCGCGTGATCGTACGAAGACAGAACGTTTTTGTTATCTTGTTTTGTGTAAAATGACGGAAGAAACTTTTGGATCGGAATGGTTTTCTTATGATTCTGAATTAGGTCGATTTGGTTAATTATATCTAGTAGTGAGTGTGCAAATGGTTGAAATGTGTTTTGATTTTGCAGCAGACAAACTCTGTTAGATCGATTAAATCTGAGTTAGTTTTAAGTTGGGTCACAGTTATATGGAAGCTACGTCTAGATAGGATATATATTGAGTCTTAGTTGCTTGCTAACCCAGACCTAAGTCACGACTTTGTCAACGTTAGGTCTAGATAATTAAGTCTGAAGGTGAGATAATTAGATTAACACGTTCACTATTAGAGTTGTGAATATGTGTAAGGCTCCAATATTTAGATACTCACCCTGCTGTTCTCACCTACTCTTTACGTTTCTATCCCTTTGCATAAAATGATTTCCAATTCTGAAATAATTTGTTCTTAAGAAATGCAGAATGCATTAAAAAGTAGACGTAAAATTTAAACACGTTGAATACTAAGAATAAATATTTAAAAACCTAACACCTATTGAGGTACAATCTTCATTTCGGGCCATATAGACCCTAGGAAAAAGCAAAGTTAAAAAATCAAACAAAGTCAGCCATTTGTGTTATTCATCTCTGCCTTATGTCTTTTTAGTACCTGATCAAGAACGTCAGGAAATTCTAGTGAATAGAATGATAGAAATCTAGGTCTATGACGAACATTCTTAGAACAACACGATGGTAGCAAAAGCTGTTAAATATAAAAACCATCATAAAAACGACAGAAATAAGAACAATGTCAGTAGTGATAGCGTGCGAAGTGGAATAAGTTTGTCTTAGGTCAGACGAACCCTATAGAACAAAACTTGTCGGACTCGTTGCTCCGTTTTTCAGCGGACAGCTCCGTAGATAAGAACCATAAACACGTAAACGGAGCTGCAAGACACAAGGAAATATATATGTATGTATATCACACGTGTTGCATACTAAATGTCGCTCTACACGGGTCAGACGGAAAAGTTCGTTCCAGAATAACAGCGCATCCAACAACACTGCACGGACGGCGGTACGCGCAATCTTCATTAACGTCCTTACTGCCCGTGGCCCGGCGAGCTTTTTCATCGTAAAATAGAAACTGGGTAAAACGAAGCTTTTGCACGGGGCATCGAGTGGCTATCTCCGCTAAGTCGAAAACGAAACGAGAGATTTGCATCGTTCACGGGATTGGCTTTCCGGTCCATGAAAAAACGGAACGTACGGCACCGTTTACAATGCGAAAGATAACTAAAAAAGACAATTACAATTTAACCATTAACTGGTAAGGTGGGATATAAGGAACCCCAAAAATATTTTTTTTAATATTTCATAATCGAGAATAATTGCGAAAGAAATTTTGTGTGGTGAGTAGTAAGATTTGTGTATAGTAATATTTGGGGAATAAATAATACGGAACTGTAACAGTAACGGAAACTGTATTGGCATAAACTTCCGCAGTCTAATAATAAGATATCCACATGACCAGTGAAAGGTTCAGAGAATACATCATTTGATGTCTACAAAGCTCAGAGCATTAACAGAAATTAATCACCCAATTACGGAGACTACAATCGTTATGGTATAGTTCATAGTCGTCGGACGATCTATAGTCGATGTTAAAGGCTTCATGCACCATTTAAAATAAACTTGTAGGAATTTGAACTCATGAAGCTAAATAAATGGAAATGTTATTTTATTCTGATCGTCGACCGATCGAGAACACCCTCTTCAAAGAAAATTCAAGCGTTGCGAATTTGTGAAACAAACAGGTATAGAACAAACGGTTTTTTACTTTTTAAGAATCTGTCAACAGCAGTCCCGGTGATCGAAGTGTCCTATATGTTCGATTTAACATTCGATCAACCGATTAAATGTTGTCAACGTTCTGTTTCAGTCCACTTTCGACCCGACGAAAGTGATGCTGTATACGCTGAACTTCTTCCTTCTCTGCCTGAACGTGAGTACCACAGTTGAATCGACAAAGAGCCTGTGTGGAATAAAAAAACCTGGTTTCGTTAACCTAAAACTGGTTTCAAATCTCGAAGCTTTAGTTTCGTAATTTTTCTTTCATTTTATCGTATCAGAGTCTTTATGTTTCAGCATCGTTAACTCTAGAACTACCTACTTTCGCAGTGCAACAAAAGTGATTATTAAATTCACATTAGAGCCACCTAATCCGTTAAAACGACAGATACCAGATTTCATGACTAAAATCATAAAGGTGCTTTCCATCGGAATTTCTGTTGACCTTTAATTTCCTGTGCATACCACGCTAATTTAGGATTTAAGTAACTTCTATAAGAAATAACGTTTCACAACCAATCCATATCGCCAGCGTAGGTAGTTCTAATGTCAAATTTACAGTCTTCTCTTATATTTCCAATCGATCTATTCGACAAACTTTTTAGTATTTACTGACGGTTATATTTTTTCACCTGAATGTTATATTCATGTGTTTACCTTTTCCCTTTTTTTATGATTCTCGCACAATTTTCATTTCCGACTCGTCGCAGAGAGATAGGTAGAAATATACAGACTCCTCTCGATTATCGTCCGGCTTGTCCTACACGATTATTTTCCAGGCGTTATCCCCACCGCTGAGAGGGGGGGCGTGAAAATTGTCAAGCGTATACGCTGTTGCCCCGCCGCTTTTGTTGCAAAGGTTTGGGCATCGGATAAAAAACGAATTCAAGAGGGACTAGCATTTCTTCCTATATGATTACTGTCCCAACGCGAACCCGAGTTCGTGACGATAATCGAGAGGAATCTGCAATACGTTACGTTATCGGATGTGACCAGTCGCTGAATTACGAGGCTGTATTCCCACGTGTGTCCTTATATACCGCAGATATATTCGCTGTTGTGCGTGATCTCCCAATATCAAGAGTATTTGGCCGGTCATGGGACCGCCGCGGACGACTACGAATACAGGGTCAGTATTCTGAGAGTCTCTCAGCGGAAACAGGAACGGGATAAGGGACGAAAAGTTAAGTGTACTAATTGTATTGTTCAACTGTTAATTGTGTTATTCGTTACGGGGGATACCCATGGAGATCCGGGTATATCCGACGATATACCAGTTCACGGTTGCTTCGAAACCGAATTCTGAAACCTAAACAGGGTGTCCCAGCTAAAATGAGCACCTTCAATATCTCACTTGTTATTGAAGAAACAAAAAAATGTGAGGGGACAGTATTACTTTTTTTAAGGTCATATTTTTGAAATTTCAAGGCCATCGATGTTTTTTTTTAATGGGACTATTTAATAACTTATCTTATACACTGAACGTAAAAGTAATATCTACACAAGCAACGAGATGAAATTTAATCCTTTGCCCTCGATTCTCATCTCCGAAGGGGCAAAAAGGACGGGAAATAGGGAAATTCCGAAAGCAAAGGGTTATGAATACGACGTAAAGCCTCACAGAAACGTTTAACAGGAGTAGCCATCTCACTCTGAATACAAACCACCGTTTATTAGCCCTAGAGAAGTGTAGATACTCTAGAAATGTCCAACCAAATCTCATCCTTTCTTCCATCACGACCGAACCAACGATACTAATAGCGATGGCGAGCAAACTCGCTCTCGAATGGAAATCGAATTGCACCCCCTGTACAACGGAAATCTGGCTCTCCGACGAAATCACTGGGGGGGTTGCCAGCGTTAAAAGGTCCCGAAGGGTGAAGGGTATCGATGTCGACCGATCTTATTATCCAAATGGAAGCTTTCCGCCAGTCAATTGGAACGTGTCCCTCGTTTCCATGATTCTCTCGAAGAAACGACACTCGATCCAGCTCCATTGTTCGCTAATGCACTCTCTCTATCCTCCCAACCGATACCAACCCCCCATGCGATAATCGATTCTAATTCATCACATTTTCGACTGACTTTGATCACTCGATACCGGCGATTTTTCGTGAAACATCGATAATTTCTTGATTAACAAAGCGAACAAGGATTCGAATTGTTTCTGTCTGTTCGCTTAATACCGGTAATTACAGGACGACCCTACTGAATCCTTATCTTTGAAATTTAGGGGGTCGTTATCTTCCTTCTTATGAAATATAGGACTGGGCGCGATGTTATCTTCACGGTGCTTGCTGAATTAGGCGATTACTGATACACGTTTCGTGAGGGAACCCAGGGATTTAAACGTCGGTTAAAATCGGTTTAAATGTAGCGTACTGTTGAAGATGATACAGAACTTGTAGGATGGTAGAATAAAATATTAGATATGTAAATAAAATACCGGATGATCTAAAGTCCAGATATCCCCGAACAGTCTGCGTATTGATTGAATTTCTCGTTTTGATCGAAAATGAAGTCTCAATTCTCCAAAGTGTTTACGAGAACACCAGTGGCAGTCGAAATGTCAAACATCGTGATCTCTCACCCGAATCGCGATAGCAATGAATGAATACCATAACCAACAGTCCATGGACCTAATCTCCACGACGGCGTGTAATAATACGGTCGAATCCAAAGAGGAAATTCGATCGTTGCTTCAGACTCTGATTAATGTAGACTGTGTTGCCGGAGTGACGTTCTACCTGGCTCACGAACACACGCTGCAGCGTGCACGTTAAATCGGACACGCGTGTTCTATTGGCTCTCCTCGAACAGGCGGAGGCTTGACGCCTCGACGTCCTTCCGGCCGAAGGTCCCTCAAATAGGCGTCATTCGGGTTGACAGCCACGAAGATTGGTGACAGGACTGATTCGACTCGGCAGGGCACGCTGTTCGCCAACCGAGAAAACGAAGCGAACCCCGTGTGCAAGATTTATTAGATCCGAGGCTGTATTCGATCGGGATTACGGGCCCCCATGGAAATGGTCGACGGTGTACTCGCGATTCCGCATCTTCGTTGATTAATGAGCTTTCAACGGAAACAAATATATTCCCTTGCATTCACTGAATCTCCAACTATAACGCTACAGTAAAAACTGTTTTCGTCGTTTTAATCCCTAAGTGGATTGTCTGAGATCCAATACAGATAAAAGTCGGATAAAGGTTAACGAGGTTCTTTCATTTTATCTGGAAACCCATTAGAGGACATGACCTACTAAGGACCAAGCAGTGAAATAATACGATTTTTATACGGAAGATTTTTCATTCTCTACAAAATTGCATACCTACAGGGTGCGAAGTAATAATTATATCAGACAAAATATTTCTAAATCTTGGGGGAATTGATTACTTTGTCTAATGCACTTTTAACATACTATAACGAAATTTTAATATACGTAAAAAAACCTGATTGTTCCGTGCATAAACGAAACAAGACCTTGTATTAGCACGTGGCCTAAACATGGACGCCCATCCCTGTGTACACTGTATTTCGCTGAAAATCCAATTATAAAATAGGTCTTATGAAGTGTCCTTTGAAGGTTCCAGCAGTGAGGTACGCGACCCAGCCGCCAACAACGACCGCCACGTCCTGCTTGAGCTCCCGGCGAGCAGCGACCAACAACGAAACCAAAGCGACCGCAACACCGACACAGAGTCCTACGGCGGGTCTGAACGCTCATTCTTTGGAGAAAAGTCCGGTCTCGGGCCGGCCAACGAGGAAGCACGTGCAGTTCCCCGATACAGCCTCGGACGATCAGAAGGGAAAGTCTGGTAAGCCGGTTTATAATCGAAATTTATGATAATTCAATAAATAACCACTTCTTAACTATACTTGGAAGCAAGTAAATGGTACGGCAGCAAACACAAGAACATTTTTGACACGCAAGAAATTCAAAGACATCAACATATGAAAGCTACTTTTAGGGGTCTAGCTAAGTGAAAGTCTTGAAGACTAGTACTGCCTTCAGCATTTCAAAAATTTTCAGAACTTGTCTGAAAAGGAACGTAATTTAGAAAGTGTGTGATTTGTACAGCATATCAAAGGATAATGTGTGAGTTCAATAATCTAGTGACACCTTTTGGTAGCAGCCAGAGCCTAACTAGTCCTTAAGGCTCCCTAGCTTTAAGTCTTCACTGTATCATCAGCTCCAAGTATACACTACATAGTGTTCGATGTCTAGCTGTCGTTTTTCCTGATAATGTAATTATTTCCAAACACACAGAAATTCTACCAAATTTTCTATCATCCTACAGAATCTCTGGGTTGAATGGTAAAACCACGAAACTCAGCAAACAGACGTCAACTACATTAATTCAATATCGAAACCCAGTTTTCATAAGCGTTTAGAGCTCGATTACATAACGCTAATGAACTCCGCGAACCGGACACGCATTGTTCAATTTCCAGTAAATTACATCATCGAAAACTGATCCGATAATTACATCGCCGATTAATTTCGTAGCGTAGATCAACCTCTAATCGATCCCGGGGCAAAGAGTACGAGTACGTTGACCAAACCTCGGCACATCTGCTCGACTAGATTATTATTTGTCCCTCCCGACAGCCACTGACGAACAAAGAAGGACGCCAGGATTATGATTTCCAAGCAATTTAACCCGACTGAATTCGCTTAATCTCGTAGACGGCGTTAAGATCATCGCTTTGATCTCAAAATTGAATCGGAAGCTACTGTGCTCCAGTTTCCTCCCTCCTGGAATGGTGTAACGAACACTGGCTATCTAAAATTGCCTTCGAACGATTATTTGTAGACAGGAAAACTTATTTCTGGATATTCCAGGTTTTTATAAGAGTGATTTAACCTGTTGACTGAGTACTTATTGTCGTGTAATAAAATGGATTAAGATTTATTTCGAACGGGCATAATATACCGATTTTTTTGAATGGGTACATTTAACCCCATGATTCAAAATGTCATATATTGCCCGCATTAGATCTGTATGACATAGGTAACCCAACTTCGCCTACCCTACGCTTCCATTTCATTCAGCTTTCATTTCAGCATCTACAGACGGGACAATCCACAGATTCTTCCCTTTCTCTGTTCCAGAGAGCTCAACTACCATGTTGATACCGAGAAAGGACACCGAGTCCACGAATCTGCTGCCATCGTCGCCGCTGAGGCTCGAGGATCCGAGCACCATTGATCAATCCCAAAAGAATAGTCTGATCCGTCACACCTGAATCCAGACCACCACCTTGTCCAACGTCGACGCTAACAATGGAGTCAGTCGTTTCGCCGTTGCAAGGTGCACGCTGCGAAACAAATCGACCGGTTGGACGCGTCACCGAGTCCAAATGAATTATTTATCCCCGTAGAGGGTGAACACGCGACAACCAGCGTGGCTGTGTACATCCGTGGCCATGTTAGGAATCTAGTCTACAGACAGCGTCTACTTCGGCCACGGATCGCTGTCAACTAATCGAATCCGACGATCGAACAGTTGGTCAAGTTTCACGCGACTCTGGCTTATCGAATTTGCGGTAACGCTGGCTTCGCTGGACCGTTCGTTATCGGGCAACGGTTGCCGTTACATGTCGATCGAAGAGGAACGTTGGGTCGAGGAATCAGTCCGTTTGGATTTCGAGGAATTGGCTGGAATAGAACTTTATGATTTCAGTCTGAAGACTAACGGTGGTAGGAGATTGTTCAGATGAGTCTTCCACGATCCCTAATGTAGTCCTATCGCCGAGCTTTTAGGGAATATTTTAGGGAAGAACAGTTGGACGAGAGCTCGTTGCTCTTGACGGAAATTATTGACAAAAATTAGACACGTGAATCTACTCGAAGTTGAATCCACAAGTTTATAATTGATTTCAAATGTCGAAACATCATCTTTTTCTATCGTACTTGTCGAACTAATGTGTAGATAGCTCGAAAGATGGATCGACAAATATGACAGTATTTCGTTTTGCCGTTTATTTACACGGAAACTTTAACATAATTCGAGAATCGAGTACATCATCGTGTATTTTTACATTCATTTTCCAAGCAACAATTCGAGTGAAGTGTTTCTTTCCATCGCCAGTTTCCTCGAAGCCGAATTCCTACCTGGAAGCCGTCAAGGCAATAAGAAGGGGAAGAGAAACAAGAGCGAAAAGAGGGACGTTTAACAAGCCTATTCTGAGCTACTATAGACTGTCAGGTTTTCTAAGAAAAGTTCATAATAGATCTAGCAACAGAGGAACTCCAACAATACCACTGACGAAGTACAAACTTTACTTGCTTCTCTACATCTTCCTCAAACCTTCTCCATCCACATCGATTCAACAAATACGACTGACTCTTTCCATATTATTATACAAACAATTATTCAAGCTGGTTAAACGTTCAGTCAATAGAAAATCATCATACATCCAGTATTTTCCATGAGACAAACGGCTAATGAAACAGACAGTCCAAAAGAAAATTAGCGGGAAATTTCAACACGAAGCGACGAATACTGTTAGAAAGAAAAATCCGCAAGGAACTTGTTACTCGGCCCAACGTATGATCCAGCAAGAAAAAGATCGTTACCCAAGCGCATGGAGGTCTCGTTCGAGGCGGCAAAATCGAAAAAGTTGCGCGTGATTGATACGGCGACCAAACAAATAAAGACGCGAAGTTTTCCGATTAATGCGAGAATGTGTGCAACACGACGGGGACAAAGGAGGGGGAAGCGGGATATAAATCGAATCGAACGATAAGCGTTTGCTCGAGCGTGTCGATCAATATTGACGCGTCCGATAACGACTCCGTCGTCGAATAATAAGAATCGATCTTTCCGAAGATGAAAGTCTCAGCAACCCCCCTCCCTTCGCGAAATTTTCAAAAATTCGACTCGATCTCGTTTCTAGGAATGTTATCGTTAGGATATAAACTCTTTACTTCATCTAAGGCTATCGACTAGTTCATTCACATGACTGACGAATGTAATTAACCGTATTTTTGTATTGTACATTTTCAGACGGAAAAAAAAAGTGAAAAGTATTTTCGAGCGACCGGCGCGACGTTCATTTTTGTTCCCAAGTGAGCGATCTGTTTTACCGATCCGGTCGACGCAATCGGTATCGCGTTCGAATGCGTCGATGCTTCCTCTTTGGTTCGCGGACTGTTTGAACGGAAACTGTTCGCCTATCCGTTACAAGTACACTTCTGATTGAAAATAAATCAATTACCCGACTGTATCTCCGACTGTGTATATATAGAAATATATTATTGTAAATTCGATCGTGTTACCAGTACCTGTTTGTATAGGATCTGAAGAGGACTTTTAAAAGGCTGTTTAAACATTTTCAATAAATAATTTATGTGGTTTTCTAAGCCTAGATTGCACTTATTCCCAGAACAACGACCTTTAAGTGGCTCATAATCGTATCGAACGGTAGATTCCTAGCTTCACGTTCGATGAATTAATGTTATACTTTTCGTGTGATCAATAGTCTGTAGTAACAATACGATTCATTAGTAGATACATATTGTATGGTACACCACAGGCTATCAGTTTTCAGAAAAACATGAAAGAAATGTGTAATTAAGAAGGTAGGTGGAAAGACTATATTTTATAGATTCTTTTTATCTACTCCTAGACAAAGAAAGGTCAAATAATCCTCAGTCATCCTGTGTACCATCACTCTTTCTGGACATTTACTGTCTCCTGGACCGTATCGAAGATGAAACGTCAAAGAATCCTAACTCATCCTGCACCGTTACTCTTTTGTCGTTCTCCCCTTAACATCCGCCATATTGCCATCAATGTCTCGAGGCAGGAGAGCTATCAACAATACGATCTATCAACAAACTATGTAATACAAATATTTTTATTGGAGGATTTTTAAAATTCCCTAGCACACAACTGGATCCTCAAACTGGTGAAGTTTCAAAATGTGGCAGAAGTCACATTTTCTTCCTAACGATCCTCTCCTCTATCCTCGAAAGTGACATGCGCTTTGTCTCCGGCAGGTAAATCGTTAGAAAGATGATCCCAAGAGCGTTCAACGCGGAAATGATCCAGAAAGCAACGTACATACTGTGCTCGAACGCGACGACGCTGCAAATCCAGACCAGAACGAACGACCACAACAAGTTCAAGCAGAAGCAAAGACCGATGCACGTCGCCTTCGCGTACATCGGGAATACTTCGTTCATGATCACGAATGGTACGCTGGTTAAACCCAACGACACGCTAACTGCGTAGACTAGAATCGCCGTGAAGGCTAGCCAATTCAAGCTATCGACGTCGATGTTGTTCTCCAGCATGCAGAAATAAACTCCTAACAGAAAACTGGATATAACGACGCCCACGACGGAAATGATCATCAATGGCTTGCGTCCCATACGATCCACGTGGCCGATGCACAAGCAATAAGTGATCAGTTGCATGACCGCCAGGACGATGCTCATGTAGGTCTCTTGCGAGTCAACGTTGTGGATCTTCTTGAAGATCGGCTGAGTGTAGGCGATCAGAATTATGGAGCCGGAGAATGCTTGCAGCGTCATGACACAGACGCCTATTAGAATCGCTCTTCTTCCACCTGAAACTTGAAAAGACCGTATAAATAATTGCTAGAAAGTTTGGTAATATTTCAAAGGTAACAGAATATTTTCAATGATAACATTTAAAGGGAACAGTTTAGTTGATCTTTAACGTACTTATTTGGGTAACCGGAGGACAATCTACAATTACCTAAGGTCCTTTGGATTAATTGAACCATCTAAACCATCAATTTTTATAAAAATCGTATTTATCTATGCACAGAAATTAGTATATTAAAAGAAAAGAATGACCAGAAGTAACTTGATACTTTTACAAAAAAAAAGTTTATCATCTTATAAAATCTTTTGAGCCTACTATTATTTTCAAATTTCCCGCCAGTGGCTTCACTGAAGAATGAACAATTAGAGGTTACAACGAACAATTTTCTTAGAACGAATTGAAGGAAAATGGAGAGGACATTCTATTAGAAGCGTCACCTGCTTTGGACATCAGATCCAAGATGGCCGACACCACTCCAGTATTCCGGGGCTCGCACTCCACTGATCTCATTATCGAGTCCATTTCCTCCGAGACCCCCCCAGTGCCGCGTAAGAACATGAGTGAGTCCATGGCAGGTGCGTAACGTTTCCGTCGTAGAAGGTAGTACGGGGTTTCGGGAAACCAGACGAATATCAGGAACTGTAGCGTCGTTAACGACATCCCCGCGTAAGCGTACTCCGCCATAGTGGTGAACGAGCCGATTACGTAGCCAAGAAGACTACCGCAATAATCCATCATCACGAAAAAGCTTCCGAGAGCCCCGCGTATGTGGGGCGGAGCGATCTCTGTCACGTATATAGAGCCAGCTGTGAAGACCATGCCACTGCCTATGCCGCCTATAATGCGAGCCGCGTACAGAGTCTAAAAGTTTATGGTAATGGTAAAGTGGATGGAACGCTTCAACTTACATATGGATTTTAGGATCAAGGAATAATGTGGCTCTTTGTGGAGAATACGAATTTTTCATTATTACTTTTTTAAAATATAGCTTTAGAGATACGGGAGATTAATATTTGAGATTTTAATACCCTGACGGGTCTGAAAGTTGATGAAAATGGTAAAGTAGAGGAATAGAGGACTTGTTTGTGGATAACCAGAAGAATTATTCGTCACGATTTTTGAAAAGTATGAATTTAAAGATTGTGGATTAATATTTAACATGGTAATAGTTTGGTGATTCTGAAGTTTAATGAACATGATAAGGAAGCTGCGCTTGATCTAGCCTATTGAGCTAATAAGTGAGGAATCCAGAACTCGATCATTGGGGGTTTGTAGAAGTTTACATTTAAAAACTGTGGATTAAAATTTACAATTTAAGCATCTCGACAACAAGTGGGTTTAAATTATTTGAGACCACATTTTCATAAAAAGTGTGATTAATCAAGCCGGATTCTAACATTGCTTAAGAACTAAGCTCCGTCCATGGCCTTGCAACAATATACAAACATATCTGCTAAAAAGTTTCCAAATGTTTATTCAGCTTGCAACATCACAAGGTATAAAAAGCGACACGAATTAATTGAGCGAGCCGTCAAAGAGCGAACAAACGACAGCGCCACTGAAACGATCAGACGTCGAAGCCGGAACACACGAATTACCGTCAAAGCTTTTGTTTCCTAATCATTGAAGCACAATTGTCTGTTTACTTCCTATCGTTCAGTCGTTTACATAGTAATGTAATTCTCGCCGTTTGGCATTGAATTCTCAAATTCGAGCCCCAAAATCACCAAGCAGTACCAGCTAAAGCCAAAATATTACCATTTACATACAAATGAAGTTCACTTGACATTCGCACTAATTTTCGAAAATTCCATTCTACCGACAAACAAATCGCATAAAAATAAAACACAAATACAATCCTCAATTTCAAGCCGAGTCGGACCTTGAACTGCAAGGTCTTATTGTTCGACACGATTTTTACGAAAAAGCATTAATATTACCGATTAAAAGGACTAATATTACCGACTTTTTTCCAAACAGATAATTATTTGCCACTTGCAAAAGCAAGGGTTTGTCAAAATTGTTAACAATGATAATTTTGGATTACGTCAATTGAAGAACAATAGCTTTCATGAACAGACCGTAATCGACGAGCCCCAGGCAATCAGCGACCAGCTCGAAATGGCAGGCACAATGGCGATCAGTATCGTGATTTTTCGGCCGAGGTGATCGACAATAAACGTCGAGAGCAGACACCCGAATGCCATTCCAAGCTTCAGCAACGACACCGTCCAAGACGCCTCGTTTCGGCTGATCCTCAAAGTCGAATCCTCGGCCATCAATTTCGGTATCATCGGCGACGGCCATCCCAGTAGCATCCCCGTGGCCACCTGGACCAGGCTCACTGTCTTCGAGTAATATTCGTTAATGCGATTTATTCATCGATCGAAACGGTTTTCACGATCGGTTCTCTTACCCACGAAAGTCACCGCGTAAAGTCTTACGTTCGACATACTTGCAACTGCCACGTGACACGTCGATGGAAAGGCGACACTAGGTTTTTCCAGTGCATACAAATACCGCCGATAAATGTTTGTAGTCGGTGACAACGACCGGTTCTAACTGTTGAGCTCGAGGACAGGTATTACGTTAGTATCAATGTCGTTAGCCGAGGGTATACTGGGTGTTCGTGTTAGTATTCACCAAGAACTGCTTTCGTTAAAGAATTAATGAAAGGAAGACCAAAGAAACTCAGGTTTCACTTTTGATTGCATTGTACAGTAGTAGTCTACTATTTTGTTGTGGTTAGATATCAATGTGTGCAAGCAGGAAAGTTGATAATACTAAATACATGTAAAAAAAAAATTCATCAACTGTTATATTGTGTTCATTTAAAATTCTTGAATATTGGGAATATGGAATACTGGTAATATGAAACATCAATAATATGGAATATTGATAATATGCAGTATTGGTTATATGGAATATTGGTAACATGGAAAACTGGTAATATAGAATATTGATAATATGGAATATTTGGTAACATGGAATATTGGTAATACGAAATCCTCGAATAAGCAATTTCAAAATTTTAGAAAATTCTGGATTAATCAACATAGAAACTTCTCCATCATTTCTCCTCTAAAAATCTAACTTAATACTCCCACAACAAATGATCTCAAACTATTAAAAGCCTCTCTATCAATACGCAACGCACAAAAGCTCAAGCATCGATTCATATTGTTGTATCGAAGAACCCCAAAATAATTGCTCCTTGGACAATCGATACCAAACATTTGAAATCTGGAACAATGACTCTTCAAATTCGAAGTGAATGACCATTGACCAACATACGAGATTCGAAATAATTTTGAATTTTTCCCTTTCTATTTCGAATCTCTACGCCCACCACAATGTGTCTCTTACATATCGGAGGAGAAGAGGACGGAAAGTGCACGTGTCGATGGATTAAAGGCAGAGATGACAGTCGATCAATGAGAGGGGACATAAGTGCAACGTGCGCATGAAATACAAGTGTAAGCACGTGCTAAATCATCTTTCACGTGCATACGCAACCCCGGTCATACGCAATGCCCCGCCACACGCGTTGTATTTATTCGCAGTTTACACTGTGAGTAACGAGCATTGATTACTCGGTGATGTTAATTATCGCTGCCAGCGACGGGACGGTATTGCCCCCATTCGCGAACGTTCAACGTTAATTCGATTACGTTCAATTTTGTTCGATGAAATTTTACGGTATTCTAATTGGAAAAGTGTCTCGGTATCAATTTGCTTTATTACGATGTATAAGGTGTTAGTAAACGATTATGGTGAAGAAGGAATCAATTGGGTCGTAAATGTGGCATGAAATTTATTCGCGTGTGTCTACGTTATTAAATAATTTTTTTTTATGAAATTCAAACTATTTTCAAACAGTAACTAATAGATAACAATTATACTGTTATTAATAAAAAATAATAATAGTATAATCGGATATAAGCTTGGGGTATTAAAGGTAATTTAAAAATATTAAGACTCTAAGCTTGTTAATTTTACTCGTTTGGTTATGTTGACGATATAAGTATTATAATAATTCTGTTTGCAATGATTATTTTCAATACTTTCGATATTCATAATCGGTTATTTTTAATTCACTATTATTAGTACGAATCCATTAAACCCGTGGTTTCGTAATCGTACGTTTCTGGTCGATCATGCTGCGGGGATATAATCACCGTAAGTAGTAATGGCTCATACAGGATCAGCGTCAGTAGTAACGAGCTGCACTGATCAGACTATGGTTCACGCAATCCAAGCAGAGCTGCTAATTCTCCAACATCCTCGCAGTCACGTCGATACGATTCGGCTTATTTGTCATAAACAAAATTTTATATATGTTTATATTATTATAACTAATCGGTGCTCATTTATTCATTAGCCTGGACAACTCAATGTTAAAATATTGATGCAATACACAAAATGAGAACATGGGCATCATATGAAATCCATTTCTCGCCACAATGAATAATCCATAACGGTTAATGAGTCATTTCGCAGTGGAATATTACAAAATAAATCATTAATAATGTGTGACTAATTCGTTGAAAACATGCATGAATATTCAGTAAAAATTTATAAGACGAATAAAATCGAGTCCAATACAAATCATTTCAATATTTATGTAATATATTTTTAATGCAGAAAACGATTATTAATAATACATAATACGTTTAAACACACATTTTTCAATCTCGATTCCTATCATGTCACTACTTGGCATTGAACGTGGCACAATTAAACAAAAATGTAAATTGTAGAGAAGTTTTTTAAAATTTACATTTGTGTAGCTAAGGCCAGGATGATAGTGACATAATTGCTCTTTGACGCAATGCTGATGGAATTATACATATACATGTATTTATTTTAATTTACATATGTATATTTTAATTTATATATGCCGTTTTACATGATAAAACTATAAACGCAATGTAGACCTTGCATTTATTAAAAGCAAATTTGAAATTTTGTGAGTTGTGCTACTATCGATGCCAAGCAGCGATATATTCCCCTGTACACCGAGAATCGAGGTGAAACACTCTGATTCGCGAGGGAAAGTGGCAATTATCTATAGGCTGGAATTTAATTGCAAGCTAACGGAGTGCTTTGTGCCGTTGGTGTTTGCGCAAGGTGCGTCCCAGGCGTGTAAGGTTGCATTGTACGTTACGAGGCTGCCGTGGAAGAGATGCCGCTTCTACGTTAGCGACCGTTAAGTGCTTCCGACCCTAAAACGGGAAACGTTGAGCAAACAAGGTGGTAAATAATCTCGAGATACAACTAAGGAGTCTTATAAACTCCACAAATCAGTTCTCTGCTGCTATAACGTTTATCTGAAAATTTTCTGGAACATTATCGATATTTCTCAAACCGATTTTCGATCATCTAACAAGAAGAGTACCCCTAAATGATGTCTCACATTTAGTTCATACCACAGAAAAACCCTATTGTCTCTAGGCCACTTCTTTATTCTCCATTTTCTCAAAAACAATGGTCTATGTGACAGTGAGCTAATAGAGTTTGTCTGTGTATAGTCTGTACTTTAATTGAGAAAAGTTTCAACGAAATCTATGACATCACTTTGGTGTTCACGCGTCGTTAAGAAGTAGAATGTTGCAAGCAGACTAGCACCCAAACTCAGAAGATCATCAAGATATTGAGACAGTACCACAGCTGATACAACAAAATCTAAATAATAATTATCATAAATCCTCCAGAAGTTTCAGATCTACTGGATCATAAAATATTTCAGTTCTGTCATACTTCGAGTCCACTCACATTAGCTTCTCAAACTATCCATGAAGGATCCGAAGAAACTCATTTTTTTCTAGCTTTTGTCTTTCGATTCACCAGGTTCACAAAAATGGAAAGTGTTTGCCCACACTTTGGGAAATCTTCTTCCAGCCACTCGAATATCCCCTCTCTAGGGAACGGCCCCCCGGACAAGCGGACAGGAAATCCCCGAGACATATTGCTGAACGTGTCGCGGCCCGGAACGTAAAACGGACAGATACGAGTGAACAGGTCGTAAAACACGCGGCAGAGGAAAACCTTCCACGGTAAGGAAATTTCACGTTCGCCCGTTCTATTTTTCGCCAACCTTTACACGGAGGGACGAAACTCGCCCGATGGCGGTTGAAGAAAATATCGTTGGGGACTACGAAGGGTCTGGGCCATATTATTCCGGTTCGACGAATGGATTTCTTTCGAACGAGTGTTCAGATCCGTGCGTGGAACAAGATTGCGTAACACCATCTTCGTCGCAGTAATTCTTCTCGACTGGTCTTTTTGTCCGATTAAGAGTAACGAGACTGTTAACGTTAATTTCGAAATTAAGAAACTCAAAATCCACATGAATACCTGTTCTGAACATTATTTCCAAATTATAATAAATATCTTCCCTCAACGTTGATGCTGAATTATGAAAACCAAAAACCACGTAAATGTACCCTCTCTTAACGCTGATTTCCAAATCATGAAACTCAAAATCCACGTCAGTACCTCCTGTTAACATTGATTTCCAAATCATGGAACATAAAAATCTGTCATCGCGACACAGCGCACATGACCGTGACAATGAAAAACGACTTTCGATTGTTCTTCGATAGGTTGTTGTACACGTGATTCGCTATCGTTCTCGTCTCTTTTGGGTCGATACAGATCCCCGAAGCTGCTTCAAGGACTTCTCCGCCATTTTGTAATCATTTCAGGACATTAAGTAGAGTCTCTGGTGTCGACAGCAAAAGAAGGCCACAGAGAACGAACGATGTGTTCGCGATGGGAATGGCGCGTCATGTAATGGCACGAAGTTACAATACGGTTACATTAGCATGATTCCGAGGTCCATGGGACACGTTCGACTACACGTGACTACTCCCCAATGATTCATGTCAGTTATTTCCAACAAGTCATCGCTGACAGACACGTCGCCCACGACTGAACCGATGATTACACAGGGTGATACAAAATACATCTAGAAAATGAAAATTGAAAATGCAATCTTTCTATTGCGTTATAAAGGTTAAAAAAAAGGTTTGCAATTTATTTAATGTAGTGGATAAAGAATGTATTGGCATTTAGTTACTTTCCGAAAATAATCCTGTTAATATCGAGGCAATTTCTGTCAGCTTTGCACCTTCGGTTGCAGTTAGCTTGGGAGTAATAATACGATTTTTTATCAGTAGACTACGGATTATACGCGGAGGATTTAACGTTAAAAGGGACACTTAACTTATGAAATAAATCAATTCTTAACAATTTCGCAACATTGCAGAGAAAAATTTAAATTAGATTCAATTGTTGTGTACAATCTTAAATATGTGTTTAATTGTGTCCAATTTCACTAGTTCTTTATACGGTTAAATTGCCTCGACTATGGATAGCGTTACAAAATTTCCAACTGATTATTATTCTATAATTTTTATTAAGTATAAGATGACATCAATATCTTACAGAAAATATAGAATAAATTACTGGAATTGATTCTGGATCGATTTTTCTGTTTTCTCAAAATCCATCAAGTGATTTATGGACAGGAAATGTGCAAATATCATTTTGTATCCACTATACGTACAAATAAGATCACGATGCGTGGAATACTACATAAAAGCGATGTAAAATATCGAGGTTGCATTATCTCAAGTTTCTAGAGTACGGAGGACGGAAACTGCACTGTAACTTTAATGCATCAGACTCGGTCTAGCATAGCGGAACAGTAGCGTTACGGAAGAGGGATACCATCCAGCTGGTTATGAATGCTAGTAACGAGCAGAGGAGCACGTATTTTCTGCCTATGTGATCCCCTATAAACAACGTTCTGAATACGCCAATTAAGATCCCGATTTCTGGCAGGGAAGCGACCCATGATATCGTCGACCGCGGTTACGTTCGTGGGCGAGCGGAATGGAGACGTCCGACCATAATGAAAGCCGGTATTCATGGAGAAGAAAGTATACTAAAACAGCGTAATATCACAGAAACAGTCAATTTGTCGTCTATATTCGGAAACTATAACAGTTCGTTCCTTAACAAGCAATGAAAATTACGTTGGAGTTCTTGGGAGTGCTTAATGAAAAAACGCAAATTTCACTGCACGCGATTAAACGTTATTTTCTTTTATCCCGTAACAACTGCTACCGTCATATATTGAAATGGAAAATGCAAACAAGAGAAAGTTTTTATAATGTTTAATTGTATGAAAGTTTTATTATTAACGTAGAAAAGCCTCCAGTCCAGAGTTCAAAATTCTGTTTCACTTTAATTTCCATAACGTTTTATAAGTCATAACTGTAGGTTGTTGGAACATAAATATTCACCAGTTTATCGTTTGCACATATTTCCAACTATCGATTACGATCCCCTAATCTCGATACTGTTAATAAATAGCGTGTACAGTATAAAAATTTTCTATATTTCTCAACAATAAATGTTTCTACAATTAAACGAAACTCCAGAGAGCGCAAATTATTTCTCTGGTCTCTTCCACGACATTAATATTTCCATAGACAAAGACTAAACACACAACATACAATCCTACATATTCAGCGTCATCTCGAGATTTCCAGTCCGTCCCTAAAAGGATATTTAAAAATCCCAAACGTTAAAATATCTACCAATATCATCGATAATATCTAGAACAACAACGATTTTCTTTACAAAATAAAAATAGTCCACAGAGTATTAAAACAATTTTCGTCCATGCAACTGGTCCTGCACTTCCTGCAACGTTTTCCCCCTGGTCTCGGGCACGTAACAGTACACGAAGACCATGCCCATCAGAGTAATACCGGAGAACAGCCAAAACGACGCGTACCTGCCGAACGCCTCGACGATACTTGGGAAGCAAACAGTCACGAAAAAACCGAACAGATTACAGCACATTATACCGATCGTACTGCCGAGAGCTTTCACGTTCGTCGGAAAGACCTCGCTGATCATGGTGAACGGAATCCCGGCCAATCCAACGGCATACGTGATTATGTACGATAGCGTACCGATCGCCGGCAACCAAACGATCGAGTCGACATCCATCTGACGGTGTTGAAGGTAAAAGAACAAGCCCACCAACATGGTCGACATGGAGGTCCCGAATGTTGAAAAGATCAGCAAGGTTCGACGGCCAAAACTGTCCACCACGACGGTGCTAAACATAGCGGAAACAACCTGTACGGCACCCAGCATCATTGTTATGTATTTGCCCTCGAAGTTATTGCCCGTTGCGGTGAAAGTCAACTCAGCGTACGAGATTATGGCCATGCTGCCGCTCCACTGTTGGATCACCGCCAAGCAGACGACCACCGTCAAGGCTCTGTAAGAAGGATGACGGTTGCAACGATCGTTCTATTAATGAGTAACTATCTAGGGGTCTTATCCTTCTAAACGGTTCGGAGTGGAACAAAACAATTATAAAGAGTCTCGTCTCTGACAGCGTTCTTTGATTCACAGCTTCTAAAGCAATCGATCAACCGGGGTTAGCCTTCATCTCCAAAATTTGTCGAAAAGGAATACTTCCGAAAGTGAAAAATGGGTTGTCCTGTCGACTCCTCCAGGCGATTATTTCTAAGATGATTCTACTGATATGGAATAATATTTTGTAGATAAAGTGTTTACGATCCTAGCATGATTGTTTTTCGGAAGCATATCCTCTACGATCTCGCACCATTGAGCTACCATCAAAGAAATTCATCTAAGTACACGCACTTGCGATTCCCCGAAACGGTCAACAGCTCCCTCAGCCCGGTGTCGTTCTCCAAATCAATTTTCACGGATTTCTCCATGTTCTCTGCTTCCACGGAAACGTTCATGGTACCCCTTATTCGCGCCAGGGTCTGTATCGCCTCCTGGTGTTTCCCGCGACGCATCAGGTGGTACGGGGACTCTGGTAACCAAACGATGCTAAGCACGAACACTATCGGCAACGACATTGACACCAGCGCCAGATTCCGTGTGGATAGGAACGGACCTATGATCCATTCGATGAGCAAACCGATTTTCACCGCGACAGTCAACGCAGAGGTCAAGATCCCACGTATCCTCGCTGGCGAAATTTCTCCCATATACATCACAACGGACACGTAGCCGGAACCGCTGCTTATTCCACAAATGAATCTTCCTACGTATAATTCCTAGGCAAAGGAAGAAAAGACTGCAGGTGAGATAGACACATTTTTTGTTTTGCGGAAAATTGGTATATGACAATCATTGGGCGTAAAAGTTTGTGGATAATTAGAGGGTAGTTGACAAGTCGTCCATGCATGGATGACGCATCTTTTGGTTTAAAGCTGACAATTCGTGTTATTAGTGAAATGTTAAATGATGTTCTATGCGGTCCGAGAACGTTTGGTGAACGGGGGTTGTGAGAACTGTTTAATTGTACAGACTTCATTTCGTTAGGTCTAAGCACTCTGGGTGCTTTAAAGGGACTGGTCTGTCAGACAAAGTGAAAAGTCAATTGATTTTGTTCTAGCTTCCGGATCAGTGGCCACAAATCAATGTAAGCTTGATTACTAAAGTTTGCTAAAGTACTTTTAATATGTTCTAGATTTAATTGCTAATACGCTTTAAAACACGAACGTTTGATATAATGGACCATTCAGCGAAAAGGTTCGCGCGAATGCTTCGGTCACAGATAGATAACAAAACAAAGAAATATCCTAGCAACACTTTCATTATCTTCACTATCATCATAACCTTGACGATTCTTTAAAAATTGATGTAAGTCAATCGACGGCTTAAAGTATCACCATTATCGCGAGAAGAAACATGAAGAGTATTATGTACATATGTATAAGCGCAATCGAGTTATATCTATCTCCAATTCCCTTCTTTTATCAGTTTTATTTTTATTTATCTTACGCAAAGTCTACATATGTAGCGGATGTGACACTGTTAGCTATACTGATTGAATGATGACAGTACGTATCACTATTTTCCCCGAACTTATACAATCAATATTACTGTCAGTATTTTGACAGAGTGCTCGCGTGCTCATCGTTCGACGTGATACCTGAGCATGTACGTACACACTATAAAACAACAAAAAGTGTTTAAACTTTTATTACATATATTGCAATTAGGAATTATACTATCAACATCATCGACACTCTGGTATTCAATTTCGCTCGATGCCGAGTTATCGTCTATCCGCGATCAATATTACTATAAGTATCAACAAACACTGACCGAATATTTATTAATACTTACTGTATTATTGACAATAAAAAGATTGATGATGTTACCCAGACTGATGAAGCGAAAGCGATCAACAGCCATCCGGTTATAGCTGGTACCGCTGTAAGGAGCACAGTCCACTTCCTGCCGATTATGTTAATGATGTACGTACATAGTATTGCACCAAAAATTGCACCCAAGGCTTGACAAGAGGTGACCCATGTACCCTCTTGCGATGTCACGTGCACGGGGTTCCCTGGTTGCAGAAGTAAAGGCAAAGATGGTGACGGCCAACCGAAGAACTGACCGTACGACATCATACCCAAACAACCTGACGAATAAACCATTTTACTATTGATTATACTGTGTATAAAGTCACTTATATATTTTATTAGAATCTAACTTTTATTATAATTAAAGTGTAAATTTTTCTCCGATAGGGACAAACATGATATTCAATTTAGAATACTTGATTCCCAGGAATAGCGACGCGTCCACCTCGATTACGAGAGAAAAGGAAAATTAAGAAGCAAAATAAAGAGGAGAAAGAAATCTCTTTATGGTAAATTATCTATCAAAATTTCTATCTAAACGTAATCCATAATATAGCAGTAAATGCGAACTATCTCCGCCATGTTAGTAAGATCGACAGCAAATTGCAGGGATTGTACGAGAGAAAGTTAGGTTTATAGCGCACAGAGAAATCCTGTCACAATTAGTGTGCTCATTGCCAAATCTATGTGTATATACTATAACAACAATACACTAAAATCAACTCACTAACAACAGCAGCTAAGTAAACTGTCTTCATTTTTCCGACGGATACGATCGTGCAGTGGATGAGGTACTCGACAATGTAATCGACGAATGACTGAAGATGTTGTAGATAATTGGTATCATGAAACGTCTATGTAAGACAGTCCGGATCGCCAAAAATGTTTATCATTATCAAACAGGATATCTTTAATTACGACGCGTAAAGCCAATGCAAATACGTCAATTCTACTACCGATCTTACGGTCGATTCGAATTTATGATGACTTTATATCAGAAGATACAAGAAACTTCACAAATTTCCATGAAATTTCGAAATCTACGGTACTTACAGAATACAATGCAATAAGTGGTAAACTGTAATATCAAGAGGGGATAAAAAAAATAGATTAATTTTTTTTGTGTATAGGGCAATAGAAAGTCATGAACAACAACGACGAATAGACAAGCATCAGTCACCAATTTTATTGTGTACAACTGTATTTTAGTCTTTCACACTCGGTCTACATTTGTAGTTCGGTTAATGTAACATAAATAGAGCACGGATAGAAAAAGAAACAACAGCAGCACCACCACACGCTATAAATAATTTCGTTGATGCCAACAGTACGATTGTGCAGTAAAACATCCGTCGAACTCCAATGCTCATACTCTCTTTGTGCCGGCCTCCGTAGCGGTAAAATGTTAAATGAACAATAAATAAACGATGTTATCGATTATTCGTGAAGAGAAAAATTCCATTCGAATAATCCATGCGAACATTTACAAATCTATAAAACCTAACGAATACTGTACAATACACAGTATCCATTGGATTATAAAGTAATGGTGGATGATGTATTCATCTCGTTGAATACTGAGCTAAGAAAAGGTAATATTATCAATTTGATAGTATAAATTTATCACAGATTCGTAACGCTTGGAGTGTTTCAAATTGTAACTATGATAAAATTACACCTATTTACAACAACAGCGATTACCAATGTTACAGTTGTCCCCATTTTTTTGTTCCATTTAACGCTAAGATACTTGTAACGTAAGTTCGAAACGGCTGGCCAATGTGTGTAATATTCAGCTAGCACAAGAAATATCGTTCGCCAATGTAAGTACTAACTCCGTGTACATCGTGTACGCCAAGTATAGTATCGATGAAGCGAGAAACGTTAGAGAGATGTGCAAGTTTTGATGTTGTATCAATTTCTGTAAATAACGGGCGCGTTTTTTCACACAACAACCGACATTCATTCGAATGAAATCGGTATCGAATGATCATGCGCGGAAAATATGACAAATGATTATAGTTATCAAATTGATAGTATTTTTCGATGTTTTCGTAAATACTCTTCTTTCCCTTTTTTTGTTATAAACAAGTATCTACGTATAAACACAGCCAATTATATTATGTTCCTTACAATGTATCGCGTTTACCTTGTTCTATTATTAAAATCTCATAATACACTTTCCAACAACAAAACAATTTTCATTCTTTCCACATTCTATAAATCTTTTTTAAGAAAAGCAACCGTTTCAGCTTTACAGAAAAACAAATGTCAAGAAGGTGCAACGAATATTCGTTGACTCTACTTGGCAACATTCCAATGCAATATTCACAGACTTATAGTAATAATTTGTTGCAACATGTGTATCGCCTAAGGTGCTACGAGATATTATTTTTATACAAATTATTATTGATAGCGATGAAATTCTTTTCTCAGAGGTCTCTTCATTCGTTCTCATTCTTCTACCTCTTATCTGGCTATGTATATGAAAAACAAAAAAAAAAGAATTCAATTCGCTACCTCAGTATGGATGCGTAACACGTTATGCGGTACACCCTGTTCAACAGTAACACACATCAGCAAATAAAAATGGAGCTACGATAATATACATATTAATTTTCGTAAAATACTGCTTTCGGAGGTGTTGAACACTTATACTGATTGATGCAATAGCTCTGTAATTACAAAGGAACGTTATCGCCTCCTTCCTGCCATTGTAAGGAAAATGTATTACAAATTCACCTTGGAACATTAATTTTAATAAAAGAATATATTATATAAATATTAAATTAATCTAATAAAGAAACCGACTCGTGGGCACATTAACGGCGCCCCGACAGCTACTAGGAGGAGGATTCTCGTCATCGGAGTTTTCGTTTCTCCGTAACAATATGGAGTTCTGTTGGCCACGCTGAGACTTCTGAGCCTGATGCCTCAATTCCTCAATGTAAGCGGTGGTATCGTTCGCCACGAGCTCCTGTAACTGTTTGCTCAGCGTCGACAGCTCCGGTTTATCTTCCTCGTAAATTCCGTCAAAAGGTACCGATTTTTCATAAAATAATATATACGGCGTATCAGGTGGTTTCAAGTCCCTGAAGTCGTTGAAAGTCGTTTGAGAGACGTAGCTGTCGTTAAACTTGTACCAGTTCTGCTTCGAATCACGGGCGTACGTGAAGTAATGACCATAATCCACGCTGTAACCCGAGTGTACGACAGCAGCATATAGCTGGTAAGTTTCGTTGGTTGTGCACAATGACGACGATACAGGTAACTGTATCGTCTCGTTATACATTACTTTGTGCCGGAGTTTCGTTCGTAACCTGGTATCAAAATCGTAACGGAAATGCTTCAATATCAGGATCAAGTAAGTCGGTGTGTGCAGGATTTTTATAATCCTTTGCGCGTCGCACAGTTTCATACACTTGTCGCATCGATATTTGTTCTCGCCGGTTAGCTTCTCCGGTGTTAGATAGTAGTTAATGAGGTCTTGCACGGAGACTTCTTGGTTCTCTTGTATCTCTTCTGGGAAACACAGTTGTAAATCACGAAACTTATCCGTGTTATGGGAACTGGTATCGCACTGAGCACACTGGTAAGTAATTTTACATTTCCCTCCCAGAACCCTGTGCACAAGAGGTACCTGCGTAGTCGTATCCTCCCCACCTACAGACTGTATACCACTATCTGTCGAGTCTGAATGAGAATCACTAAGCTGCTGTATTTGTGCTAAATCTTCTCCTACAAGAGAACATTCAATGTAAAATTCAATGTTCGATTGGAGCAACTATGCGTTACAGTATGCTTCAGTATAAAAATGGTACCATCTGTAAAATCAGCAAGTGATTGTGTTTTCCTTTCCAATGCTATACTCCCTGTTAAATCTTCTTCAGTTGTCCAACGCTTAATAGTACCACCTTCCTCATTTATTAATGTGACATCATTTGTTTCCTTATCGTCCTTGTATTTCAGATTGGAATCAGTTGCTTCACATGGTATGCTAGTAGTTTTTTCTTGCTCGTGAAGTAGATCCAATAGATGACTGTTGAAATAAATAACAATTGAAACATACAGCACAACATTTGTATTATAGAATAATGCTAATGCAAAGAACAATGTAATTATTTCTTGCTAATAAAACAATTCATAGTTAGCAAGTAATAATTATGAGTTATATATTGATTTCAAAAGAATAAACACGAACACATTCGAGACCGACGTATTATTACAAAATTATCCCCAGCAGCCGGCAATATTTACGTACCGTCTGTACGTGACCCACGTGTTGAATTATCAGCTAAACCAGTGAGATATTGCATGACTCATATGCTGGGTCATCGGTCTCGTATGTGTAAAAGTACTAGCAAGATATTAACCAGAGGAATTCTGAACTATCCTGCTGTTGGCCTGGCAGAAAATATGCTGGACGAGAAGCTAATAAAATTTCAGTTGGTGCCAATGAAATCCTGTTTGAATACAATAAAAGTGTAAACAGCTTTTGTAACTTTTTAAGTACAACTTGGTCATTTGTATTGTTTGAAGGCTTATACATTAATACTTCGTAGCAAAATTGTCTGGTCATTAACAGTGCTTGTAATACACTATTCATATAACATGTGTTTCCAAGATTCGACAGCCCAACTTTTCCAGACTGTGTTTTTGGTGATTCGATTAGTGGTTCAACCTCTTCCATTTCTTCCACCCAAAGGTGATCAGTCACTAATTCCTTCACAATATGTGTATTGAGTTGCATTGGAAAACAATTATCTAAATTATTACACATACGTTGACCTGGGAACCTTAACATAAGTATTTTCATAATATCAACCAAGTCTTGCATGCATTTTTTGCTAGACTCAGAATCCTCTTTCATTAAAAACGTTATGGCTGTTTGCATGTTCCTCCCTATAGCTCGAAACAGGCATGGAGATCCTTGCCTTTTCAAAATATGAAACACAACTATGGAAGCATGCTGACGAATCACTGGCACTAACAAAGCACGAAACATTACATCAAGGGATGCCTTTGTGACGTCAATGAGTACAGAATGTTTATGTTGCTTTTCTAAGCCAAATATAAATTCCATAATCCAAATACTTAGACGATCACCCCTCCATTTTGGAAGCCAATTACACAACACCTTTAAAGCTTGAGTTAACTCCGCATCACAATAGGATTCAGAAAGAATCCAATTTACAGCTTGAGGTATAAAAGATGGGTCTACCAGCTGCAATATAGCTGCCAAACCAGGTCCACAAGCTTGTTTACGTGTCGTATCCGATATAATTCTATATAATGTCTGAAGACATATAAAAATTAAATTATTACTCTCAACATTCTTAGACTGCGTTTGTACTGTTTCCAAAAACTTTTGAACTTTGGTTGCATTGTCGGTGAATTCCGATATCTTTTTTGGATCGGGTGGCATCGAGAATGTAGACAGACTGACAACAATTGCTTCGCAAAGCTTAGAATGATTTGCCAACTCCGGCAAGAATACACTGTGGTCCAATAAGGTCTGAAGTATCATCGTTAAATTCGACATGTCACTGATTACTGTCTTTCTTAACATAGTTGCAATATCATTTGAAATCAGATTAACAAAAAATGGTTTCTCTGTCAAATACTTCGCGAACCAGGTCATGATTCTTGGAACTTCGTGCACATTAAATATCTCACCATTAAGTATTTCTCTCAAAATACTTTCATAATTATTTAACTGCTTGTACGCTGGCTCACTTTCTAATTTTTTAAGTTTAATCCATCCTTCAGTAATGTCTGCCTCTTTACCAATCACAATCAAATTTAAACACTGTTTAATGTCGTATCTAAGAATTTGTTCGGCATCCATTATTAAGGAATTATCACCCTCACGTCACTTTACACTATTCCTTTTACAATTTTTAATTACAACTATTATTAACCTCAAATGAGAATGACTTTCACGAAAATCTAAACGATTTCATAGTCCTAGAGAAATAAAAAAAAACAGCTGTCAACTTCTGAATGAAAAAAGTATCTACACCTATGATACAAAGCTGCAGGCTGCTTTTCATCGTAAAATTGTAATGATCAATGAAATCACCCATTACTATATAAAGATGAAAATCATGTGTTTATTCGAATAATTTGCATAAATATTTAACTGTACTTGATTTGCATACATTTACATATTAAACAGGATTTACTACTACTCCTGTAATTTTAAGCCAACATTGTTTATTAGAGTTATAATTTTCATATAAATGCTATTCATAGGAACGAATATAATTTAGTAAGTTTACAATACTTCTTAGTGAATATGTAGCATTGTTACTAGAACTAGAGATTATCCTCAAAATTTACAAGTTACATATCTAAAGTCATATCAAACTGTTTGAGTAACATGATACTATTTCCCATTGCTCTAAACCTAAACCTTAGTAGTATTTACGATATATATTAAATATGAATTATTTTATTTCAATGATTTTAACTACGTTTTATCACAGGCGAGGTATAGAATAGACTTATCACGTTATAGGACTTTGACCGAAAAATAGTTGGCGCCGAATATTAGTGTTTCTTAATTTATATCTTAATAAATTGCTCCCAATTTGCTCCTTCGGAATCCAAAATTGCTCCCATCGCACCGTTTATATTTAATAAGATATTCACAAATGAAAGAGCAAAAAATGCGCGCCAGCTATGTATTCTTCGATGGGACTTTGTGTCTCATGTCCTGTAATACCGATCGTGCAAACAGTCAGAGACTTTTTACTGCCCCCTACGTTCTGAGAACGATGAATTCGTGAATTAAGTAGAAGCCCAATAATTGAAAGTGCGTTAATTTATTATTAAGGGGAAAAGCGCACGGGTGATTGGAGTCTGTTAATTGATCATTTTTTTTAGTTCTATTTTTTTTATCAGTTATGCCTCGTCTGTGGTGGTGCGAACAGATTATATACAAAACAAGAGATCCTTGCCACGTGCAGGTAACCAGTAAAGAAACTAACAACAAGAATCAATTGATCAAAATAAGCAACCTCGCAGCCAATTAGCTCATATTATTTGCTATATAATTCGTCAACTTATAGGTGATTATGGTTTTCAATTATATATCAAATAATAATGATTTCCCAGGTCTCACCACGTGGAGGTTGCTGCGAATGGAGACCCAAGGAGGATAGATGGAATCACAAGTTGCACATCTATTCTCCTTGTACAAATAATTTAACAATAAATTACATTAATTCAAAATGACAATTTAACAATACTTCACATTCAACAACTTACACTAAACGGAACGCAGAAACTAATGTTCAAACAACGCCATGTGCACATGCCCACCCACCTCTGTCCATGGACGAAAAAAGTCGATTTAGCACTACGTTAGAAGAAAAAAATAGGACTTTGCCCCCACCCCCTTCCCGAAAGAACAAAATTACATTGCCTCCCCCTAACTGATAAACTGGCTACGCCCATGAACAGCGCAGTTATTTTTTAAACCCATTCGGCTCCATGATAATCTGCGGGTGATGATACCTTCATATACTGATCTTCGGGTGAAGAAAAATCTTCATCTGATGATTTCTGAAGCAGAAACTGGGACGATTATAACAAAACATTTTTATAGATTATAAACAATTCATTCAGATGAACATGTAGCTTGATTCCAAGATGATCCCTGAAAGAGAAACTCAGTGGACAATATCATATCAGTGGACAGTTAAACATTTATAATAATTTAGCGAGCATTAATTGAATCCTAGGATGATTTCTGGAACAGAAATATAAGAGAACATACATATATAACATACAATAAGAATAGAAGAACATAACAATACATTTTTATCGACATTTCAATTCAATAATTTAAAATTTGATCCCACGAGGACTCCTGAAACAGAAACTACAACAATTAGAAACATAATATCAAATTTCTTGAGAATGTTGACTCTTCATTTTGGCAAACAGGGATTCAGTGTAGAAAATTTCTGTAAATAACCTGAAACAAAAATTAATCCTTTGGATTAAAAGCTGAAAAAGAAGAGATTAGTAGACATAAAGGACAAGGAAGTGTCAGACATTTTTATCGAGTATACAAAAAATAAAAAAATGAATTTACTAAAAAAGACTGAAAAAAGACTATTAAACAACTGAATTTAAAATTCAATACGTCTCTGTACAAAAATCGAATAAGAATAAATTTTGGAGAATATAAAACAAACAACAAAACAGACATTTAAATCGAAACAATTGTATCTTACTGTATCGAAATTTAAATTGTTTTCGTACCAAAATAGTTTCAGCAAATTAGGAGTGACTCTAATTGAAAATTTGCTATCAATATGAAGGATCGAATTGTATTTCCATATTTTTTCAGCTGCAAGCTTTTCATTAGTTATCATATTCAGCAACAGTCCCGAGGAAACTTTGATTTTCGCAGACATTCCAAAAATTTACAAAAATGAACACTATTTTGATATCAATGGCTTTTGCAAATTACGCATAACGATTCAAGAATTGATATATCACCAACTCTAGCAACGAATAGTCACTTCTAAGGATTCTAATTAAAATTTAATTACAAATTAATTTTAATTTTTGTGTCAATAATTAATCAAATCTATCATCATTGTCGATACATAGATTTTTTAATGTGTATTACAAATTGTAACGAACATTTGCAGAATTATTAAAAATAGAATATTTTGTTTAGTAACATAAATATTCTTATGAACAGTATTTTCAACGTAAACACTTGGTGCACAATAATCAATAATAATAATTCAATACAATAACAACAAAAATAGAAAAACAGCAGCCACAATAGGGCGCTAAACAAGTAAAAAATAGCAGCCACGATAGGGCACTAAACAAGTAAAAAATAGCAGGCACAATAGAGCGCTAAACAAGTAAAAAATAGCAGCCACAATAGGGCGCTAAAAAAGTAAAAAATAGTAGCTACAATAGGGCGCTAAACAAGTAAAAAATAGCAGCCACAATAGGGCGCTAAAAAAGCAAAAAATTGCAGCCACAATAGGGCGCTAAACAAGTAAAAAATAGCAGCCACAATAGGGCGCTAAACAAGTATAAAATAGCAGCCACAATAGGGCGCTAAACAAGTATAAAATAGCAGCCTCGTAGGGCGCTAAACAAGTAAAAAATAGCAGCCACAATAGGGCGCTAAACAAGTAAAAAATAGCAGCCACAATAGGGCGCTAAACAAGTATAAAATAGCAGCCTCGTAGGGCGCTAAACAAGAAAAAAATAGCAGCCACAATAGAGCGCTAAACAAGTAAAAAATAGCAGCCACAATAGGGCGCTAAACAAGTAACAAATAGCAGCCTCGTAGGGCGCTCAACCTGTCCACTCTTTGCATTTCATTTACTTAAAAAAAAAACCGTGAGTGGACCATTCGTTTCTCCGCAACACCAATTTATTGAATATGATATAAAAAGATCCCGAGAGCAGCCACATAGGCGCTTATCACTCACAACACTAATCTCTTTTGTTCGCCATTCTAATTTACTGAATCCAAAAATCCAGAAAACTCCCGTGCACCTTGAATCTGCAATACGCAACACTAACTTTAGATTGATGCAGTTAGTGCAGCCACCTGGGCTGTCGTGAACCACTTTTTGCAGCTATTTCAGCTGCCTTGTGGTTCTGCTGTGGTTCCAGCATTGGCATTTCATGGATCGCAACACTAAAACAAACCCGATCAATTCATATCGCAACACTAATTCAACAAAAGAAAACGACTTAAATAAAAAGTAATAAGCAATCGCGCTCAGTCATTTTCGCAACACTACCCTGAAAATATAAAAATGATCTTAACGCAAACACGATCTCATCATTCGCAACACTATTCTCCAAGTAATTAGGAAGATTAATATTGACAATTCACAAAGCTAATGCAACCCGTGATCTAGTCTCATCCGCAACACTAATTCAATCCGCGATTTTGCCCAATATTGCTGGTCGTTGGGCCGATATGACGGCCAATATACAAACTACTACTACAATTACAGGCGAGTACAGTGAACAAATATTTAGTAATGACTCCACATCCGAAGATGCAGAGCCATTCGTTGCTGCCCTCTTGAGTACACAGTTTGTGCTGGGCCTCTTCTTTTCTTCGGCGGTCCGCCCCCTGAAACCCTAATGCTGCTCGGTTGTGGACGACCAACGACTCGAAGAGTCTGTATGATCGTACCACGAGTGCAATCGAGCAGGTCGTTCGTTTCGACAATCCTATCCTTCCGACCGCGACCGCGACGACGACCCCCTTGGGGTTCGCCAAATTTGAAGAATCGAAATCGAAATCGGAAGCAGACAGCATGCTCCGTCTGGACCAGTTTCGAATCGACGCTACAAATTATCCCGGTAGCAGGACTATCACGCGAAACCTACGCGAGCCTACGCGAGCCTTACCCCATCGGAGAATGTGATAGCCTGCCCCGGCCCCTACCTACTTACAGTCTACTCGCACACATTCACACACCAGAAAGTATGCTACCTGCCTACCTAGCTATATTTTTTAAAAAGAATTTGGCAAAGGACAGATTCTCACCAACACACAACACTCCACGGTTCTCAAGCATACGCCCGGGTGCAATAACCTAGGGAGGACGTCCCGGGACACCTCCGACACCCGAACGTGATATTCAACTTGCACACTCTAATAGGTACGTACCATTTTTCTGAAATCGACTGGCAAAGGCTAGCATCCATTGCGAAAATAGAAACATTTTTAAGCAATGTATATACGTATACTTGGTATATTTTATATCGATTACGTGTTAATTTTCTCGTCTGATAGCGAGGTACTTTAAACCGGTACATATTCCATGGAAATATAATTATAGACATTGTATAAAGTAATGGAATATGCACGACCGATACCGGAAATTGTTCCAAGGAACAATTACAGATGAAATGGTAATTGATAAAAATGTAACCGACGCAATTCCACTGCCTAAGCACACACGCACACATAAGTGGAAAATACGTCGTGCATGGTAAGCTAACGCATTGCCAGTCGCATAGACATGTTATTATTATATGATATGAAGTCATCGTTCCCCGTTGCTCTCGCCCAGCCAAGTAGCACCTGGGCACGTGACAGGGTTCGAGCAACGAATACGGAATAATTATCCTGAAAATCCTGATTAAAACAATTATTACTTTTTGCTCTTATAACGAGCTATTTCTCTTTGATTCTTTTTCATTTCATTTTGCAATAAAAATGAGTCGACTTTGTATTAATAAAAATTGAAAATCAAAGATAGACTATTTATTAATGTTATAGAATTTAGTTATCAAGACTCTGCGATAAGATAAATGACTACGTATTGAATAAGCCTCGGGTGATCCCATCATCAAAGCCAATGGAAGACATAACATAAGTGCAACAGACATGTTACTTTGATGCAGAAATCTACCCGTCGCGAAATGCCTTCTTGTACATGGTCTGTAATACCATATTTATCCAGAACGTTACGGTCTTGCTTAATCCATGTGTATCAAAATACGCTACTTACTTTTTATTTCTGTCGTCGAGTAACGTGGTAGTACGTATTTGTGATATAATTTAGTATACATTGCTAATGTTCAATTGTAGATACATTATTAAAAACATCAATGAAGACACATATTAATCTCAAATTTCTTCACAGTAAACTGATATACATACATATTATGCATATAGGTACTGTATTCAAATAGTAAATAAATTTAAGTTATTTTCCTTTGCATTATTTGTCTACAAATGACGGTATAACTGTTGAAAATAATAATTAACTCACTAACAGGTGAAATAAAATTTTATTAACATACTAAACATCAATCTAAAAGTCATAAAAATTAACTCTAATACCAAAGGTGTCCAAATGCCACCCACGAGCCACAAGCAATTACAAGCTTTCCCTCGTAGGTCTCCCAGACTACCGACCTCAAATTGACTCGAGCGAGTCAATCCAAGTCCCATAGTGAGGGTACCTCCGGAGAGGAAGAATGCTGCGCATAAGTAGTAGATGGACACCCCTGGGCCTGTCCTTCTTAAAGGACAGGATATAAATACTCATTCTTTCTGAGTATATACGTCTACCACACAAATATGTTTGTGGAACACAATACATGCTGGCGAAACAAAGTAGTACCTTCCCTGCATTTAACGCTCACACTCCATTAAAGTGGTCGTGAGTACTCGCCAGTACGTCTCATTACTCTACCCGTGTACGTAACCGTATGCGTTCTTTGCCAGTGGCAACGAAAACATCGGCCACGATAACTGGAAATCGCAATGCACTTTTCAATGGTCATACATGCACAACGTGTTAAATTATTCCATAACACGCGGTTTTTCACTAGGGCGTGCATATCGATGCACAGGTGACATAACTTAATACGTCTTCTTTTTATGCACCGATACTTTATTGCGATTCCCAGTACACGTGTTCCACTATTTCATGGAACTTGCAAATACGAATGATACCTTTGTGTCTCGCGACACTGGTTCCGGGATTGAAACGTGCTGTCGCGTCTCGTGGTATTGCGCTAACTGCTACACATGCCTATCCAGGAAGGCACCACCACGTTTTCCTCTCTATCATAAACATACCGGTGTGATTTTCGTTCTTTCTACTCTGTATTAGAATCTACCGACGAGACTTATTTGCACACATTAATGATTTGAATATTATTTTTATCAGCTGACTGTTATTTATAGGTCATTTCGAATTTATTGTATTTTCTATATTATGTAATTCTCTTTATGTAGAACTATTTCATGCTATATTCATAAATGGAAATGAGTATACAATATACTGAAGTGACTACAATGAAATTATTATACGCATCATCTTCAAATTACTGCATTTTTTAGTGCAATGAATAACGTACTACCACGACATATACTCAATTAATCAAAAAATAACAATTGTTTAAATAATAGATCGCTCTTACTTGAAATGTCAAGATCTCATGTTAAATTGAAGCACTAATAAAAATGCAAAATATCCAATGTGGTTTCGTCTGCATCATACCAAACATTGAATATTTAACTCATAAATATACTTTGAATACAAAATATTTATGAATTATATTACTAATAATAAGCGCGGCGTACAAGAAGACCCTAACCTAACTAAGAAAAATAACAGATCAAATACTACTCACGAATACGCAATCGTACGATTGCATATCCGCGTTCACTGTACTCGCCGAAAACACGTATACAACCTGTCGCCCGTGCCGCTTAGGACCAATCGTCCTACGACATGATTGGGGACTGGAGGAATAAAAGCATGCGACTCACCCGATGATAGAAGAGCTCCCTATAAGACTCGAAGAATCTCGAAAAATCGTGTAGCTTCGCTTAAGAACATCCTCTGTAGTGGTCGCTTATGCAGTGTCTGAAAAAATCTGAAAAAAAGGAACAGAATTCGTTATAACCTCTTCTGAAAATTCTACCTGTTTCAGTTGAACAGTGTAAATAATAACATATAAAGATACTTACAATCTCTCTTTGTAGAGCTTCGCCCAAAAGCATCCTCTTCCGTGATGCACTGACTCTACTTTTCCGAACGAGTACTTTCAAATAGAAAAAAAATTAAAATAAAAGACTATCGCGACCGAACATCCAAGCCGGCGAACAAATGACTTTATTTTCGCGACTAAAAAAGCAGTGTCCCGAAACTCTCAAAGTAATCGATTGTACGCAAAAAACACTGACTCGACTTTCGCGAGGACCTAAGGACATCTCCGGTGAGATTGTAATCTGAGCCAATGCGTTCCGCGTAAACAGAAAAAACTTACTACACGATGTAAACACTGACTCGACTCGACCGCCTTGCACGCGGCCACCAAAGACTGTAAGAAACAGGAGAGGAAAGAAAAACAATACGGCGCACGTGCACCGGCCTATCCTTTTTATTGTTATATGCGACCAAGTGTGTACTCTGAAAGTACTGCCATTCAATGATAAATATGCCTTAAAATGCAAATGTGAATTTAACTATGCAAAGGGGTAATAGTTGAAAAATATTCAATGCCAATATATTCCAGAGTAAATCTCAAATTTTTGAATATATTATATTCATTACTCATATATATATGTTATTAATATCTTATATTAAAGACATTCGTTGTCAGAATTTAAGCATGTTCGTTTTTTTTCTAAATCACGTATCGAATTTTATAAATATTCAGAAAATCATTTCAAGTATCAAAGTTTCGTAATTTACTCTAGCTTCGATGAGCATGATAAATTACGCGGCTTCTATATAATTACACTTACATCCAAAATCTTATATAAATACAAATAAGATGCCTTCATAAAGAGGGACCGATAAAGTTATTAACATTGAAACAATTTCGCGACCGAGATGCTGTACGGTACAAATATTTCTAACTGAAACTTCTAGAAGCTCTCGTTTAAATTTCCTAACGGTCAAGGAAGCCATATTGAATGCTTTAATGACGCGTTTAAACGTGAAATATTTTTCGAAAAAATTCTTGCTCGATTCTAGCACACTTATCACAAAATCGCGATTATATTTACGATGAAAACAATGAAAATGCAATAAAATAGAAATATACACTGGGGTGTAACCGATTTTGTTTTAATACATTACCAAAATTCACCAATTCCCGCCAAATTGTCTGTAACGGCAGAGTCCAGTCATCTCGGTGGCGCGTTCCTTCTAGCCGGAATTCTGAAACAGAAAATAAACGTTAATACGAAGTATTTATACTAAATTAACAATGATTGAGTCACTACGAAACAATTATTAACTCGAGAAATGTTGCCAAAAGTTGCGAATTGAACAAAAACTGTAGAAATACTAAATGGTATCGGGGGGACAACAGAAATCGTGAAGCCGGTTTACTTTATCCAGCAATACTGAGTTAATTTACGATTATTTACACTGAATTGAATAGATATTAAACAAAAGTAACGATAGAGTGCTAACGAAGATACTAATAGCATAAATAATTTAAATTGGAAAGTAATAATACTTACTTCGCCACGAGCGAGATCACTTCACGTCTAATCAGTCCAGCTTCCCTGAGACGAATGACCGTTAGGCTGGCTGACTGGCTGTCATTTGTTGATTCGGTTATGTATAAGGCCTGTGATTGGTGCGTCGGTTGGTGAAGAACGTGTGGATTGGTCGCTTTCCTGCTTGCTAAACTTTCTATTTGAACGAAATAGAATATTTACCGCCGAATTATATTTCAATATATTTTCTTATATGCACCCGAGATTAAGTCAGAAGGGAATAACTATCATAAAAGGGAAACAAAGAGGCACACGCTATCCCCGAAAATGTGATATTCGAATTCGTTTTAGATGAAAAATATTAATTTTACTGCCGTCTTCTCGAAGTTTTGAATCTGCAATCTCCAATGGCTCTCGAACGCCATCTATAATGAATATATCCGGTCAATTTGACAATGGCGCCAAAGTTTATGAAATACAATCTGACAAATATTACTAATAGATAAAAACTTTTCTTTATGAAGAAAGTTTGACTAGCTGAGCTCTAGTGATGTGTGGCATCATTTTTCAAGCTATTGATCAATTATTAACAAGTCCATGCTACTTGATACATATTATCCAGGCGCTTTATTTTAAGAAAAGTAAATATTTGTTGGAAAGCGGAATTTAACGATACGTTCTGTTAATGTTAAATTATTCATCAAAATCTTCTGCAATAAAACTGTTCAACCATAATTGTTGTATGTAGCATTTTTTTAATCAACATTTAATATTTAATAGTATGTCATATACGAGATATGTATAACCTGTGTCTTATATTACCACTGCATAATTTACTTGCGTTTTTCGGTGTATGTTGTTTCATAGCATTGAATATTGCAGCCTTAGTGAACAGTTTCATTGCTGCTCTTTCTTAAAGTCTCCAGTTGCTATTGTAGTGTCGTTTAACAACTATTTTGTTATTGTTTGTATCAATTTATAAACCGTTTATATGTAACAATACACATATCATTTATCACGTGGTTTGCTAAAAGTGTAAGAGAAGTTGCAAAAAGTTTTACCATACAATATGGGTAAAAAAGACAAGAACAAGAAGAAAGTAAGCGGTAGCGTAAAAACGGCAGTAAAAACTGAAAAGAAATTGAATGCAAAACAGAAAAAAGAATTAGCCGCGCTTGGTGAGGTTAGTTAAGTGTAAAACATCATTCATGTTTTTATAATAATCCTGACAAATTTATAATTCGGTAGTTATTGTTTTTTTTTTTTAAACTAACGATTCATTCTGTTAGGAAGACATTGAAAATGTAATTGCTCAAATTGAAAGAGAAGAAGCACGAAGACAGCGTGTCGTTGAAAAGATAATAGAACCACCGTCTCGACGCGTGAACTTTACATTAACAGCACACCCTTTTAAAGATGAGCTTATTATGTTTGGAGGAGAATTTCATGATGGACGGACGGTAATTTAAGATATATTATATTTATTACTAACATACATTTTTCTAAACATTTCATGGTATCAATAAATTGTTAAGCTCTATTTAAATGTTTTACCAAGTCTGAAAATTTCACTTTTACATAATAGACAGTTGTTTATGCGGACATGTTTACATATAATCTGAGCAAAAATGAGTGGACTGTTATAAAAGCACCAAGTGCACCACCTCCACGTTGTGGACATCAAGCAGTGGCAACACCTACAAATAAAGGAGAATTATGGGTGTTTGGTGGTGAATTTTCTAGTCCTTCAGAATCACAATTTTATCATTACAAAGATCTATGGGTTTATCGACTTGGAGATAAAAAATGGGAAAAAATTTCGTATGTACATGGTGTGTTAAATCAATATAAATGCAATAACTCTTCTGTTGTTTATTTGTCTAAATTTTTACAGGGCACCTAATGGTCCATCTGCTAGAAGTGGTCATAGAATGGCCCACTTAAAGAGACAATTGATCATTTTTGGAGGTTTTCATGATAATTTAAGAGATTATAAATATTTTAATGATGTGTACATATTTAATCTTGAAACATATACTTGGCATAAAATTGAATTATCTGGTAATGTTGAGATACATAGAACAATTCATCTTTAGAACTGTATGTATTATAATTAAATTATAAAATTTTAGGTATTCCACCTCTCCCAAGATCTGGATGTGTAATATTACCAACACCTGAAAATAAACTTCTTATATATGGTGGTTACAGTAAAGAAAGGGTGAAAAAAGATGTTGATAAGGGTTTTATTCATAATGATATGTTTGTAATGACTCCAGAAAGTAAGCAGTTTCATTAAGCAATGTTTTTTATGTAAATTGAATGATTCACTGTTTTTAATTATTCGAAAAAGTAAATAAACATTATTAATAAATTTGTATCAGAAAATGATCAAACTGGCTTAAAGTGGAAGTGGGTGTCTGTAAAACAGTCAGGTGATAAACCGTCATCACGCTGTAGCACCTCAGCTGTTCTGGTTCAACCAAATATGGCTTATATGTTTGGTGGAGTCTTTGATGAGGAAGATGATGAAGAGGAACTTCATGGAATATTTTTTAATGACTTAATAGCTTTAGATTTGGAAAAATTTCAATGGCATACAGGTAAATGCAACTGATTACAACAACACACCTCGGCTATTGCTACAGCAGTTGAACTAATGCTTTCCATTTGTTTACTTTTAGTAACGTTATCTGGAAAAAAAGATGTAACCGCACGACGTCGCAGAAGGAAACCGAAAGAAGATGATGGAGAAGAAAACAACAGTGAAAATGAAGAGGACAGTGACATTGAAGTTCCAACATTATCGTCCAATCCGGATCAGTCTATGATTACTGACGACGATGGAATATTCACTGTTACAATAGGACCAACTTCGACATCTGCTGTGCAGAAAAAGGAACGTACCAAGGAGAATATATTTGTTCCATGTCCAAGAACAAATCCAGGATTAGCTGTGAAGCATAATATTTTATACATGTACGGCGGCATGTTTGAAGATGAAAACCGACAGTATACGCTGAACGATTTGTACAGTTTGGGTGTGTATATATTGTATCTAGTTTTATATGTCCAAATAATAAATAACTTTTTATTACCTCATTGTTTTTCTCTAGATTACCGTAAATTAGATGAATGGAGGACGATAATAACAAATGATTTGTCTACACAAACTTGGTTTGAGTCCAGCAGCTCAGATTCGGATGAAAATACCGATAGCAGCGATGAAGATGAAAATGACTCTGAGAACGAACGTATGGATGTTGAGGAAAATTGATGTACGTGATATGGAATAAAAAATGCTTCTCGTTAAAATATATTGTTTCTTTTTATCGGAAAGAGTAGTGTCCATGTTAACGTTTTATATTCGTTTTTTCTTACGACATTTTTCATCTAAATTTTGTCTCATTTGCTCCAGAAACGAAGAATCCTGAAAGGAAAATGTATGTATGAAATATAAAGCATCCTAAAATTAATGTATGACATAATTAAAACCTTACCTGTGCAGTAATAAATAATGCACAATCAGGACCCAAACTGTAATATACACTATTCTCATCTTTTGAATAATTGTTTTCTAAGAATATGTTAATATCAAAGATTTTGCTCCCTCCTTTAATTAAATTTATGACTTTGTTGTAGAAATCAAAATCTTCAGAGTCATTAGTTACAATATGAACTGCAAAACAACAGTACTTTTAAATATTTTTATCAAAGTGACATATTTTGTTATGTGTCCAACTAGATACCTTCTTTCTTCACCATTTTATTAACATTAGCCATGACACTCCTAATTTCTAGTATCAGCTCCAATAATTCCTGTATTCTTTCATCTAGAGTGTCATCTCTCCATTTACTGAACTGTAATAATTGTAAAAAAAACATAAACTATGAAATTTTGTACAATGTAAACAGACAACTTTACCTGTTCTGGCATTGGATATGGTGCTTCCATTAACGACGGTACCGAAAGAAATTCTGAAAATTTATCTGACAATCTTGTATATAAGTCATCAGCGACAAAAGGCGTTATTGGAGCAATTAATCGTAAAGAAACTTCCAAGCATGTTCTTAAGCAGTATGTATGACTTTTAATAATATCTGTATTTTCACTTTTCAATCCCCACTTGGTAGCTTCCTAAATAATATCAGATAAAATATTAATTGTTAACTTAGATATAAGTATATTATCATAATATAGACTCACCAAATAGAAATCACAAAATTTATAGTGTAAAAACGATTTTATTGATGCAATCGCTGTATGAAAATCTCGTTCTAAGAATGCGTTGTTAACCGTGTTGACCACTAAGGATAATTGACTTAAAATCCAACGGTCAATGAGGATGATACATTTTGGTTCTTGACAGTCTTTTTTTGCTGTCGTCATTAAGATATATCTACTTGCTTGCCAAATTTTGTTACAGAAGAATTTATTTGTTTGGCACTCCATCAGATCAAAATTGATTTTTCGATCTGTTCCGGTAAAAAGTTATACATTGAAAACTGCAAATAGAATATTCTTGATATTATTGCATACTGACTTTTAACATCATGACTGCATAAGGTCATGCGCAGAGCATCCGCACCACATTCTGGTATTCCATTAGGGAATATTTTCTTATTTCCAGATAACATTCGTTGCAACTCAGTTTTACTAAGAGTGCCTGAATTATAACTTTCTTTCATTTGTGTACTAAGATCCTGTACAGTAGCGCCGTTGATAACGTTTTCTGGTGAAATGACGTTACCAATTGTTTTAGACATTTTTTTTCCATAGGCATCGCATAAAATACCATGTAAAAGTACTTCCTGTGTAATAACAATTATCAAATGAATATATTAAGTCACAATAATTATGAACATGTGTTCCATTATAAAAAGATATTTTACACTGAAAGGTAAACGATTAGTCAACTCCAATCCTAGCATGACCATTCGTGCAACCCAGAAGAACAGAATATCAGATCCTGTTTCCATTAAAGTCAAAGGATAATAGCTTTTTAGATCCTGTGTCTGGAAGTATATTTAGTATTATAATATACCGATGCTGTTCCACTCATATTTGATTGGTAGTATATTACACCTCTCTCGGCCACCCAAGTACAGCAAAAGGAAGAATTGCAGAAGAGAACCATGTATCCAATACATCTTGATCTTGATGTAATTTCACATCACGTCCATACATATTTTCAGCAATAAGTCTTGCATCATTTTCAGTTCGACTGATTATCCATTCAGTTTTGTCTCCAACTGTAATGTAATAAGCTGGGATGCGATGACCCCACCATAACTGTCTTGAAATACACCAATCTCTAACAAAATAATTGCAATTAAGAAGTGAATTATATTATTGCTCTTGATTTTTTTGCGCATTTTATATGGATTTCGTCTAACCTAATATTTTTAAGCCAGTCATACCACAACTGCTCATGCATAGCAGGAATTATTCTCAAATGACCATCTTTCACAACATCTACTGCCTTCTCAGCCATGCTTTTGCACTTTATAAACCACTGTTCTCTTAATAAATATTCCACAATATCCTGAGATCGTGAACATCTTGGTACACTCATCTGATGATCACAAACACGTTTTAGAAGACCTCTGTTTGATAATTCATTTAAGACTTTTTCTCTGGCAATGAATCTAGGAAGGCCCTACAACAATATTTTCAAGCTTACTTTTAGTTTAAAGTAGCTGTAAGATCAAGAATTTATTTGGCTATCATTATACCTTGAATTGTTTTCCTGCATCCGTTATGTTACCACATTCATCAAAAACTTCAATAATGTCCAACTGATGATTTGTAGCAATTGTGTAGTCTATATGATCATGTGCTGGTGTTACTTTTACAGCTCCTGAAGATATCTTTTAATAATCTTGATGTTATTGAAAATTTTTAGTGGAACTTAATAGTTGCAATATACTTACCAGTGCCAAAATTTTTATCAACCAAAGAATCAGCAACAATAGGTATGTAAGTTTGCCTTAAGGTATGCCAAACCTTTTGGCCAATGTACTTTGCATATCTTTCATCATCTGGATGAACAACAATTGCTACATCACCAAAAAGGGATTCCGGTCTAGTTGTTGCTACCACTATTTCATCATCTAAAAAATCATTATTTCCTTATGAAATTTGATTACCTTCAACATGGTAGAAAGTATTCAAGACTGAATATTACTTGAATCTTTAATTGGATAAGCTATATATGCTATTTCACCAAATGTTACCCTCTTTTTATATCCTGGAACTTCAAGTGCTGTTTTCTCAGAAATAAATAAATGTTCTACTTCAATATCAGATATTGCACTGCGTAAAGAAGTACTCCAGTTAATCAAATCTTTTTTCCTATATAATAGATTACGATCGTTTAGTGCTACAAATGCTTCTATCACAGCATTGTTATGATTCTAAAATTTTAGTTACAAGAACATAATTTATATATTAAAAATAAAAAAATTTTCTCATAAATTTTAGTTGTAAAGTACCTTACTCATTGTAAAATATTCTCTAGACCAATCTAAACTGGCACCTAAAGCTTTCAATTGAGATTTTATTCCAGTTTCTTTCTGTTCTTTCCATTCCCATACAACTGAAAGAAACTGTTCTCTTTCTAAATCAGATTTTGTAATACCCTTTGTTTTAAAAAGATACTTTTCTATCATCATTTGTGTTGCTATTCCAGCATGGTCTAAACCTGGTATCCATACAACAGGATGACCCCTCATTCTGCACCTAAATGCAAAACAATGTAAACCATGTAAATATAATAATTGAACGTTAAAAAATTATTAATAAAATATACCATCTTGCCAATATATCTTGAATTGTAGTAGTTAATGCATGTCCTAAATGCAATGTTCCAGTTATATTCGGAGGAGGTAAAAGCATTTTCAGTGCGTCTTTATTCCTGGATTTAACACTAAAATAGTTATTCTTTTCCCAAGTATTGTACCAATCATATTCTACGTTTTTAGGCTTAAATGATATTGGAAAATCTAAAAAAATAAAAATGCATTAGAGACAACATTTATTGTAATATTTATCTACTTCAATTTCAAAGAAATGTTAATATTTGAAAAATATATTGTTTTCTATTTATAGCCACCTGATAAAGTCTGAGCAGACAATCTATTGTGACAATGTTTATAACATGAATTAATACGTAGAAAATCATTCAGCCGTATTATATTCATCGTAAGTAAACAAGATGTACTTTAAAAGTTTATTTGCAAGCGCATTTGAGAGAACATAAACAATATTACAATGCTGATTTCTTGAATACACTATGGCATTCACCGAGTACACCATCGAACAAAGTTCACCCCACTTTGCCTTCCAAAAGACATACGAGAAACAACATTCCTATCTATACTACAATGATCTGTGGCGCCGATTGCAGTGCAGATCAATGTGATGTATGATGTTTTGCCACTAATGAACTTGTTTGAATTAAAAAATTGCGATTTATAAAATTTTTTTCGATCTTTACCATTTAACATAATCTTAGCGCTCTTTTATAATTCGACGAACAACAAATCTTTGATAACAGCAATAGATGGAACAAAATATACACCAATAATTATATAAGATCACACAAACGCATGTACTAGCGTGAATATAATACTATCATAAAAAAAATGTCCATAAAAGTATATATAATTCATTTATGTGATGTGCACTTTTAAATACACACTCATTTCTTCTTCGTTATTACAAACCCAGTTCCTTTATGAGTACTTATGCTTTATATCAAATTTGAAAAATAGAGACGTTTATAAGTGTGAAATTTTTCAAATTGTATATCAAATTTGTTGGTAAAACATTTATTCTTTACAAGTTACACAAACCAAAGGAAAGACTTTAGATACATAAATTGGATTTACATGTTATTATTTACATTTATTCTGTACATATATTTGAATAAGTTATAACATCACTATGATGAAATTCGCTGTTATACATACATGTAGTGTCCGGTATATATAACAGTTTATGAACATTTAAATAAAGATACAGAATTATTCTAAATATATTTAATGAAAATAAGAATTAAAAGCACTGTGGAACAAAATAAGCTATGGGACGAGAAAGAAGTGCGTTTTTGTTTATCAGTGTATAACAAAAGTTGCAACTGAACTACAATAAGCAGTAAAATAATATAATTAAGTTTCTACTTCAAAAACGGAAAGGAGTCCTTTAATTTCTACTTTAATTATATGGGTCTTCTTTGTTTTCAATCAGACGTCCTTGATTCGAATATTTCGGAGCAATCATACATAGCAGCTTCGTACTGATTGGGTGTACAATTTCAGTAGAAAAGGAACACCAGACAGACTTGCTGTGTCTTGCTTTCTTCTGGTTCAATACTTCTATTATATCTGTTGATGACTGTTCACTTCATCGATAAGAATTCGTGAAGAGGTAGGGGACATAAACATAGTTCAAAGTCCGATGTCGATAAGTTAACTCCCTCAACAACTTTGCTGTTTCGCAGATCCTGTTTGCCTCCATTTATTTCCACGAGCCGGTCTTTATAACCGTCAAGGAATTCACGATTTTTTGTAGCTCAGTCTTCCAAGACTTACTTTTATTTCGTGCGCCTGGGCATCGTTATTCTTGAACATTTCAAAATGTTGAAGGTAAGTAATATATTTTCCACAATAAGAACTACAAATATTAGCACATAAGGTATGAGTAATACTTTGAATGTATTGTGGTTCATATACACATACGTATGAGGGTGTATAATGCACTTCTTAATCAAATCACATGTAGTTTAAGATACTTTTGTTACAGTAAACATTATCCTGTAACGTGAAATACTGATTGAATTAACCCAATTGTATCATTAGATTCCATAAATATATTGTACTAGATGGTGGCTTTGAAGATTCAAGGGCATTTTACGTAACACATATTTTGCTGGATACATTATATTCAAATTCACACGATTTTGCAATATGTCAATAAACAATAGTCCATCATAACATCTGTTACATTACACTGAAGAATGTTTATTATATTCTTTGTTATGTTCAGAAACATTTCACTAAGTGATTATAATTTGTTTTGATTGTATTATTATCAGATCCCTAAGATGTGAGTTTGATGTTGCTTGTATTCTTATTATAATTATATAATGAAATGTAGTCCTATAAAAGGGTATTAAATAAAAATCATTATCAATATTGTTAAACAAAATTGTATACAATGCAGTAAATGTTGATGTATTTCATCACAAAATGATTTCCTTTCAAGTTTTTTTATCTTATAGCAATAAATTTAAAATATGATGATCAGTAATTGACAATTGTATAAGTTACTTATAGTGATTAATAGTAACTGGTCCATATTTATTACTTATGATTTATTGATATCTAGACTCTTATCTTTCTACAAGTATAATTTTCTTGTTATAATGAACATTCTTAGAAAAAAAAGCAATATATAAACTATTTCATTTATCCTGTCCACTATTATGTATCAAATGTTTTTAGCACAAAAATGTATGTAAAAATATAGTTGTTTAGTTGAGTGAGGCCAGAGAGATTCAGAATATTTATTTTCAAAGTTATTCATAGCACTAAACCAAACACATTTTTATGATAAATTTTTTGTGTTGACAAAAACAACAAAGATACGAAAATGGATAAGATAGATGAAACATTTTATATAATATACAGATAAATTGAAAGTGCATTGTAAGAAACAATCGTATATATATTTAATAACATGCACAGAATATAATTCTCTTTTAGTGTAATAGTTACTTGTGTGCGAATATTTTAAATTTGTTAATGAATATTTAATGTACTACAATCAAAATATAAATAAATACTATAATTGATTTATATTATAGGGATTGGTTGCTCTTGTAACTGGAGGTGCTTCTGGGCTAGGGCTTGGAGCTGTACAAAGATTTGTAAGGGAAGGTGCCAAAGTTGTTATTGCAGATTTACCTACTTCCAAAGGAAAAGAGATTGCTGATGAATTAGGAAGTTCGGCTATATTTACACCAGTGAATGTAAGTGTTAATGAAGTAATACCGGTAGTAGTACTAATAATAACAATATATGTTTGTGTAATAATGATTAAACGGATTAAAAAATAATTTTTTTTGGGTAATTGTAGAATTATTCCTTTTAATGGCCATATACGACAACTGACATTACTGTTATTTCTGTAATTGAACTTAAAATACCATAAATATGTAACCATTGTTAATTAATATTGGAGGAGCAAAGGCAACAATTCTTGCATGAAATATCAATCTCCAGTAATTTATAATTTTGGTTTTTGTTCTTGTTAAAGAAACAATTATGGATAACGAATTTACAGAATATCGTACATAGAGCAACTTGCTTGCTTACAGGTGACATCGGAAAGCGATGTAACTGCTGCGTTAGGCGTAACAAAGGATACTTTCAAGAAACTGGATGTTGTTGTGAATACGGCAGGAATAGCTTGTGCATATAAAGTATATAACTTTAATAGACGTGTCCCACACTTGTTAGAAGATTTTCAAAACGTCATAAATGTAAATGCTGTTGGAACATTCAATGTTATCAGATTGTCTGTAGAACTTATGCACGATAACACGCCAAACGAGGATGGACAGCGTGGGGTAATAATTAACACAGCAAGTGTGGCAGCTTATGACGGACAAATGGGCCAGGCAGCATACTCTGCAAGCAAGGGCGCGGTAGTTGCTATGACACTGCCAATAGCTCGCGATCTAGCGAAGGTTGGCATTCGCGTTATGACAATCGCGCCTGGATTAATGGAGACACCTATGCTGCAAGCGTTACCAGACAAAGTACGTGTATTTTTACAACAAACGATACCGTTTCCAAAAAGATTGGGTAAACCGGACGAGTACGCTCAGCTGGTACAACATATCATTGAGAATCCTTTACTAAATGGAGAAGTTATCAGATTAGACGGTGCTCTCAGGATGCAGCCTTGAGAATTTTGTGCAGGCATGTGCGATTATACCAACATGATATCGGATTAGGGATTTATAATACATGGTACCACGGCATTTGAAACAGAAATTTGTAAGAAAAGAAAAACAGAAAAATATAGAAATGTATGCAAGATGAATAAAAAACGATAATTTCTTTCGTGCATGCAACACCATTATAATTCTCTTAAAATGTACACGAACAACCAAAAGTTTTTCATCTATTATAGGTATTGACAATTCTCTTTATTACCTTATGACTCTGTACATTAACGTCTTGTAAATACGTTGCAAAAGTCGCAACACCCTTCTTTTGTTTTGTTTTTTAAATAGTTCACTAGAGTATCGTCTAGCAAAAAGGTTGTGTACATAGTATTAACATAAAAATTTGCTCAGTTGTCCCATTTAACATGTTCGATTCCCGGTTAGTCTTTCTTAGCCAGTTTATTTGTTAAGGCAGGATAATCGGGATCTCCGAGGTCTAGTCAATCCTAGGCATTCGATTCTTTCAGATTTTGGAGCTTCTCTAACTGATCGGGTTGTAACTCATCTGGAATACTTGCCCTCCCTCCCATGACCATCTTCCCCGGCACGATCTCGATATCCTCTATTTCCGTTTCCGGTACCTCGATCACCGTGCCGCGAGACGGTATCGATTGCGAATTATCACCCGTACTCGGTCCGGACGTTGAGTCCGCCTCGCTACCAGAACTGCTACTAACCGGAAATGGTGCCGAATCCGCTGGCAAATCGTCCACCGTAGATTTCTCTTCGATATCTTCGATCACCTCGGTGGTGGTTTCTTGCTCCTCTTTCTCGTCCATTATCACGGTTGTCTCTTTGCAATCGCTTTCATTTATATCGGTGGTTGTTGTTTTCGACGGCACATCACCTTCGGAACTTCCGGTGGACTTCACCGTGTCGTCGGGAGCGGCCTCCTCCATACCTGGGAATGGATGCTCGATCTCCTCCATTGGCGTCGCTGCGGTGATCACGATCTGAGCAACACCGAGTCCGAACTCATCCTTCGATTGATCATCGTTCGCAGACTCCGATTGCTTCGCTGTCTCGTCATCTGTCTAGAAATACAGAACGGAGAACGGTCGGTAAATTCTGTTGCCGACGCGAGACCGGTATCTTGTTAAATCGTTTTCTCCTCAATACACCATTTACCTTGGCTCCAGATTCATCCGATACTTCTACAACTAAGCGGCAGTTTTGTGTAAATTCAGTCACGGATTAAATACAAAAAGGAAAGTGGTAATACGCACGAGTGAACAGAATGTGAATTATCACGACTAACCTACGATGCCAGGTCCTTCGTCAGGGTTATCGGCATCGAATTGCGTGCCGTACTGACATTTTTGATCCTTGGATAGATTTATTATGAAAGCGTCCTGCGTTTCGTGTTCTGCGTTCGCGTCGCCAAGTTCTTGTTGAGCCTTCGACTCTGCGTTAAATGTAATAAACAAATGCATACTTCGTCGTTCCTTGTTACCAATAGACTGTTACGAGTGAATCACTACCTTTCATCAGACTCTGTGCCAATTCCTCTTCTAGCAGAAACTCTGGAACTTCGGGGGGCGTAAACACTGGGGGCGCAGAGCTCGGTGGCGTTATGTTGTCCTAAAGATCGCACACGCGAAGCATATAAAAAAATTAAATCATTCCAGCATTCTTGCACCCCGTTCGAGTTGAAAGTACATGAAAAAGTAACAGATATCTCAGACGAGAAGAATTACATCTATTCGTGGATTGAAATTTAACCTGTGGGGTTAAAGGTGAACCGTCGGCAGCGCACGGCTCTACAATTAAAGACGGGAATAATCCTCGCTGTCCGCGTAATTCTCCCTCCCACCATCCGTCGTCGACGTCGTGCGGTTCTTTCCTTAAAACCTTGATAACGTCACCCTCGTAGAAGCTGAGTTCTTCGTCGCACGTGGCATCGTAGTAATAAAGAGCGACACAGTATTGGTCTCCGTCTAAAAGAAGATCAAGCTGACTGCCGGTGGATATGTCAATTATTTGAGTATAAATTAAACAGGAAAGGAAACTGGAGTCTCTGATCAACATTCCAAATTTCACAAAAATTGTTGAACTCGACGGGACAAATTCCGAATTTACCTCCTATATGATTTTGTACAATAGCTTCTGGAGCAGCCTGTTGTTCTAGATTAGCATCAGGATCGACCGCGTCATGGTCGTCGATCGTATAATCCACTGATGAGAAAGATATTTGCTGGACGAGAGACGGCCCCTGGGAACTGAGACCGGAAGTGGCCTCGGGCTCGCGTTCTACGTCTAGATAATTCTGTGGTACAAAACCTTCCTCGCCACGGTAGTTTCGTGCTCGGAGCCACCCGTCCCCGTCGCCCTCGCCAACGACCTCGAGCTGTTCGCTCTCGACAATTGACAATTCATCTGGATTTTGTGCCTGTAATTTCGTCCTGACAATTAGTAACAAGCACGGTCGTATAACGTAAAAATTGTAATGTGGGAAAAATTCTTCGCACCGTGTACGAATAAAGCGCGGTACATTTGTATATCGGTTGCGCAGGTGGGACTTCGGATGTTTCGGGAACTTCAGTTTGTTCGTCCTTCTCCTCGTTCGCCCAATCCACCGCCGTTGGATCGTCCCAGCCAACGGTGAGCTGCTCCATTCGCTGTTTCTCCTCCTCGAGTAAAGCTGCGAAACAAAATTGTCCGTAGAATTATCTAGATCCAGGATGTAGAATCTCTTCTTACTGGATTATTAAGTGCGGTCTCACCATCAACTTCCTCGCTATCGTGCCTCTGTCTTTCTTCGGTCATTTCCTCTTCCTGTTGAGGAGCACTTTTGCCGCTGCCTGGCCGTTCCACAGTCGTCAAGTCGCTTCCACCGTCTCCGTCGCTGTCATAGAACGAGTCCGAGGATGGATGTTCCTACAACCATTACCTTCAATACTCAAAAGGAGAACTATCGTAGAATTTTAACGAACATTCACCATTGAATAATCGTAGAAAAATTTTCGAGGGTTTCGTTCGAGGACTACAATATATACATTGAACCCTGCTGATCCGAATAAGATCTTTTCTCAAACGTCGATCACTTGGATACATGAACTGCATTGTCTTAAAAATGTTTAAACCTGCTGGCAAGTTCATGTGACTGAAGGTGATATCTACTGGGTATATACAGTAATCTGAATCATCTTGTTCCTCGATCAGTTCGGATAAACAGAGATGTGTTTCTGTGGAAATAAATTAAGGATGTCATAGTACCGCCGTTCCAGACGCATCGGTTCTCACAGAAAGGGAGCTGGCCGAACGAGGCATGTCCTGTACGCTCAATGTCTCAACCTCCTGGAGCCATTCGTCCACGTTTACTAGAGAAACAATATGGTGGCATCAACCCCACATAGAATGTCATATTTTTTTTTACTGTATTAATTCGATTGGAATAAGAAAAGAGACAATATGCTAACAACAAACCTCCGCCGTTTCGAAGGCATTCTATTCTCGCCTCCGCTTTCTGTTTTGCTGTCTAACGAACAAGTAAACGTGTAAAGAAGTGAAGTCACAGGATTCGTGATTCTCACCAAAAATCTTACCTCTGCGCGCCGTATCATGTGTTTCAGTTCATCGATTTTCGTATCTAGATCTGGACCCTGTGGATCGTTCGGATCAGTCTGTAACGTTGTTATTCGCAAATCATTGTAAAACCCAAACAAAACGTTCTGTATTGATCTTCGCGGAACGTGTTTACCTTTTGTCCAGACTCTTTCAGTTGCACAAGGACCTGCAGTTTCCTATTGTTTTCTCGGATGGTACTCATTTCACGAGCTATTCTCGACGACCAGCGACGAGCTTCCTTTCCGAGGTTAGCTGCAGCCGCATGATCAGCTGTTACCCTGCGAACAATTCGTTTATGTACCAAGGATTCATCGAAACATCGAAATGGTATTTCAGAGCGTTCACTGCGATACTCGCTATCGGTATGCGGCTGACAAACCTGTCCACTGGATCGTTGTCGCAACACTCAAAGTCATACTGTATATGTTGCTTTAATACAGGATAATACAAACAGCAACACTGTATATTGTACTCTCTGGTGAGCTGTGACACACACACAACAAGAACAACACTGATAAAACGGACAACTGTCGTATTTTAGAATTATATATAACAGTCAAAAGAAACGTTTAGCTTATCAGTTGCATCGCGTATCCGATGAATTACTCACTTGTTGCGCTTGGTCGCGAATTTTAGTGAAGCTGTTCTGCGTTGCTAGACAAGTCAAGAGTTCTGTACGACCCATCAGCGTTAAATATTCGGCTACTTTATCGTAAACGCCTTGTTCCAAATACTAAATACCGACAAAGAAAGGGGATGTTATACTTTCCATCCGTTACAAGCGTTCGATAAGAAAAACAGAAGTGATCCAATTAAGTTACCTGCATGGTGTTCTGTAAATCGACTACAAAATATCTATTTTGATGGGCATTCGCAGCGGCGAGGCTAAGCAAATAATCGTTTCGAGCACCGGTCGATTTCTCCTCTAAAGCGTCGCGTTTCGAGCTTACCTGAAGATAAATCATCACCTTTAATGCGAACACCGTTGCATTGACACCCTCAATATCTTTTTACCTTGGCGCTATTTTTCTGTAATGACGTTATTGATTGGAAAAAGGATCCCTTTTTCTTCTTCAATCTGGAAACGATGAAATAACCAGCGTTACGACGTTGATCGATTACGAAAGCAAGCTTAACTGTCGCTCGCGGGTACGTACTTCTCCTCGATGTCTTTTGCCTTGTCCCGTACATCGTGGGCGCTGTGTTCTTCGTCGAAGTATAACTTTTTCGTTTTGTCTACATCCTGCACGCATAGTTGCAGTTCCTTTTGTACTATCATTAATTGGTCGATCGCCTGAAAGAAGGAACCGTGTTACATTAATTTCGTATCATACAACCAACTCGGATAGAACGCTAAATCTACATGTCTGTCCTACCTTCTTTGATATTTGGAGTTTGTGCATTTTCAAACTTTTCGCGTCATCGGCGATTTGCTGCTGGAATACCTCCACCGCCGCTAGCCGAGCTCTGGCCAACTTTTCGTTCTCCTCGAGCACGGTTCGCCAAACGTTCCACATATTCCTGGAAACGATCATTGCCATTATTAGGTTTCGAAACCTCGAAATGTTTTCCGAAAAACATAATTCCACATTTTAGCATTCCGGCCAGAACAGAAATCTCAGCCGGAACGTACCATTTTTCATCGGCGCCGTCGACCTTGAGGTCCGGAATATTTGGTATTTTCTTATTCAAATAAGCCGAGGATATTTTCAGAAGCGCCTGAAATAAATGCATGAATCTTAAACGTGCATGAATTTCTGTATTGCAGCGATCAACTCACCTCCGAATAGGATTTTTCTATGGCGGACTTCTTTATCGTGAAGTTGCTGGAATAAAAGTGTACTTGTCATTTGTAACAATAAAAAAAATAGTCTTTGCAAACAGCGACAGTTCGACTTTATCGTTTCTGAATGAAGATAGAAGCTTTGCGATAAATCAGTATCCGTTCAAAACTGAATCAATAGAATCGACTATCGATATCGGAATGAACCGGATATTTACCAAGTAAACGAGAAAACCTCAGACTACAGTAAAATTCGTTCGATTCGTCTTTCGCGAGGGACAAACGAAGGATTGGTAAATTCTTTTGTCGATCGAAAGTGAATGTGTGCCCGTCGAAATAATGAAAATCGCCGGCACGAAACCGACGGCCCGCAGGGTTCTAAGATGTTTAAAGGGGCTTTCATCTAATCCAATCTTTACATAAGTTCAAGACTCACCGAATATCCTCCAGAAGGTCGCATTCGTGCTGATTTTTCGCCTGCAACTTCGCCGCCTGCTCCGCGTGCACATTCTTCAGAAATTTTGCGTAATTTCCCTGCGAGAAAAGAATATCGCGATCTAAACGAACTATTCCACTTTTCGTCCGATAAAAAACGTTCAAGTTCTTTCATTTGGATGTTACCACACGACAAGGACAAAAAAAAGTTGTTCTACCGAAAGGAGGAACACCGAGGTCGGGGGGTTGTTAAACTAACGGCGTCTCTGATTGGATCGACGGACAGGTCTGTAGGAAGAGAATAAGTAGATGTTCTCTCCGTCGTGGTGCAAAATAAAAAAAGCTCGTCTCGTCTCTCCTTCCGCTTCGATTATCGGTCTTTCGCACGGTAGCCAATAATTGCCGTGACACGGGCAGGCTAACAGGGGTAACGGTTTAATCAGCGGCAACATTGTTCGAAGTCAAGTTCAATTTTGTAGTACAAGCGGCTGCATCGGCGATTCCGTTACGCATCGTAGCTTGCATTGACCTCGTGAACTCCTGGCGAACGTTCGACCGAGTTAATACACCGAGGGCGGAACAGCCCCGAACCCTATCAGTACGGGGGTGGTGGTGGTTCGGGGGGAGGCTCTGATGGGGTCGATGGTGAGGTCCAACGAAGAACTTTGAGGAAAGAAAATAGATCGTCGTACCGGGGACCAGAACGGTGTATGCCTATCGAGACCGTTTCTCGCTCGAGAAAGCAAAGTTCGTTTATTATCGGGCTTTATTGCCGATAATTTAAAGTTAGCCACCCCCATGGAAACGGAGAGAAGAATTGTTACGAGCTTCCAGCTCCGTGCGAGCCAAGTTACGACAGTTACGAAAAGATGTAAATGGCATTGGGAGGATCGAATGGTCCACTTTAACGACGCCTCCGAGACGAGTCTGAATATTTATTTCGCTATCACCGCCTAGTGGAGAATTTCGGAAAGTCTGACGTTCGAGTACATACCTTCGATTGACATATGTACTTACCCTCGGTAAGTGGACACACTATTTCTATAAGAGTAACGAAAAATATCGTTCAATTGGTTATTAAAAATGGTATTGGTTGTAATTAAGTATCTTTCTTACAGTGTGCAGTATTTTGGACCAGCCTGTCCAATTATACATGTACACAGTTACTAATCAATCGGCACGAAAGAACAACCTCGCTCCTTGGTCTAGCTGAAATCCCAACTAGCTAGTCCCCTTATCGATTCTCCTTGAATGTCTGGCGTTGCATTTTTGAATGCATCCACGGTCTAAAGACTCGTACGTAATCACTGTATGCACGCTCGCTAGTCCCTGGCATTGTTACGCGGATCGTTAAGGGAGAAAGAACCACTGTAGTCTACGCCGACTACGATGCAAATTTTCACGCTTGTTTCTCTCCGCCGCGTGTCTAGACTGCCGAGAATCTCCGGAGTACAGGGGTAATGGAATTATCGAGTAACGAGGAGAAAAACCATTTTGCCTCGCTTCGATCCGTTTGTATATCCCCGACGCAACAGCTTCGACATGCTCTGCATCGAAATGCAACGTTCAAACGTGTTCATATCTTCTTTTTTTTTTTTTCAGCCCTTCTTACGACGACTTTGAACTCTTTACGGGAGACTTTTCGCCTTTCGCGAAGTCGATTCAAACCCGCTTGGCGATCACGACCAGACTGCTGAAGGATCTTTGTTGATTTAATGTTATCAATCGTTTTTCGGATCGTAACTTTTACCACGTCTCTGTGTGCTCCTCGAGCATTAATTTCGTTTTAATTCGAAGTGTATATCGCCATGCGGAAAGGTCAAGATTGTAACCCGTGAGTAAAGCGTCACTCGACTCGAAAAGTGCCATGACGGGGCGAAGAATTTCAGGCTCCGGCTAAAAGGCCGCGCCAGCTAAAGGAAATTTATAACCGAGAAGACCGTGACAAAGACGTTTATTAGATTTTTAAAAAAGCCCTTTATCGATCAACGAGTACAACGAGGTTTCGCCGGGGCACCGAGAATGGGATAGTGCCGAGAAAGTGACTCAAGACTCGGTGTGAAAGGGTTCGTCCGTCAAACGAATGATCACGACGACGGTTTATTATTACGAGGCTGTTTTTTTTTCTTCTCGATGGAATACGTGCTCGCGAGAGACAAGCCCAGTCGGCAAACACGAAATTGTCCTGAGCACTGGAAGAAAAGCAGCCGGATTGTAAAGAACAGAGCGACAAACGAGCCAGAAGCGCATTTTTCAAACTCAACGTGGAAAATATTCGTGTTCTTTTTCTCGTTCATTCTCTCTTTCTCGAGCTGAGTATCTTCGGATTCTTATCGGGCGACTAGCATTCGACAAGTGGAAGTGGGTCAGGAATCCCCCGGATCTTCAACTAAGAAACTTCATTGTCATCGAACGAGACGAAGGGACGGTTAGACCAGCATCGTAAATAGGTCAGGCAATCTCTCGTTATCTTTGAGGGAATAGGGATAGGTAAATAATCCCCCAGACTATTCCTTTGAGTCCGTTCTCGGCTCGGATGTATAACCAAGCAGCCGGAAAATCACAGAATCTCATTCGATTCTGAACCGTGTGGCCACAAAGACGTGAACAATTTGTCATTGTCCACTGTACCTCGTTGTTTCATCTACGATTATCTCCATGAAGTAATTTAATACCGTAAGGCTTTTATGTTATTATTATGTTTTATGTATCAGGATGTTACACCTTATCGTTTATCTTTCTACGGGAAATTTAACCTAGAAACTATTAGAATGTTTGTCAAATGAATTGAAAATGATTTCAGCGATTCGCTAATACTCGAGGCAACGTATGCAGAAGTTTATTAACGGGGTTAATCGTGTCTCAGTGTCGGAAAAATGGTTGGCAAGAAATCGTTATCGGCATTATGCACAACGAGGGCTACATCACTGCGCGAACACAAGCACCGACGTCCTTTAATCAAGCCTGGCGCACTGAAAGCTTTCAGTTTCAGAAATTTGGAAGGTAAGTTGCGATGCATAGACTACAGATGAGGATCACGAGTCTCTCTTTTTCTCTCTCTCTCTCGAGATGCATCGAGATTATTTAACCATTTGTTCGCGAAACAAAGCCCGAATGAAAAATTCTATATGACTCGAAAGTCGATGCGCATAAATTACAATAAATCTTGCGAAAAACAAAAGTTGTAACGAAAAAACATGGCCACCCAAAATTGTCCTACATTCAAAATTCAGGATCGATTTCAGTGGACGCGTCCTGTTGTTACATAATAATAAAAAGGAGACGGATCGGAAAATTTCGAAGAAACGTCAGTCCCACATTAGTTCAATATACCGATCAGATATTCGAAGAGAATCGTGAATCATGGACGGGGGGCAGATCGAAAAATTGGACGATCGTAGAGGGAAAACAGAAAATAATCGGAAACGGTGTGCACGGACGGTGGATATGTTAACCCCATCGGGTCTTTGGCCTGTTTCGTCGATTTTGAGGTCAGCTTTTGGTATAGATTTTCGCTGGGTCCGGCGAAGCAAGCATCGATTTTCTCATCGTGGGTAACGTTCGAGCGGGGTTTACGTCAATTTTTTCCGTAAGACGTCGCTGAAGATCGATACTCGCGTATCTCGATCTATTCTGGAGACGACCGGAGTAGGAGTAGGAAGTGTCAGACCGCCTACAGATTTTTTTTTCTCGATACGCATGTGACACTATCGGAAAACCATGCTTTTCTTGCCAGCACAACGTGCCCCCCTCCACTTTTTTCCCCTCTGTTGTCGTGAAATCGATCAGCTGAAAATTCTGTTCAATGCACCAGAGGGATCGACTCGCTTGATTCTCGGCGGATGGCATGTCGAAGGAGTCACCGGAAGCGCGCGCAGAAGAATCCCTCCGGCTCGGAGGAGCGAATGTAACGAGCGGAAAAATGAAATAAAGAAGAAGGGAAAGGTGGCACCGTGATTGACAAGTTGAAGACGGCGAGATGAAAGTGTTTCCATTTCGATCGAATGCCACATAGAACAGAAATGGCATATGGTCCCGAAAGGAGGATGTGTGGTTGGGTGTTCTCGAGTGGGCTTACTTTTCTCGGTGGTGGTTGCATGCTGGACGAGCGGCCTGGCTCTGCAGCATTCACCGCTGGCAGCCCCTTTTTACACACACCGTCCGCCCGGGGAGGGGTGGTCTGTTGTTTTCGTACGCCTCACCCGCGACAAAAATAAACGCGCTGCCACCCTCTTCACTGCTCGCGTGTTCGTACGCTACTGCTCCGCTGCCCTCGACCGAACTAGCCTATTTATTGATCGCGCACACGCATGCGTCCCACTCGATGTTACATACGCCTTCGAGATTTCTCGTTTCCCTCCTTCCTTTTCAACCCTCCACGAAACGCCTCCGCGCGACGAAAATGTCTCCTGCGCCACCAACATTACTCGTCGTTCCTTTCCATCGAGACTTTTCTGTCTTCTTACCGACTGAAACTGATCGAAGAATTCAACCCCTTTTTCCCGACGCGTTGCACGTCTCTGCACTTCCGGTTTAGAACGAACTGGTTGAATAAAAATTCCTGAACCACCCCCTTCCCCACACGCATTCCCCCGAAACACGATCGTGATCGAAATGCTAAAACTACAAGAAGTGAACCAAAACTGAACATTTTGAAACGATAGGAACTGAATCGAGACTGGAAAATTTACGGGCATAGAAATTCTATTCTAGTCTCGAATGGAAACCGTTATCGAACGATCGCAGATACGATCTTATAAGGAATGCTTATATTACGACGATGTAATTAATAACAACCAGGAGAACGTAGACTCGAAAACGGTATTCAACTTTATTAATCGTATAAAACGGGAAAAGTGCTCTTTGCAGATACATTACCGAACGAATCGTTTTACTTCGCACGTTAACACGTAATTATTGTAAGAAACGTTTAACGTTACATACAAAATTGAAAAATTCGTAACGATTATTCGTTTAAATTAATTTGAACGCCACGCTCGAAGGCTATCACAAGATACTAGATAAACATCCACGAGATGCTGCGATAATTTTACAATATCATTTGTTCCAACTGCAGTCGAAATCAGACCTGCCTAACCCACGTATACACAACCTCGTCCCTACATTTGCATCCGAGACGCTGTTTCACATTCAAGCAGCTTTACATTCGCTAATTATCGGTTAGTTTATAAAAATATGGAAAACACGTCGAAGCGTCCTCTTTGGAAAATCAACTTTGGATTCGAAGCTTGATCGTTCAAACGTGAAAATCAAACTGTGAGATAAGCGAGTCCGATTAACATTAGAAATTGACGCAAGAAGAAAGCGGTCCATAAATACTTGTCTGTCGTCTGTTCAGCTTGGTTTCTAAAACGAATGTTCATAGTAACTCGTCGGCGGGTATCGACCCAAGGTCCTGATCAACCGGCACCGGTGCTGCATGCACGAGGTCGTGATCGGCCGGTAATCCTATGGCACCGTCGACGTCAGTGTCAGAACCGACCGGCAGCACAACTTCCGGTTGAGGTCCAGCTGGTTCTGCTGCTTGTAACAGACCAATCTCCACGGGGTTTCCACATGCGTCCACCACCGGGTCGGCAGTTGCTTCCGCGAGATTCGTCACGGACTTCGATTTAACGCATTGGAAGTCGACGTGTCGGCTTTTCGCTTCTTCCTTCTCCCATGACATGTGAATGAACGGCCTTTGTACGTAATTGTAGATCACCTCGGCACGTCCACCAGCACGTTTCTTCACTTTCTCCTTGTAGGTAGGATAGCCCTCGATACCTAAACGGATCTTTTTCAAGCCCCGTTCTTTCATTACCTGCTTGGCCACGTCTCTGTTCTCGATGTATTTGAAAAATCGATACATCGCGGTACTGTTAACAGCTGTTGATGAATAAAAAGAAAATGTTCCGTTAACAGAATGCACGAACAGTCCCATGTTTTAACGTGCAAGATAAATCGCAGCTAGGTTAACAAAGAAAACAAGCGAATCTAGTGCACCTTGGTGTTGTAAGAAAAGCGGAAGTAATAAAAAGAACAAGCTATCGTGTACTTACTTTGTGAATATTCTTCTCCCATTTGGGGGGGATACTCTTCGTCCCAATCGACAATATCATCCTCTAATAAAACAACGATGTGACATTCACGGTCGCCCCTACGTGCACTGTTTACCATTAGAGGCAACATCAAGTCCTCGAGGAACACTTCGAACTGACAGCGCGCGCCTTCGTTAGACAACTCATGTAATAACCCTCCTATAACCAATTGTCTAATTTCTAGAGCTCCTCTACTTAATGTGAGCTAATACTTTGCTTTACAAAATTATGTATTGACCATAGTTGAGCATTAAATTCACTTAAAAGTCCATGTATCTAAATGAAGCCTGTATAACTGTCTTTTCAGAAAAGTGACTGAACTCTTTTCAGCAAATTTGCCGCTTAGCCTGATCATTTCCGATACATAAAGACATTACGATCTTTCATTTAGTAAGACATGTCGTAAAATCTCAAATTTCACTTACTCAAATTCTGACATTTAACCGTGTTGGCATCGAAAGGAACAAGAAGATAGTCGCACGCTTCTCGCAATTCTTGAACTGCAACCGTCGGCGGGCAACGTATTATTCCACCTTTGTAGTAGTCCAGAATAGCTCTAAATACCATGGCAGATATACCATCTGCGACTTCGTATTCGCCCCGTTCATTTGGTTGAGCATATTCAATACCAGAACTAAACATTCTTCCTAACATTGTATTTGGATGTGCAGTGAACAGTGCAGGGTCAACGATAAATCTAAACATCAAATGTATTCTTTTAAGTTGATGTAACTTCGTTTTTTTTCGAAGTTGCATTAGATAATATCTTACCTAGTATTATCTACTATAAGAGTGATACGTTCATCACTAATTGCTGCATTACTTATACCGGTAACAGATCCCGATGATGCTAAGTTGTCCCTACTTTGAGTCTGCTGACTTTTTCCAACAGCAACCCCAGAACAGAGTCTGAAGCAAAATACACTTTTAAGTAACCACTAAAAGTTACTCTACGAAACAGAGAAAGTATGGCTAATAAACACGTGAAAGCAACACACAGTGTTGAATGGATTTCTAAACAACACCTACCTCTTGGGTAATGATGTCTGGACTTTTGTTCTGATTATATAAAAGAATCAAAATAGTTTATACTATGAGTTGCTAATACAAAACGTTTATGTACCTCTTTGAAATGGTAGGGCAAAAATCTCTGTTTGTCTCTGTTTTTATTACCTGTTTTGTTGATTAATATTTGTGTTTTGCCTGCCAGAATTGAAGGAATGACAGTGCCTTTCATTGCTTCCATCTCTTTGAACCAGACAAGATTTTGGTTTGGAAGAGCCACCACAACTACATGCAAAACAACGACATTACCTTTCTAATGATTGCATTCAACAAGCATTGTGTGATGTCTACTAACTCTAATAATGACAACTAATTAAAATTAACAATCATGTATATGTACATGAAATTTTGTTATGAAAAGAATTGCTCTAATTTAAAATACACTTTTAAATTAGTTACTTGAAATACAATTTTTGTATTCCAATGTTGTTTTACATTTCAATATGTATGAACGGATAATTAAGTAGTAAACTTGTGGAAAGCTTACGCAATAGAATTAAATAATATATATAATTGTACAATATGAAACAATGTTCTGAAAACTCATTTAATGATGTTAATGATGTGAGGTGCTAGATGAATGCTGATTAAAACATTCCTCAATATACTGTTTTCCAACTAATCTAATATTTAAGGTAGCACAATTAATTGTTCTTAATTAAAAGATTAATTGACATGCATATAACATAGTGTATGACAGCAGCCTTAAATACATGCTATAATTTAAACATGTAATTACTGAAGTAGAATTTTTAAAAGAATAATAAATTACAAGTATAGTAATCATGTTATTGTTTGTCTAAAGTTTTTATCTCAATGATATAAAATTAAGCTACTAATACAATATACACATATATATATATAATGAAGGTTTCTCATTTCTCTTTGCTTTCTTCTATATCAGATATTATAATCAATTATAATCTTTATGTAAAAAACACTTTACCTCATTCTATTCTTATAAATACGATGCCGTTCTCTGCCTCCTGTCTCTTTGTCTGTTTCTGTGTCACTACTGCTATCTTGTACATAATTTAAGCGATCAGCATGGTTTGACATCTTAAACCAGCTGTAAAGATACATTACAAATTAAATGTGAAATATTGGAGATTTAACAAATTAAACACTAGAGAATACAATCAAAACACTGCACTGAAGTTGCTTTGTATTGTTTGAAGGATAATTCTTTATTTTTGTGCAACACTTTGCAGTATATACATTCATAAAATAAATTTTATTACATGTCCTCATTATTTAACATGTAATTAGATTTCTTCTCACATTTGCGTATTGTCAAATTCATATGGAATATTCGATTATCACAACGATTGTGCAACAAAAATTAAACCGAACAAGTAGAAAATTCTAGTACATTACAACTTATTGTTGTGTCTCCTGTCAACCGTTTTTACAAATACAAAAGACACACGTAAAAATGCTGCATATCCTTATCTGAAGAGATGTATTCCTATTATTGGGTAAATTTTAGAGTATACTTATCATGGTAAATAGTTTAATTGCGATATCGTAAACTGTTCTACTATGCGCTCCTTCGATCTATAACTGCTTATGCGTAATACACATGTTTCGAATACTCACAAGTTTGATAACGGCAAGTAGAAGCCGAGTTTCTTCAAAAGCCAGCTGGCTGACGTGCAAATTTCCAAACCACACGGTTGAAAGTTAACCTGAACTGCCTGAACTCTCCTTTTGACGGAAAGTTGCATTCCAAACCGATGAAACGGATAATGCGAAACACCACACGGTCATAGATGACAATTTCTTCTGACAGGCGTTGCCCACACCGTGTATTGCAACAACTTACGATTATTTACCACATCGTTACTGCATAAATCAAGTAAATGAAGCAACTTTCGATTGAAAATCATAGTGCCATATTGTATGGTAAAAATTCAGAAAAATATCTTTATTATATTAATGTATCGCTGGAATTTTAATGTAAGAAATATTTTGAAATGATGCGAATTCGCGCCAAGATGATCTGGACTCTTCCATTTATAACTTTTAACGAACATTTAGATCTAGTTCATGTGTATTCATTGAATCAGAAGGTTCCTACTATAAATAAATATTTACATATGTATTTAAACATTTATACCGACAATAAGGACAATTGTCGAACAGCTCCAATAACTCGAGAATTTTAACTGAAACCTTTTTCCTGTGGCATAATATTTGGTGGTTCATAAAACATATTGAAAAATATAGAAAATTTGCGCAAATCGTAATTAAATAACATTTAAGTTTGTAATATATGCTGATAAGTGTAGTCAAAAAGACTAGTCGTGCCATCCACGGTAAAAAGTTCAAGCTAGTAGCCAATTAATACACTTTTTTGATCCTGGATGGCGCCGTTATACCGCACCGTTTAGGCGCTCATTTCGTTAAAAAATTAAATATCAACAACATCTAATAAGTTGGCCTCCGCATTAGCGCACTGCGCCGAACGCGAATAGCATGATGTTGTAGTCGCAAGGGAGCAATTGAATCGAATAGACGTATTGTACCGTAGCGCATCGTATTGTATTTCAAACTTTTATATCATTATAATTTATATGTATGTATGTATATTCCAATAAACATACGTCAGGTAATATAAGCTTCATTTCATCGAATTGTCTTACATATAACTGCATAAATATTGTACAATCTTATACTAATTATAGTTGTCTGGTTCAACAGGTTACTACAGAAACTAACTACTGCCTACGTCTTTTAAACTTGGGCTGTAGTAGTATCTGCAGAAACTGCCATGGTTGGTGGGGTTACTATATAATTTGCACGGAAGCACGCACAAGTGTCAGTCAGGTTTCGACAGTTGCACGAGCAACAAAACTCTTTGGGTCTCTGGCGCCTCCTCCGGGGGTTCTGTGACCCCACGCTCTCGCCACACGGGGACACTGGCGCCACCTGTGGGGGTTCTGTGGCCCCGCGCTGTCATCATACGGGGTCACTGATGCCACCTGTGGGGTTCTGTGACCCCACGCTCTCACTAACGAGGTCCTTGCGCCTCCACCCGGGGGTTCTATGACCCCACTTTTCACACACACGTATTTCACCAATTTCCTTCTTAGCAATATAAAATCACTCGTATTCACAAGTAGCAGTTCACGCCATCTCTAGTATATAGACAGCTATTTTGATCGGTGATTTACGTGTAAACAATTACAAGATTTTTCTAATACGACTGAATACGACTAATTCATTGACCGATGGATCTCAATTGTATAGAATTCTTATCGATGTTATAATTATAATGTAGAATATGTAATTATAAGCCAAGACGGTGGTGATTTAATGACCCTTTACTTGAAATATTGCAATTTGTATCAATCTAAACATGATTCTAAAATGCATCAGTGTGTTAACATGTGCTGTGTGTTTTTTATACACCTTTTACGTTTTGTGCAATTTAACATATTTTCTATCGTATCATAAAGGAAATGAAAAAACGACTATTCTGGAAAATGGTAAAGAATGATCATGGTTAATTGCATCTTGTAATACTTGCATATCAATGTTTTCAATTATATAAATAACGTTCTATAGCGTATTGTGGCAAAAATGTATTTGATAAATCTCTATTACAGATGACTCTGGTGAATCTGCATTATGGTTATTAATCTTAAATATGTCTTTATTGAGTATATTCATAGTGCAACATACGCTCATGGCCAGTGATTTTGTGAAACACTTGTTTTGTAAAGTGTATATAGATTATATGGGGAGAAGTGTGTATAATGTTGCTAGTGCTATGGCTCTGCATTTGCTGCTGAATCAGTGGCAAATTATTCCATCCATTTCATTATGGAAACTTGATACATCTTCCAATAATGTTCTATGGTTCATATTTACTGCTTTCCATGTTTTGGGTTGGTCAATAATTTACAGTGGATGTTTAATGATGGATATAGCTGAGTTAACTGGACTGAAAGAAATATACTACAAATTTTCATCCAGACCAAGTCCTGTTGCAATGAAGTCCAAGGAATTATTGCGTTATTACTCTCACATGAGACATCCAAGTTTTACAGGCTTCATCATTATTTTATGGATATATCCTTATATGACGTAAGAGATGTTTAGAGTACTAATGTCGTGTTACAATAAATAAATACTGTGACTAAGTAATTCATTTTTATTCTTTTACAGATTAGACAGGATACTGTTGGCTTCAATACTCACAGTTTACATGGCTTTGATGTGGACCATTGACAAAGAAGATTGTAATTATCATGCTAGTCTAATTAGAATGAAAGAAAGAGAATTATTTTGATAATCTGCTTTACTTTAAAAAATATAATTTATAATTTCAATTAAAAGAGCTGTTCCCTTTAAGATCCAATATGCCTGTTCCTTTGCAGATGGAAGTAATACTGCAACAACAAAATTTGTACTATGTCCTGTTGTAGACAGTACACCTGCACGTACAGCTGTTTTGTACAAGGGACAAACATATCTGGGATCATCCTTTGATAATTCTAATACTGGATTTATGTGCAGAACCGGCAAAGTTGGATGCATTTCACCTAAAACAGATATCCTGAATAATTTAAATTTTTACTCTGCATCATTAAGATGCACTTTTCTTAAATACTATATTTCGTAACGCTAATGTGTTACCTATGTTTGCATCTATTAAACTCATCGATTGAAAATCCCATCTACCAGCATCAATGAACAATCCATGTATTAATACTCCATCCTGTGGTGCAACTAAGCCTTGATACACCTTCAATACCTGTAGGAATCATTGTTCTGCTGCAGTAAACCGACTCGTTAAGCATATTTGAAATTACATGAGCAGTAATTAGACCTCATGTCCAGATTCTCTATGTTCCTCCTCAATTTCTTCTTGATCAAGAACCACTTTGGTAGGAATGAAATCCAACTGCAGATGATCAATAGGTGTATTATATTTCCTTGCACAGGTTTGGAGCATGCCTGTTAAAAATCCTTGTGGAAACGATAAGCCAGAAATCCAGAAAGAAAGAGGTTTTTGGTGGATCAGCCAGGTCTGTGATACCAAAAGAGCATTGTGAAAGTGCCCAAGTAATTTTGTAATGTACTTCTTCTCTATTTTAAGATATATTTATACTTGAATGAAATCGACTCGTAGCTCCAAATTTCTTATCCAGCTTCCCAGTGTTTTTAACGAAGGATAGACGTTCGCGTTATGCCATATTTGTGGTACCTAGTTTATGCGAATGTAATGTTGAAATACCGTTGAAAAATCGTTGTAGATGAACAGAAATATAACGATAGAAACCTGATTATTGACAAGAGCGTTGAAGACATTCTCTAATTCCTCGGACATGACTACAAACCCTTTAATGGCTCGTTGCAAATTTTCAATTGAAGTGCATATTCTCCTTAGCAGTATATTATATCTGTCGACCTCGTGAATGAGGACAGTGGTCAGCGACGGAAGTCTTCCTTTCGAGTCCCTCTGTGAGAATTTGGTAAATCTATCATTTCGATAATTCATCCTCGTATCGAGAAAGATTTCCACTTACTATCATGTGTTTCGGATTACATTGTTCCGGATCTATCTTGGACTGAATTCGAGCTAGAATCATATCCGCAATTTCGTACGCTATATCCGAAGTGGATTTTCCTTCTTTGACGACGGACTCTTTCGGTTGCACTTCCAAAATGGTGTTCACGATAAACTGTGCTTCTTTCAACTATCGCATATACAATTATACAATGTTTTCCAGTTAGATTGATGATGGAAAAAAAAATACAAATTATATTTCATGTCCTGATCGACTCGATTTACTTGATAACTAATGTTTGCGTTTTCGTGCATTCCGAAGACCTCTGGATCATCGATTATGGGGAAATTCTCCACGAAATCTTTGTACTCTTGCAATGTCTTGAAGACAGGACAGTAGTATTTCCCGGAGGGCGAATAAACATAATCTAGAAATTACGAGCTTGGTAGAAATAATGCAATTTGATAGTGGGAAATTTCCACAGAAAGTGATCTTACTCTCTATTAGAGTTTTAGGAGAGAAGAATATATCCAGTATGGTTTTCATACATCTTAGATCCCAGCTGTCTGTGACCCGACCTCCGTAAGTAATTTCGCCTAAAGTAAATTGCGTTTCAAATTTCTGTCATGGTCATATCATCGTTTCGCAGTTTAACAAAATTAAACCTGTGGTGTATATCAACGCGTTCCAGGGTATCTGCTCGTGCACGCAGAATAATTTCAGATTAAGTAAACAACACTCCCTGTCGCTGTCGTTGAATTCATAAAGAATATTCCACCCCAATGGACCGAACTTCTTCCGTTCTTGAATGATCGCGTGGAAGAAACAAACTCCAAATATAGTTTTGCGCCATCTTTCTTTTAAAACTGTAAGAAAAAGCGTTGTAAATTATTGAAACATGATTTCATTACAATGCATACCATTTTTGTTTTAATCTTTTGCGGTTCTACGTCGACGTGAATTCTACATTAGTATTCACCTTTTTTCACACGTTTCTAAAGCGTACGTAATTTACACACCGCAAAAGCTTAAAAGAACATCCCGATAAGACGCTCCGTTCTTACAGTGCTGCTCGAAGAATTCATCTTCCAAATCGTGAAGCGCTCTTTTTATGTTCGCCTTTAGACCTTTCGGCGGTTCGTTGGTCACCTTCACCGCGTTCTGAAGAACAGAAACCGGAAACGCGACGCTCGGCATCGAGCTCAGAAACAATCGAAAATCGGCGTGTATCTTCCCCTCCTGTTCCTCGGCGATTTCCAGAACGATTTGCTCCATCTTAATCATCCACGAGGTAGCCAAATGACAATTCTGTAAGAACACCCATCTACCCTCCATGGTGCCCTTTCGTATATGGCCCTCGGCGACAGGCCCTTGACCTTGCCCCAGCGAAATGGAATCGTATTTCTCGGAGAAACCCGTTTCAGCTGCAAATCTCAGAAATCCACTGAACGGATCCGATCCTGTGGTGAGGATAAACACCAACGGTATTTTGTTCGACGTGTTTGTGAAACTGCGAATACATATGTTAGAATAGATTTCGTTAACGTAGTTCGGTGTCTTTTCCTAGAAAAATCTTTGTTCTGTTTTTTTTCTTTACAGGTACAGTAGACCCGCAATAATTACCCGCACTCGGAGCTCTAGGGACGGGCAGTTTTAGGAAACGGGTAAATATCGAGAGCCAATAGTATGTACGATTTCCCTCTTACCTAACCCAGACCTAAACCAGACCTAACGGATATTCATCCAGCAGGCAATTACCGCGAGTCTACTGTACATCAGTTCTGCTACGTACAGGAGCTGCAACGCTACCATCGGCGACTCCACGAATTTCTGACCAAGATTCTTCGCCACGTAGGCGGTGATTGCGAAAATCAACTGATCTTCCTTCAATGCTTTCAGCAACATCAACTTTTCTATGTCAGTCAATCGATTGTCCCAGTCGCGCGTCGCTTTAATTGTGTTGGTCGGTATGACATTGATAGCCTGAAAGTTCCGTTGTTGGTATAATTCGTACACGATTGTAATTGAAATCAATTCATAAAGAATATGGACTAGTTACTTCCTGGAAATATCCAACGGTTAACTGAATTATCTTGAACGCGTCATTCATGATATTCTTGAAGCTCGGGAACGTGTTGGCCAGGTAATTCACCGAGGCCCACATTTGACCCGTCAATGTCGGATAATCCGGCATATCTTCCTATTTGAAGAAAATATCTTATAAACCAGTCGCAAAATTCTGCATGCGACCTGGACGACGAAAAAAGGTGGTTAACGTGTGAAAACAATTTTTCGCGGAAAAGACCTGCTAAGTGTTTTTTTTTCTCAGATTTTATTCCCCATGTTTAAGTACAAATTGTAAATCAACGAACCAGAAATCTGGAATTGCTCCCATTGGCCATGACGTTTTACAAGAAATACCTCAAACCTCAAAATCGATTCCTTAACAACCACCTTCTCGTGGTCCAGTTCACATATACATATTTGTTTCGATGAAAGTCTCCGTGAATCGAAACTTACCACGCCGATTTGCGTGGCGCCACGTAACATAAAATTCCATTGCGCCTGGGTGACAATATTCTCGTTTATATGGATCGCAATATTCAGCATAAAACTGAAGACCAATTTGTGTTTCTCGAAGAGACCGCGCGAGACGTTCGTATAAACGGCCAGCGTTATCTCGATGAGCAACGTCTGCAATCGTCGATTCAGATCCTCGTCCTTTTCGGTCATTTCGATCACCGAATTGAATACCTAGGATCGCAGAAATTAATCAAGAGAACAAATAACGTTCTTCTACCTGATTGAAATACCCTAATGATAATACCTGATTAAAATACTTCAATGAAAATTGGTACATAGGATCGATGTTCGCGAGATTGGCCACGACGAAATAGAGGACAGATCCACGATTCGCAACCGATCGATACCGTTCACGTGCCACCGATATCTTCTCTTCTGTGGCTTCGCTCTCGATCAATCTGGTGGCGATGATCGCGGAGGTCTCTTTGCTGTCGTTCAGGGTCTCTATCAACTCCTCGTTATCCAGAATATCGTCGCCCGCACCGTACAACAGCGTCAGTATTCTGTCTTCGATACTCTGCAGCTGGCCCTTGTCGGCGTTTATTTTCATTATCAAATCGGTTCTCATTGTTTCGAGGTCCGGTCTTTCAAGGCGCACCACGTCCCTGTATGAATAACAAACGAGAAAAAGCTTATTTTGTGTTGCACATTGTAAAATTCAACCGAATTGTGGACTTCTGAGCAGGGCTTGAAATGAAAACAGTTATGAAGAACCTAAATTCCAGACTATATCAGTTTCAGTTATAGTTCCTATATCAGCTCCAATATTAGTTCTATAATAGTTATATTTTAGATCAATTTTTTCAATCCGATTCTCATAACGAGTGTAAACAATTTTGCAGGAAATGAAATTACAACGTATTACAGCTGTAGATTACTGTGTACAAACAAAATTGCTTTAAAATTATTATGAATAAGTAAGTAATAATATGTATATATGTAAGGAAGTAATATGTTGTAATTACGCCAATAATTGCTCCTCGAGGCCTCCAATGGTCACAGTGAAATTCACTATAGTCACTTTTATGCAGACTTCCGGCAGATAATGAGGATTCGCGATCTTTGTCGTGATGTACAGCCGAAAATTTTTATCGTAGTCGACGTCCGTGTCGCCGAATCGTATCAGCATCCTGCCGCCCTGATCGAAAATCGAAGATGTTTCATTCACACTTTATCTTCGTTACGTAATAATTCTCTTAAAATAATCGCTAACCAACATGAAGATTTGTTTAAGTAACACGGGCTCTAAACTAGGATCCAACGTTTCTCCGATTTCTTGCAACAGTACAGGTGTCCCGAGCCTTATAGACGTTTCCAGTATCCTCGTGAAATTCGTATCCGTCAGTTTGCAGATCTTCAGGTTGTTATCTTGTTCCATGTTCCGTATCCACCTGTTCGCCTGTTCGAACGTAATTCAACGATGAATTAACAGAATATGAAGATACCTAATAGGTACTATTTAGTGTAGTAGTACGAGTGATGTTACCTGTTCTTGAGGATCGATCATCAGAGGCCAACGATTCGACTGCGTCACGAAGATAGCGTTTTCCGTGCTGACCTTGTCTCTCGGTAACCCATACGTATTCCATAGTCGAATTTCGTATGGGTCAGCCAATATCGAGATCAGACTATAATTCTCTGTAGTCTTTATGTCATAGTTTTTGCAACTGTTCAACCAAATCTGGACCAATTCTTCTCTGTACTCGTTGGTGAACGCGCCAAGATACGCTAAAGCCCCGGCGGCGACCATCGTGTCACCCGTTAAATTCACGATTTGATTATCGAACTCCTACAGAGGAAACAATTTTGTAGAATCTCCAAATTTTCCTTGCTTTTTTAAATGTGACTCGATTGTCGTACGTGCGTCATTTTCTCCCATCGGATCCGTTCGTCCACCAACGCGGACGTCAATCGACCGGATCTGTTCAGTCTCGCCTCTGCAAGCATCATTTTCGTTTCTAAAGTTTTCAAATTCTTCAAAGCCGTATCGTATTGCGTCTGTAACTGCTGGATCTTTTTCTCCAACGCGGCGAGTTGACCCTGCTTGAGGGCAAGAAGTTCTTCGATCGCTCGCAGCTCCGCTTCCGCTTGGTGTAACCTACAACAACGAATTTTCGAATAAGAAGTAGTGATCCTTCGATATCTGTTCTAATTCTCCTCTAGCCTATACAATGATTCACACATTCGTTCATAAACTTCCGAAATAACAATTATCTGTCAACAATCTTGTCCATCCACGAGTAGCCAAAATCCGATTGGACAAGATCAGCACCGAGGGATAGGCTGTAATTTCATTTTCCCCACGTGAATATTTTCTTATTCACCTTTGGCGTTTCGGCTCGACAACTCTGTAGATCTTGGCGTAGCCGTCCATCGCTCTCACCCAGATGCACATCGACTTGCACGCTTTGCTCTGCCTGGCCACCAAATCCGGCCGAAATTCCGGATGATTGACGTATTCCTGCAGCCTGTTTAGAAGCTTGTCGCTTATCTCGTCCTTCGGGTACGCCATCAAACGGTCGAGAAAATGTATGTCGCCGAGAACCAACTTGGCCGACGGCCAATCTGTCCTGGAAACGGGGATCCGTGCGTAACAAACACTCCGGGAAATGTTCGCGAGATCGACAAACATACTTTTCACCGAGCAACAAATTAACGGCCTCCATGACGAAGCGTACCAAATGTGGCGGTTTATTAAATACACGAATTTCGTTGATATCGTTCTTGTTCAATGCTTCCAATGCCTTTTGAGCTTCCATCAGGGCAGGTATCGCCGCTTCGAGGTCTTGTCTAGCGTCAGCTTCCAAAACCGCTGTTTCGTCCGCTTTCAACTGATAATATATACATACTTCCATGAATACCAGAACTAACCAGAGGATTCATTGAAATACTGTTGGTATTTTGTAAGTGTTATCGTACTTTTGCCGTTGCTTCCTCGGCGGTCACGACGTACTTGGCTTTGTCGCACTCGAATTGTTGTTTCGCGAGCATTTTCACCAATTTCGACACTTCCTCCGTGCTCACCTTCAACTTCGGGGCAAGCTCGACTAAATGCTCTTTCATAACGGCGACCATCTCGTTGGTCTCGAGCAGTTTCTGTTCAGACGAATATATATACAGGGTGTTCCGTTTATCACAATCCGTGATCACAAATAGAATCACATAAGCGTGAAGCCAACCATCTTCGACTTCAGTTTGAAACACGTTGTCGCTAACCATGTCTATCATCTTCAAAGATCACTTACATTCAGCCCATTCGCGATTTTACTCTTCAGTGTCTCGATTCCGTTTCTCTTCTTTTCCAGGGTGGTACGAAATAGTTTCAGGAGCTCCAGGTAACTGCTCGGCGTGGTGTAATACCTTCGACGCATCTCCACGAAGAATCGGACCGTTACCTCTTCCACAGTCTGCAATTATTATTCGAATTTTATTACAATGTGTCGAAAATTTTTTTCTCATTTCCCATCCTGTACATGTATACCGAAGGGCTTATTGCCCGTTAAATAAATTAACAATAATAAAAAACAGACGATTCGTAAATTAACAACAGGATACCTCGTGGATCAAGACGCAAATGGAACTGAGACCAGCTAGTTTCGCCGAATCCGTTGACACAACCGCGGCCAATGTGTTCTCCGCTACCGAGAGTAGGGCATCGTTCGGCCATTTAGTGAACCAATCGATCGTGCAACAGTTCACCAACGATGGAAACATGCGACAGCGATGTCTGTGATATAAGTATTCCCATTAAATTTGAAAATAATTTGATTTCGATTATGATCATGACAAACGACGAAGAATTCATATAGGAAAACCGACCTAAACGCATCGCCTATAGGGCTCATACAGATCATTAGGTGAAGCTGATTTCTGACCCTTCCGATGAAGAACTGATATATTCCGTCTCTGTTCGTTTCGGTAATACCCGCTTCTTTCGCCGCGGGTCTGGTGGCTATGATAGCTTTTTCTAGTTCGTCCGCCTCGTATAAATTCGGTACCTCCCCTAAAGTAAATGTATAAATACGAACCGATAATATTGCTTTTCTTTCCATATATATATACGTGACATTTAAAGAATAGTATTAGGCTGTCAAGATCGTTTCTCTACTTTCAATCGCGATACACGGTCTGTCCGAAAAGTTTCCAAACTGAAATTAAAACAGTTTTCCGTAAAATGGTGATGCTCTTCATCGTCAAATATTGCAAATAGTTTTCCGTTAAAGAGGTGTTACCGTTCACAATAATCATAGAAACTCTGGAAATGGTTCTGATAGTTCTTCTTCAAGATGGTGGATTAGCGAATAAGATATGTAGGCTATGAATATTAATTTCATTCAGGTTATGTTACCCGTGTTTAAGGTATTATTTATGTCCTCCAAGAACTCTTCCTGTACGATCTGCGTGTCCGTGAATAAAAACGTCGTGTGCATCGCAAGGGCACCGGGTTCGAAATAAAACCGTCGAAGGTCTTCGTGCCAGGCGTTCTTGTCGTACGTACGCGTCACTTCGATCTGATAACATCTTCCAAGAGGAAGATCATAGATCTACGTGAATCGCTTTTGATTACATTACGAACGGGAGAGTTTCGTGAATTCCACGATGATATAATGTACAAACTTGTAACCGTTCAAGTGGGACGCCAGTTTCGTTAGACTTTGCTTTCCCATTCCACCGACACCGACGAGAAGGCCGTTGCCCCTCTCGGATCGAAGAATTCGAGCCAGCCTGCAAACGTGCTCGATGGCGTCCATGAAGAAAATTATCCCCATGTCCTTACCGACGGAGAAGCGGTAATCTTCCAAATAGTCCTGCGTTGAAACGGGGCAACGATAGCCGAGGAACGTATAAAAAATCGGATACAGTAGACTCGCGATAATTACCCGCATTTTGGGGCTCTAGAGGCGGACAGCTCTGGGAAACTGGTAATTATCGAGAGACTAGACGTCATTCGATAAATTATTGTTGGATATTAATCTAACAGGCAGTTATCGCGAGTTTACTGTACTTTCCAAAATTATCATAGGTCCAAGTATTTCGATACCTCCAAAGTCCTCTTAACTTTCGGGATTTCGGTGAGTTCCTCGTAGATTCGTTGCTCTCTGGCCGCTCCGAACGCCATAAAATCACCGAACAACAGTGCCGGTGGCTTCTCCATGCTTTTCTCGTCCGGTAGTCGAACCACCTCGGTGCCAAAGGTACCGGTGCATACGTTGTTCAGAAGTCTGTAGAAATAACTCTTGTCCTCTGTGTTTATCAGACGATCGTGGAAGACACGAAGGCACTCGTGATAGAAAAGCCTGAAGAAGGGACACGCGACCTTCCGTTAGTCTCGTTAACTGCGACAGTCGCGTTAAATTGTTGTCATCGATGAAACACGTTATTCTCGTGGACACCTGTACATCTCCTGAGGCTGTTTTATAAACGTGGCGTTGACTTGCATGATACCTTGGATGCACTTGGACAGATCACGGAGATTGAAGATGTAGTGACTCTTTTCTGGGGTGGGCAACAGATCCTCCGCGATTCTTCGATAAATGTCCACAGTTGCGTTCACGATTTTCTCACCCACCAGTTTCACAGACTCGACGAAATCGTCCAGGAACCCGTGCATTATCGCCCTGAAAAAAATTAATTTCATCTCCGACTAGATTCGAACGACCATATTTTTTTTCAAGGCTTTACTTGAAAATTCCTTTCAACGACATTTCGGTAGGTGCTGGGATGAGCAGCATCGCGAAGTGCCTCACGAATCTTGGTGTTAGAGGATTTCTACCGCCACCTGGCGGTGCGCAAGCCGCCACGAATACGACGTCCTCTACCCGTTTCCAGAATAATTTCTCTCGATCGTACATCCCTTCGAAGTCCAACAGTTGTCTGGGAAGTTTTAATGGAACATTAACAGCACACGAACTCTTGTGGTATCATCCACTTGTCAGCAATATTAGTCAGAGATCTTTGATTTTTATTAAGAAGTATGCTCCTTCGAAGTTTTGGGGTAAAAGTACCCTGCAATCCTCTTATTGAAATTTCAATTAACAAGACTTTGGTCGATGCAACAACTTACCGCAATAGTTCGATCGGCGGTTGGGAACCATAAGTATCCAGTTTCGGCATATTAACGTCATCGACGAAGACACACATACGTTTTCCAATCGGCGCCCCTAAAACGGTCCTTTTTCTCCTCTCCAGTTTCAGTTCGAGAATCTCTTGGGTCCGACCGCTGCTGGTTTGAGCCGAAAATATCAAGGTGATCGGTACCCAGAGTTGAGTGTCCTCCAAACTTTTCAGCATCACCTTCGTTATCACTGATTTTCCAACTCCTGTACACGCCGAAATAATGTTTTAAATTTAAAACAGCCGTAAAATGGGCGTCTTTTAGGCGTCATGTGCTATCTGGGTCGTAACATTTACTTCATAAAAATAATACTTATATAAAAATTTCATAAAAATATTGCTCCCTAACCGGTGTCTCCGGTGAAGAACACCGGTTTGTTCGTTTCCACCATTTTCTTCATCATATAACCGAATCGTACGGTGTCCACGGTCGGTACGAGAATATCGAAGAACGGTGTCTCGCTGTCGTACAAGAATTCCGGCATAATGTCCGTCCAAACGTCCAATCGATGACCCGAAACGTTCACGTAAAGATCCCACAGGTCGATCGATGGCAATCTGAAAATTAACAAAAAATCTGTCACAATTCTGTAATGTCTACAGAATCAAATGAGAGAAAAGAAAATCTCAAGTCGATGATTTTACAGTGCATCTTCGTTTTCGTCGAACTGCTTTCTCACAAAAGCCTCGAAGATCTCCCGAGACGCATCGACAACGTTACCACCGACCGACCAAAGGTAAGCGAACACGAACATCTGGATGATGAACGTTTTTATTCGTGCTTTGTCGGTGGATCGTTCAATGGCTTTCGGCTCGTTTAAAAAACTTTCGATTATCGTACAAGTCATATTTGCTTTGCTGATATCCACCTATCGGTATGAAATGTAAATAAACATAATGAAATATTTTTTCTCGTTGGTTCGACGATTTTGGCTTCGAAATATAGTGAACAGTCATCACCAGACTGCAGATGTTTATGCAAAATACAATTTTGAACACTAATATAGAAAAAACAAAATTGTACAGAAATCTCTTTTTTATATTAGGGGTTTTAATATGTTAATAGTACTGCATAAATAATATTAAATTTCACTGATATCTTTACTTTTTCTAGATTTTGAAATTCAGGGGATACAAAGGCATAAACATTTGCAGTTTAGTCATCACCAACCACGGTGTTCCTCTCTGTTCTTATTCTCTTTAGACACGAAAACAATTAACATACATTTGTACCTGAGAAATCGGGAAATCGCAGTTCATTCTGCAAAAAATTAGTCCCGCCTCGAAATATCTTTGGAAAAGATTGACGATCAACTCTCGATATTCATCTTTAAGAAGCGTTTCCGGAAGATTCGTCACCCAAGTCTTCACGTATGGCATCCACTTTAGTTCCGCTGGGTCAACGTACACCATTCCTTGAGAAACAAAAAAAAAACATAAAGTTCTCTTTTACATATGTTACTGAATTAGCCTAAATGATCAATGGTTTATAAGCACAAAATTCTAATTTATGTTAATGTATAATAACCGCCGATTGAACTCACATGAAGTTTGCTTAGAAAGTTAAGAATATCATAAAAAATGACATTATTTTGTGGTACCCCTATAAGAATAACCCTATAATTTTTCGTGATTTTTTTTGTACCGCATCGGCTGACAGTGGCTGGTGACGCTTGAGATAGATCCATCACTTCGAAAAGCATCCGCATATACGGCGTGAATTTGATCCTTTCAGAGTTGGCCAGGCAGAGCATTTTGTTGTCATCCAAGACGGTGTTCATGTTTTCGATCCATATAGCGTCGACAGGGCCGTCGCATACGATCCACTGATGATCCTCCGTGACAGACTGAATAGTATATCGATTTCAAATGATAATCGTATAGAAGGTCTGGTTCAAAAAGACCGAGGACTTTATGTACAAATCGATGGTACTGACTGCACAAGCATGACGAACAGTGGTTCCTATTAGTCCGTCATGCCACTCATTGGTCATCATGTCCACTTGTCCATACAATTGGCCTATGGTGATCGCTTTCGGATTGATCACGTACGTGTGTACCGGTTGATAAATCGGCCCGCGTACACCCATCTCGTGGAGTCTGTTGTACGTCGCGGCGAGAGTCTAAATGGCATGAAAAAAAAATATATTTCATCGTATTCGTAAATCGGAACAAACTTCATGAATTTAGCTATCTTCCGTTTCGCTTACTCGCAGCACAGTGGTCTTTCCTGCGCCGGTTGGTCCGACCAGCATTACACCGTGTCTCACCTGTAGACATTCGTGAAGCTGAATAGCTTTCTTCAGGGTGCAACGTTCTGGCTGCAGTCTGGCTTCTTCCATTATCTGGGAAAACCGTGTGGCAATAATTAAAAAAAGGTTATCTCGGTTGGAGAATCTGTATAATCTAATAGATAACACTGCGCAACGCGGATGTTAATCTGTAACATCCTCTAGACGAACCTGTAGAGCTTCTCGTCTCAAACACGAATCTGGAAGCAGAATTGCTCTATTGCCATCTGTTTTCGAAAACAACACGAGTTTTGTGGAATTCAAGTGTATTTCGAAAAATCCATGTTTTTCTTCAGAAACTGAGGGTGATCAAGCAATTTTGCTTTCGGATTCATGTTTGGAACGAAAAACTCTAAGAGGATCACCCAGTGGATGTTGTAGATTAGAAGAAAAAACAGTTTTAATTTGTTAAATAATGTTCATTCGTAGAAGGAAACCATTGATTACGCCACTCGCGATAAATCTGTCGAATAATTATTAGTTACGTAACCGTGATTAAAGAAGATAGATTAGAAAGAATGTATATACAGGTTGAGTCATTTAACTGTACCACCTAAATTTACTTATTATTTTTTTAGTGGTATATACTAGTTGAGTAATTATTAGTTTTTGTCTGCATATACCTTAATAGTTTTTTACTCAGCATTCAATATTCTTTCAAATCACAGAGTCTAATATTGCACATTATGATACAAAAACTCGTGGTCACCTTCGTATCTCGATTAAAAAACGAAACATCAAAAAAATTAATTATCACATTGTATGCCCCGTTCGATATCAAACAACTTTCGTTTGAAACATCTTTTTATACAACAAATAGTTCATAAGTAAATTTCGGTCGTAAAGTCAACTAACTCACCTTGTATACATGAAATTACTAATTACCGTAATAGCTGTTTCTTGCAAAACACCGTAATCCTCCTCGGGGATCACAATGCCTGGAAACAGATCTCCCACGATACCCTCGAACAATTCGGCGTCGTCACGCAAGAACTTCGGTATGTTGCTCTCCCTTAATGCACGAATCAAGACGACGTCCTCAGGTTTGTCGGGATTGTCGCGTTTCAAACTGCCCGCCATTACCAACACGCTCTTCACCGCCCTTTGCGAGCGAAACGTTCGGAGAAAAGGCGTGAAAAAAATGAATAGGGAAGACTTTGTTAGGGTAAACGATTGTTGGATAGATAAACAAAAAGAAAAACAATAAAAAAACACCTCATTCCGAAGTCGTAATGATCCTGTTGAGAAAGTTGCTCGCTACTGAGCGTATACATTAGAGTCATCTTCTGCGATAACGGTTTCGACGACTCGAATCCCTCTGAGTACAATGTGACCTCGGCTATCAATTCTGTAAATAAAAAGTACCTTGAATTCGGTGTACTTCGTGTTACGTATGAAAATCTAATTTTGGGACTGATACTGCATCGATACTATCGATACCTGGCTGTAAATTTTGATCTGGTATCGAGTAAAAGGTAGCAGACAAAGATACAGGTATCAAAAAGAATTCCTGAATTCATAAAGTACTTGGAAAAATTCGATTCTATGGTTCATGGGTATCGATATCTACTTAGTTGGTTTAGAATTGGTATCGATTGGTATCGGTTCAAGAGTATCAAAAATTTGAGGGTGTTTGCTTACTGTAATCCGGAACCATCATGGCGAACGGTCGGAACAGGGCCTTCAAATTATCGGGTAATTCGGTACGACCTGCGTAACCAGGATTCATGGTGATAAATGTCGCGCAGGACATCACTAGCTTTATCATTCGACCCTCGAACATGAATCTGATGGATAGAGATTAAACACATGCTCTAATATCGAAACATCAAGTTAGTCTACGACGACATTCATTACTCTTTCGCCCTGGCGATTTTCGCGTTCCTAATCGTAATCAATTGTTGAGCTATCACGGACAGCACCTCGATGTCTATTCTGTTGAACTCGTCGAAACAACACCAGGCCCCAGAAGTCGCTAACCCAGAGAAGAATCTCCCCATCATCTGTAAAGAAACGTATTGACCTACTTTACCAATAGATACGCCTTGATCTAACAGCATGACTCTCTTTTCTTTATGTTTCATATTTATACTCGAGCAACTCGCTTTCTAACGGCGAACTGCCAAATTCAGAGAAGATCGGTTCGGTCCGATCCTACCTGGTGAAGCGCTGCGGGCCCTTTCACTTACATACATATACTATTTTTGTGTATTTATGCAATTTTTCATGCGCAATCTTGTAACCATTCGGTTTCGTTTTATCGGACATTTTTTAACGTACTCTGTAATCCAGACCCTCCGAGCAATTAAACACGACGCACTGAACCGCAACAGCTTTCGCTAGATCCTTTGTAGTCTCAGTTTTTCCGGTCCCGGCCGGACCAGCCGGAGCACCGCCTGTCGAGCAATTTTTATACATAATAATAACACGATCAGCTTTAAAGGGTTAGGCCGTCTTGGATGTGTCAAGGTCATAGTCATTTTCGGCAATTTTGTTTAAGAAGATAATGAAATAAATGGAAAATTCAATATAAAGCCTTTTTGTCCGCGAATCTCTCGGCTCGATTTTGTAAGAAAGAAACAAACAAAAAATACAACTGTTTCCGTCAAAAGTTGCACAATATAGGGGCTTTACATTAAAAGTTTTAATTATTTCATTATGCTCCCAAAAAAAATTGTCGAAAATTACTTGAAAATTATTTGACTTCTCGAAGGTGGTCTAACCCCTTAAGAAGCATACGTGTTTATAGGGAAAAGATTCGTTGAATTTTTGGAATTCGTTGTTGTATACCCAGATCTAACTGAAGGGCTCCCATAAGGCACAGGTAGCATCGATCGGTGAGGGGCGTTATAACGAGCCTCTTCTGGGCGCCAAGATACTCGTATCCGTAAAGATATTCGGCGTTGCTCATACGTGCCACGCAATTGTCGATATCTGTGTCCCAGTAGTAACGCAACGCTTTCATCCAATCGAAGCTCGTGCTACAGAGCAGAACAAGAGAGAAACCAGATCACTCGAAGAAAAACACGTCGACGAAGTATATCAACATTGCTCGCGATGAAACTTTCCATAGACCAGACCAAATAATTCGATCAATGCTCGAAAAGACATTTTTTCATCGAAACTTCTTTCTGTGATATTTTGATTATTTTTCATTCTCGTCGATTCGTAATAATTTAATTATTCGTCGATGATCTCACCTGGACGATACTTTGTGCTCGACCATAGTTGTCACGATGTCTCTGGCATGAACGTCCACGGTTATTAAATTGATTATAACGTCCCGTATCAATTTCGGCAATTCACCCCTGACCATCACCGCTAATTCATTCAAATCCTAGAGATCGAAAGAAGTAACTGCTCCACGGAGATGATTCACGGAAAAATTGCAAAAACGAATTATAGGTAGAAAAAAAATATAACTGTACTGAACCGTGAAACATTTCTGCTCGAACGCTCGCATGTTCTGCAGCACGTGACCGTTCGACTCCAAGATTAAATGGATATTTCGGGTCCAGAAGATTTGGGACACGGTGAGGATAATCTGGAACGGACGTATTTGGACCGTAAGACGGTGTATTCTTTCAAATTCATGAGAAATTCCTTAAAAAAGGTATTTATTGTGTGTAAAAAAAATAAAAAGTGATAAATAAATGCACCGTCGTTGTTGCAGACATATTGTTTAACCTGGGAAGGATGCATAGACAGAAATTGCTGTCGTCCTTTCGCGTCCAGATCCTTGATTCCCTGCTTCATTCGTCTTCTCAACGTAGAGAACATCGCCTCTTCCACTCGACCCAGCCAATCCTCGACGTTCCCTCGGGCTTTCAAGCCTTGCCCAAGAGGGACTCTCTCGCCTTCCGGCGATATCATTGCGACAATATCGGTAGTCATCACCTGCTCGTCACCGGTCCCGCTCTCCTTCATCGCAAACTCCAATCGGTGTATCGCGTCGAAGCATTTCTGTAGGTGTCGTTGCACTGCGTGCGGATTCTTCGTCTATTTCATTGAAATTAGGTACACCGATTAATCCATTCGTATCCACGGCTTTAGAGAAAATCGCAACTTCCTTTAGAGGAAGAGCCTTTAAATGAGAAGCCCGGAAGTGACACATTTAGCTCTCGATTCCTCTCTTCCCCCTATTCGATCGGGGTGTACCTGAGCCAGGATTTCCAACAGCTCGTCGTTCGACAGGAAGAAGAATCGCGGGAACGCAACGCGTTTCGTCTCGAGGTACGCTTCCAGACACTTCATCACTTCGTCCAAATGTCGATTGTTCTCTTCCAGTTGTTCCAACAAGCCCGGCTGGATGCAAGCAGGCATAGCCAAAGGAAACTGGAAAATCGATCGAATGGACAAAATTACATTGTTCATTACCAAAAAGACTGAACTGTATAATAACCCTTCTGTGGGCAACCAAAATATTTACAATATTGAGCAATCGGAATACCCTCATTAGATTCATAGTTTTCCGAAGCTCTTAATTTTCCCTTCCTATAATATACCAAGTGCTGTATTAGACAAGAACATAAAAAATTGTCAAAGGAAATTTAGAAATGGATACCTGGGAAACCGGTTGCCTACACAAGGGTTAACATAGACATTCAGATGTTCTGTTTCCCGAGACTGATCCGGTATAAAGTACCTTGAACGTTCGTCTCATCAGGTCCTTCCAAAACTTGTCGACCTCGATGAACAATTTCGCCTCCATCGGTAGCTGTCTCTGAATGTCTGGAGCCGAGAATATCGCCTCGAGATACATCCACTGTTGCTGCAAGTACTGCCACGCTTCCTATGGTAAACGATCGTGAGATTTGGGCAACAATTTGTAATAAATAGATTGTAACAATTTAACGAGCACGCAATGTATTCTCTGTAGAGCCAACGAAATTTCATACCAGAGTATCGACGAACAGATCGAGCTTCTGAACCCATTCCTCCACCAACGGCCGTATCGGTCCAACGTGACGGGACGCGTTGATGGTCTGCAAATTGATATTACTCTCGTCCATCGCGGTTTGCACTTCCTCCAGACTGCCCAAAATAAATATGTCCTTCTCCTCTTTATGGGGCACTACCACGAACTTCAGCTCTTCCCATGTTTCCACGACCCTCTTCAGCATGTATTCCAGATTCGCCTCGGAACTAGCCGCAGCGGCGACCTCCATCAGTTCGTTCGGCTTCAGAAAAGCGCCAAGATTCTCCAGCTGTACCCAGGTTTTCTTCACATCTGGCATGAACATGTAGTTCAATATTTGCTCGATTCGATCCCAGTGTCGGTCCCGTAGATCGGGATTCCTCAGGTAACCCAGAACCGGTAATTTGTTTCGCAGTAGCTCGACGTTCTCCTTCAAATCGGGCACAATGTTATTTGGCGGCAGGCCGCGTTCCAATTGGATCAGATTCTTCATGGTACGCATCGTGAACGAGGTGATATCGTCCACGTTCAACGTATCGAAATCGGCCGAATGCCACTCGCAGACAGCGCTCTCCCATTCGACGAGCGTCTCCCACAACAGGGTGCGCAGCCTCAGCTCGTTCGTCACTTGATCCAATACGTCAAATCTCGTCTGCTCGAGCTGTCACGACCAAAAAATGAATAACGCATTTATTTATTAAGGAATTTCCACGATTAAAATGGTGGTATGGAAGTCACGTGACTTTAAAGTCACACGGAGCTATACAGGGTTAACGGAAATTGCACGAGAAAACAAAAACTCTCGGAACTCGTTAAGAACAATAAGGAAATTGCAAGAAAACTTCTTCTTCCTAAACTTTTCTATACCTTGAACGCCCTTTGATGAGCACGATATTCCTCCGCGATCGCTGAGCAGGCTGCCAGTCGGTTACCAAGGTCCTTCAAAGTATCAAGACAGGCCACGTCGTCGCTTTCGTAGTCCAATAACCAAGGTTGCTATTAAAGGGAAAAAATTGGTATGTAGATTTCAATGCAAACAAAAACAATTCCGACGACCACTCACCATTATTTCGTCGTGGATCTCCGATATGCTCTCGTTCAATGCCGTAATATCCTTATGGAGTTGAGCATTGAATTTGTTGATCAACTTCGGTCGCGCCTCGAGCATGTTCTCCACCACCAATCGTAAACTGGTGAAATGCGCGCCGATTCCCTAATTTTTAAATCGACACGTTAGAACGATATATATGTACCTGTCCGGTTATATCATAATATATCGTCACCAGATAATTCGCCATATCCATCGACGGTATAGGAAAGTTGAACTCCTCCATCAAGTCGTACAGCTCTTTCACGTAATCGAGCTGCGCTTCCATCTCATCCACGGTCTCCCGTGCCTTGTCCACGAACGTTATGTACGCGACATAGTCTTCCGTAGTGACCGGGTCCGATTCCAGATAATTAATCGAGTCAATGGCTTGCGTCAACAGAGCGTCGACTCTGGTCTTTCCTAGCCTAACGAAACGACAACAATATATATCCAGAAAGACAGTATAGACACTTATGATACCCGAGTATATACAGTAAACTCGCGATAACTGCCTGCTGGATAAAAATCCGTTAGGAATGTAGGCCCCCTGTTCACACGCATTACTTCAGCTGTGTCTACACTACATAGCAAAACAGTGATATATGACAAATTGTTGTATAACTTTGCTGTACAACACGTTTTGCGTACCTCTAAAACACCAAGTACGTATCCCAAGTTAGGAACTGCTCTTGAGCCCCAAATGCGGGTAATTATCAAGAGTCTACTATATTTAGGGACTTCTTAATTTTTCAATAAGCATATATTTACCCAGGCATAACGGCTTCGATCACTCCGATCTTCCCTCTGGGAGCGATTTCCGCGGCGACCTTGAATCGTTCCAGTTGAACGAAGAAAATGCCCAACGGCTGAGAATCGATAACTTTACCGATCAATTCCACCTCGCTTCTGTACCGTATGCTCCACTCGCGGAACAACTTGCAGTCCCGATTGTCGCGAATGATATTCTCATCGAACACTGTGTCCTCGCGATGGAATTCGCGAATACCATCGAAACGTACACAGTAACGTTTCACGATATCGAAATTCTGTTTGAGAATATCTTTCAGCTCGATTTTCAGGGCTCGCGTGATCGGGTCTTGCTTCAGCACGTCTTGCATCTCCGGAGGATTACCGGAAATCCGTTCTTCTATCTTGCGATTGATCATAGGCCTTGAAAGAAAACAGGGAACAACTTTGAGGAACTTTGGATGTTTAGAATTGAAAGAAAATATTCAATGCCCGTTGATCCGATACCTGGTGAACGAGTGAAAGAAAGGATCAGAGAGAAGAGGTCTGATCGCGAATATATTCTCCTCCCACATAATTTCAATCGTTTGTATCACGAACCGAAAGATCGATTCGGATGGATCCATTACGATTTCCGATGACGGTAAAATTAGCAGATCCACCACGAAATATGGCCACTGCAATGAACAATGTTTTTTTTTTAAAGTAGTCTCCTCATCTTTTCGTTCACTGCAAATAACGATTAAGACGTCACCGATAATGTGGTGTATACCTGAATACGTGGGTTCGTAGACAATGTTTTTTTCAGCGGAATATCAATTACATCGTTCTCTATCATCTCGTCGTCGGGTAAACATTCCGTGTGAGTCCTCAGGGCCGCTATAAACGCCGTGTAAGTGTTTACCAGTAGACCGTGCATCATGTTCGTTTTCATGTAATCGATCAGGTGAATGAAGCTGAACATTCAAATGTGATATTGATTCTTTAAATTCTCATCACGTATAAAGTCGTATAAATTAAAAGTAAAGCAAAGCTATTGAACAATTTCTAAAGTGAGTAGACACACCACAAGAATAAATGGCGTACCAAGAGAGCCGGTAACATTTCTCCCTTTTTCTGGCCTGCTCGATATAACTCATTTTTAGAACACCGTCTTTCGGCATTTTAAACTTAACAGCACTGAATTCACCTATAATTTAACGAAGCTTATTTAACATGTCGTTAGATGTTACGGATTATTGAAATCTCTGTAAATAACTACTACAAAATTTCATATATTCTATTAGGTTTGCTTCAAAAAATCGAAAAATTTTTGTACGGAACATTTTTTTGGCATTTTCAAGAGTTGGAGAAATAATAACGTGTATTCACTTAAACAGGACATACTGTATACATGTATAGTCTTCTAAAACGTTTTGTAACCGAAACCAAACCAAATAATTACCCAATTTTCCAAAAGCAGTTTGTTCGATCGTTATATTAGAATCATCCGGTGTGTATCCAGCTCGTAACAGTGCACCCAAACAGGCGTTGTTAACAATATCTTTCGCTAGTACCCTGAACTCGTCCAATTTATCTCTGATTCGTTCGAGTTTAGCGAACTGTACAGAAGAAAATCGTGAGTATAACGCCGTCCAATTTTACGTTGGAACGACGGACAGAATGGACCATGAAATATATCACACCTGTTTCTCTACGAAATAAAAGAGCAGCAATTTTTCGATCGTGCTACCATCGAAAAAGTTTGAATCGAGAAAGACCGAGCACATCGACTTGATCTCTAACAAAGCTTTGCTGAGAATCGGATCCGATATAAAAAGATTCTCTTGTAAATAATTTCTCGCTTCCAAAAATTTGTGACACGAGATCGTTTTCTTCCATACGAAGAACGCCTTCCACTTTCGAAACACCACGAACGATCTTATCTGAAATCACAGAAATTGCGTAAAAACTATTTTACCTAACCCAGACCTTTTTATTAGAAAAAGGTAGGAAGAGTAATAAATATGTGGAAAAAGATATAGTAAATTATTGTATACGTTTAACACTTTCAAATAAAAATTATATTCCCTTTCCCACTGTTCGATCGGCGTGAAACTGATTTCGTCGGATGTGTATTGGGTTACACCGCTGGCGCTGATCGTCATGTACGTTTTGCCCACATCTTTGTAATGAACAAGCCTAGAAGAAACGGCGGTTACATCGTATCGTTATCATGAAATTCCGAATAGAAGAGGGTTCTTATTCACTTCAAGGCATAAGGAGTGAAATACTGCGAGGATCGGCCCACAGCGTAGATCATATAAAAAAATCCAATTTTCGGATCATCTCGCAGCTGTCGGATCAACTCCAGCTGATCCACCAACGGAGGCGCGTCGGTGTCCTTTGGTTTGTCTTGTTTTTCCGTAACCACGAGCGTTCTTTCCCATGGTAAAAGTTTTTCTTTCCGTAAAAATAAAAATATGTATAGGTACGTATACACGATAATAATTTCTCTACCGATTAGAAAAATGTTCTATCGATAATATTACAGAATTGTCAATATATAAGGTGGTGATGATGGATGGTGGGGGAGATTTTTCTGCTTAAGATGAGACCGAACACGATAAAATTTGGATCATAGTTCACTCACTTCATTTTAACTCACATTATCTTTTATTATCTTTTCTGACAAATTATAAATGACCCAACTTGTATCGTGTTTGATCTTATGATAATCAGAAAAATCTCACCGATATAATGATAAAATTTTCATTGCGAATTAAAAATAAAAAAAGTTTCATTGCTGCAAATAATGTTGTCACACCGATGTGCAGGCTTTAAATACACTCGCATGCGGTCCCGAGGACTCGAGCTCTCAGTAAGATTTCACTGTATCGCCGAAACTACTACGTTTCTGTCCTGGTGGAAATGCGTTACCAGTTGACACGACTTCCTCTTGTACCGTTCTCACTGGCGGAATATACGGTTTGCAGAATTCTCTCCTGATCTTTTCTTGTTGATCGCTGAACCCGGTCTACGGGAAGAATTTTCGTTATAGACTCTAATCGGACAAGGATCGACCGAAAGATAAACAGAGAAAAATTGTCCTCACCAACGGTTCTCGAATCACCGGTTTGTGATCGATTTTGTCGAGCATCTTCTTATGCGGCACGAAAAATGGTATCTCATCTCTCCTCCTGAGATTCCACGAGAATACATGTAAATAAGATATACATTTATACAAACATCGAATTCTAATCGGAACGAAAGAGAATCGTCTTGAATGTAAAACGAATTTGTCAGAGTAACAGAAATTTTTTATAGTTACTTCTTATATTGGCGAGGTGGTTTTCGGCACAATCTGGATGGAAAGTGGATTGGAATTACTGTGTCCATTACAGTGAACGACTCGGAACTCTTCGACGAGATCGTATGCTCGGAAATCGATTCGAAACTTTTTTTGCTTTCGTTCTGTTCTGTATTTTTATCCATTTTTTTTATTTATCATCGTACGACAAACATAAGTCTTTTATGTATTGTACGATGACTAAATCGCTCGACTTCTCGTCGTACACTGTCCCGATCGTGTGTATCGATTAAACAGGTGAAGTTCTGCTTTCGTTTCCCGGAATGAACATCTTTACAGTGTTCTGCAGAGACATGATAAAAGGGAAAGCGGATTTATGCTTATTATAATGAATCTTCTTAACTTTCTATGCTCCATTAGCACACTAAAGCTACCACTAACATTTTATAATTTGAGGAATGGACATTGCAACGAGTCAGCTCTGTTCTTTCTGATTTCATTTTAATGACATAAGAGGAAAAATATTAACCATGTACGTACATACATACATTAAATGAGACAAATTTCAGGATAATTTACAATGAACTTTACACGAAACATTTATTAATGTTTTCCAAAAATATTTACCCTCTACTCGATCGAAAAATTGATACGTCACTGAAGAGTTTATACACGAAACAATTTACAAAAATCTCTGTACAACAGTAAGTAAACACTTTTTATCAATCTTTTATTCGACTCGGCCTTGGGTGTTTAATGCTTCATATTCAGGAGAGAAATAAATCACGGTTTATCTCTCTCGTATTTTTTCGTTGAAACAAACTTCAATTATCGTTGAATTTCATAAGTATCGTCTATTAAAACTCCCGCGTAAACGCATGCCCGGGTCTCGAGGGACCCAGTCCGCCATACGAATGTTAATTCAAATGTGTAAATTATCATCATTAACTTGGTTACTTATTAATAAAGCCATAAATACCACATTACTGCACTTTCTCCTTTCGCGACCACCGAACCGATGACGCATTTATATTATCTGTTATCAAGAGGGAGAGATGACATCAGAGACGTTACGATTGCATGATCCTTTCGATTCATATGAAGGTAAGATTACACATGAAATTTCGACTTACTCTTGCCTTTTTAGAATGCTAAACTTATACAGTATTAGAGACGGCGACAATCATCGTATGAGTTTCATAATAATGCAGCAATTATCGTGTATTAAAACGGATAAATGTGATACGACTCGGACACACGTGGTGAACGTCAAACCGTTTAAAGCGATCAGTGACGTAGCAAGTCAATCGGGCTCCATGGAGAAAGTACTCGTCTTCGAATGTCCATTTTATCCAGTCACTCCTCGCCCCACATCACCTTTTGCCGATATCGATGCGAGTGTCCGTTTAATTTGGTAAACTGAAACGCTAGAACAGTTTCACGCCGCGAAATAATCACACGAATCCGCTGTCAGAACGTACACGCGTGCTATTACTGCACTGGAAGAACGCTTTGATTGGCAAACACGCCCGTCTACAATCCGCATAGTTACAGGTTATCATGGCGAACACGGTGAACACCTTCAGTCAGTCGAACTACGGATGCGCGACGAGTTGTGTGCGAGAATCCACGGTGTGCTCGGTGCGATATGTTGTGTATCACCGTTAACACGGTGCTTTCTACGTAAATCTCTATTCAACATTCCGTTGGACGTGTGAATCGCTCGTGGTGAAGTGACGTTTCCCCTCGCCGTGTAACCTGAACCTACGTAAAACAACGAGAGTTAATTATCCATTACGCTCCTATCAGCGAGTGTCTTCACGATTACGCTAGCATCCGTAAGTGTATGCCATTGAATTCTACATCAGCAACGTGCTCTTATTGTCCGTTTAACTTGATTAGTTCTCGTTGATCGCAATCTTTCGAATGACATTTTCTCTTTTCGTTTCTTCGTAAAATGTACCAACGAGAATTGATTAAAAAAATTAGAATGAAGCTGTACTTTGAAAAGTTACATACATATACAGTGGGAGAGTATGAAAACAAGCGGTGTATTAGCAAGAATCGATTTCTCAACTTCACACTGTCAAAAATAAATAGAAGTCCCCCATTAGGTGCAATTGCACTTGACCGTACTGTTGTCGGTAGATCAAAATCGCGGTTCCCGTACTTTGAATTGTTGTTTTCCTTTGTTCGATACTTTTAGCGGCTTTTCAGATTCTATTATTAGCCTGAATATCTTGTTCATTTCACGGAGCGCAGGTTTGCATTCGTGGCTTATATTTATCGCGTACCCGATACATTCGTTTAACGTTATTTTTTTATTGACACCGGCCTGGATAAGGCTGTTTCACTTAATGAATAAATCACGGGCACATATACATTTGCAGCGTGAACGTAAATTGAAAAATAATTACCCGCAACAGGCTGTCGGGAACGACCAACGATGATTGATGTTTTTATTCGTGTCACATTGTAGAAAATGCGATGTCTCGGTATATTACGTGGCTTAAGAAAACGCGATCGTCTGTTTTGAGTTTTCCAAGCAGAACCTGATCGTACGTTTTGAATGCATAGCGTGTCAATCAGAATATAATTACGCCAATTACTGTTCACCACGCGTCCGTTCTTTATATGTTGGAATATTCCATTATCTAAGAAGCGCCCTCCGGTCATTTGAATGCTTTGTAAAGACGTTTCTCGGTTGCGTTTGAATTTTCTCGGACTTTTCTTCACTCCACTTTTTTTTGCATCCAATTATTCCCTGTACCATTTCAGTTATATTCTTTCCAAGTTACGATGGTGACACTCGCAAGAGTTTTATCAATGTTATTTTCCACGCGGGAAACCGTTCGTGTGTTTCTCGGTAGGAGTGAATTACGGAATTCGCGGTTCTAACACCATTGAGTGATATTGAGGACTTCGACGAGTAAAGGCGAACGCTTATACGACGAACCTCGCCTTCGAAATGATGTCTAATCTTTATTCACGATTGCATAAGAGCCCATTTGTGAAGTAGTCCTTGGCAAAAAACTGGTAGACGTAATAATTACCTAAGATTTTTCGCGTTGGTTTCATACATTTTTATTACATCGCGGGTCTCTATAAATTTATTTTATTCAATAGGACACGTTCAGTTTGCTTGTGACGAAATACCGCGTGCATTACAAATACGTTACTCCTGAATAAACCTTAATAATTTATCGATGATCACGGTCAGATATACGACACATGTTTACGTATATTTACAGTAAAAACATATCGGTTTTAGCTTCTTTTTTTTTTTTTCATTTTCAATATTCCACGGGCAACCAAGATCGATATTGTGTGATTAACATAAATTTCCGTACAACTGTATTTCTACAAAATACTCCAAGATGTAATTCAGTTGATGCATCTGTCTACTAGATGTTGGGAAACCCAATAGTAATTATTGAATCGCACGAAATGCAGGAAATTTTATGTGCATCTTGTAATGTGTGACATGTTTTCACTTTTAACCTTTACTAAACCTTTGGTGCTTTTTTATGTGGCAATTGTCTGTATTGAATCGTCGCCCGCGCGACATAAAACAAAGAATATAAATGCAACGAGTGTAGACGGTTAAAAATCGTGCGAATGCGGAAAATGAGCGATCAAGTATCACGGATTTTCGATCGGCATTGGTCTCTCGATGCGTTCACGCGGAAATTGTTTGCGTCCTTTATCATTTAAGACCAGTAGTATTTTAGATTACGGAACTATTCCCTTCGCATACGTTCAAACAGAGACGTCGCGAGGACAAGTTTAACATGATTGCCATAAGCAGTCAACTTCGTAAATAATTTATTGCTCTAGTCGTAATCGTTACTCTATAAAAGAAAAAGAAAATATTTCTGGCATTCGACTCGCGATAAAGAAATTCGGTGGCATCCCGCATGGTGCTGTAAACACGGTGTTTATTGTCTTTTGTCTTTAACATTTCAACAAACCATTCTTACAACTCTGAGCCTATTGCATCATTTTCTGAAAAACTGAACGTACCATTCCTGTGTCATTATTTTAGTGAATTCTTTAAATGGAAGTTCCCAATCCAACGATGAACGATTGTTGGGTAGATCGATCGATTTTATTATTACAATTAATAATTACAATTATTACATAATAATACTAAAATTATACGATTTTTTCGTCTTGTTCATTTCATTTAGAGGATGTAGAAAGAACACTTTGAACTGATGTTGGCCAGCTTCTTCTTTGACATTTAGCTTCGGATGCTCATTTTCCGTTCGCTGATCGTACCATGAATCATACATAAAAATGAGATACACATACATACATACACGTATCAATGGTGAACATAAATGAAATCAAACGAATTCAACGTCGAAGGAATTAGGTAGTACACGTAATACATCGATGATCGGTAATCACGGGGTGCTTACAGACCCTATTCAGAGAAATATTCACACGAAGCTAACCCGATCATTAGAATAAAAAATCAAGCGGAGCGCGGTATCCGGGAAGTGACCCCGAGGATCCGACTACCTACGTCCGAATACATTAAACTTTGTTTTCCTTCTTCGAATGCGTGACCACCACCGTCCAGAGAGGAAATGAGGAAAGGGGGGAGGGGTTTAAGAGGTGGAGGGGAATAAGTGTTCTGCATACACTTCTTTTATATACAATACGGAATCGTCGACAGGGAAATGGACCAAATTTACGTCGACGAGGAAACTGGAGAGAGTATTAGCCTGCCAGTGACGGATTACGAGATTCGACGGCACGTGGTCGCGGTGAATAATGCTGAAACAGGGGAGCCAGAGATCAATGTGGCAGGAACGAAGACGCTCAAGAACCGAAGGATGCGTTTCCAGGTAACATTAAGTGTATCGTGCAAAGAAATGTATAATTCTAGCCTATTAGCATAGATTGCATCTAGTTTTTTTTTTATTTCTTTCTAACGAAAAGAAAAAGCGGTAAACACGATACTCGCAATTGCATGTGAATCCTTGAGCGTAAAGATCTTGGTTTTAATCCTTTACAGTCGTACGATGCAATGTTTCTTGGACTTACAGTTGGTGGAAAACAATATACTGTGGTCATAAAGTAGATCCTTAATGCAAAGACTAAACATATCGTTTACGTTTTATCGATTCTGAAAAAACGATTATATTTAATATATTTACATTTCGAAACAGTTTTAGTATAATGGTGACCTATAATAACTGGGTAACCTAACACATCGTGCGACTCTATATACCGATAAGTCTTAAAATCTGTGAAAAATATGAACGTAAAGGATTAAAGGTAAAGTTTCTCTTTCAAATATATAGAATTACATTAAACGAATACGCAGAAAGCCCCCCCAAAAATGATATTAATAGATAGAAATTGTTTAGATTCCGAAAGAAGTGAAGGAAACTCTGTCAGTTAAGGATGGTTCGATAAAGAAGAGCGACAATTTGATGGAGTTGGAACCCGTGCCGGTCGGTACGTGCTTCGGACAGATACATCCAATATGCCTGTTCTTTCTGGCGATCGTGTGCTTTCGCTGGTTCTTACCGGTGTTGACGTTCCTGGAAGTGGCGTTGCACATTTGGGCCCATCATAAGAATAAATCGTTAAAGAACGCGAGCGTTTACTTCCGTTCGCCGTTTCACGCGATCTCGTCCGAGTACTGTGCGATCTGTCAAAACCAGACGTGCATGGACCGTGTCGGGAAGATGCAGCAGATACGCATGCACAAGTTCCTGCGGCAGTGCAACTACATGAAACGTATTGTAACGTGAGAGTATGGCAATTGTCACAGAAGCACCGCGAACATCGATTACAATTCGGTTTCTTCCCTCATGTGATCACGAAGGACGCCGAGCCGGTTCACGAGCGGTGGCAAGCAGTGTTCAACATCGCCTCGATAGCAACACGTATTAAACATAGTTAGTATTAAGAGAGCAACGAAGTTGTCCGATGGTCATTTCGATCGATGTAAATTTGTAACGAAGTTCATTAACGCGAGTGGAAGAAATAGAAGGTAGTAATTGGTGTGGGGAAGAGAACTTTACATATTGGGGGATTTGTCTATTAACTAACAATAAGGATATAGCAATGTAAGGTCATTCCGAGTACCCGATGAATAAACACAAAATTTCGTTGACACGTTAAATCCACAGAAAATAACGATGAAATAGAGTTATTAGTTTTGTTTCCGAGACAGGTGGGACAGTGTTTATATTAAAGTTTATTCGAAAAATGTAAAAAAATAAGTTATTCTATTAAGGCACATTTTAAGTAAATATTTTTCATTATTACGACTTATACCGACTTTGTCACTCGTTATTCAAGCAATAAAGTGTTATACAATCTTTAATAATCGAAGTTCAGCTTTTCTTTTTTAAATAAAACTACTCAGTCCAACACCGGTCGAAAATGATTAATTAGAATCTATAATACAATTAATCTATTCTAGAATGCGTGTTTTAAATGTCGTCCACACAAAACATTGTTCTCGACGAATTGTAGTTTGGATAACAGTCAGAATGGAATAAATTATAATCACATGGCGTTCAAATATTTGTGATGTCCAATTTTTAAGAAATACTGTCGTAACGTACTATAACGTTCGCGTAACTATACCAAAATATACTGGCCTAGAGTAACGCCAAAATCTCTCGAGTTGCAATTCGGCATAAAACATTGAAGTCACGCGAAAGATGAGCCCTCCAAAAGCGACACTTATTCCAAACGTATGCGGGATAATTTGGACTCTGTATGCCGTGAAAGATTCGAGCTACCGCGCGACCATTAAAATTATTGTCTCGATAACTTATGACTAAATTTCGAACGTCGCAAGCCACTTCTGCTTCATTTTCCACTTTCGCCTGAAACACAAAGTGTGAAGAACACGTTTAGCTCGAATGATTACAAATATTTTTTGAATAAAATATATGAAATTCATCGTACTTGTTCGTTCGAATCAACGTCTAATACAACTTTTCCGTCGAAGTAATTTCGAATAACGTCCTTTAATTCGTTAGATTTGTTAGTGATCTCTTCGTTTATAATGACGCACTGATCTACCGATCGCATGCTAAATTTCTGAAGGGTCACACTAATTGTCTCGAGCTGCTGCAAAGCCGAAGTCTCCTGACACTTTGCACGACTAACTAAAGCGTCCAATGCCTCGTCCAGTTCTTCTTCCGTAAGATCACCAGGAGCTCTCACTCTTAACCCAAGTGTGTCGTACCTCACTGAAATGGCTGAACGTTTTGAAGCTCCGTTACCTAAAGGAACAGTAAAAATTAAGTATTTATGTATCGGTTATTTATATCAGAGCGTCATTAAATTATTCATAAAATACACACCTGTCTTCCACTCTAAATTTTTAAGATGACTCTTTACTACTCCGCTATCCCAACCGATAGCAGATGCCACGTCTACAACTGGAAACTCAATGACGCTACTGTCATCATGAGTTATACCCTTTTGTAAGTCTAATGCTATCGCCATCGCAAGTGGCGGTGACTAAAGTATTAGATAATAAATTTCACGATATAAAAATAAAATCAATTTGAAAACATATGTTACGCATACTCACTGATTGTGCCGCGAGTTTTAGTCCCTTGGGTCCATTGTAACTCGAGACCCTAGCTTTAACGTAAACAGATGAGAGGCAGGTAATGAATCTTTTAGGATGCAATTCGAGATAGCATAAAAGCGTCGAAATCATCTCTTGCGGAATATCCAATGCCGTAACCGTTTCGTCAACTGGTATGGCTACTTCGTGCCCGGGACATCTATAACCGTCATGTTTCTCGCGTAGCTTCGCGCAAGAACACGGGACGAACACTTTTTCGAGCAATCGTCTAATCGTGTGTCTGTCTACTCCATCTGAAAAAATATGGCGGCGTAATTCCCACTTATCCTGGTCCTCCTGAAATAAAGGAAATATTGTACGGTTTTATATGGTTGAACAATAATTATGTATATTCCAAGCAAATAA